AGTAATGAATTCGCTTTTGCGATCAAAATAAAACAGTTTGCGGCTAGTTTTCGGCGATTTTAAGAATAAAACTTTGTTGTGCAAAAGATATTTTTCCCTCCGCCCCCCCTTCCCCTCCCCCAACCCCCGTCAAAGCACTAACTGTTTTGAAAGTTTTATGCTGATCATCATGCTGAGATGGAAACCTGAGTGAATAAGACCGCGGCTTTTCATTTTATCATGTATTCCACCATTTCAATTTAGTGTGACAATTTTCAGGCGCATGTAGAGAAAGTTGGTGATATGCGCAACTCCTAGGTGGTTCACGCTACAGAAAACAGGTGTGGCATCGGAAGTCATGGGTAACCTGGCCTTGAATACTTAGCTTTCTGGAGCGTACTATGGTTTGCTCATAATCAAATACAACCTTTCATAATTGTTGGTCCTCTGATACAGATCTCATCGTTCTGACCTGGACCAAGAAGAGCGCCGGTAGTTACATCAACAATTTGTAAGTACAGAACTTTACCAATGAGTGTCGACGGTTTTTGAGAGACGCTCGTTTCGAACCTTGGCCTGTGAGCAAGGTCTTATTCACACTGTTGTGTGAGCGGCTTAGCCCGCTAGAGGTCTGAGTAGGGTCCTAATACCAGATTCCTGGCATACTTTTCACGAATTTCGACGCTGTTACTGCATCGTCAGTGAGAGCTGGCTTCTCTTTGAGTGATGAGCACCCTATTGCATGAAAAAAAGTTCAGCATCCTTCTCCATTCAACAATTTATCATGAGAGTTAGCTTTTGTACAACTGTAATGATTCGATTTAGCGCCACGGGCGCTTCTTTACTTTTGCTAGTTGAAGGGAGGGCGTTTATTTGAAACAGGGCGCTCTCCTCAAGGGGACAAGGTGCTTATCTCTTTTTTGAGAATCAGCAGAAATTGAAACAAAGCTTTAACTGGAAAACTCACTTATGGTCCGTGGGCCCTTCCTTGCTAGAACGACTTGCCGAGCAATTGTTGCAAAATTTTAAGATAGGATCTTTCGTTTAAGAAACTGAGCACTAACAGCGACATAATAGTTGAGAGACTGAGACGAAGACCACTTTTTTGTCGTGAGGCTTCACGTGAGCAATTAAAGGAAGATGGACCACGGTCGATCTCAGTGTACAAGCACTCTAGCAGTGCTATTACTGAAACAGAATAGGGGCGCTTATTGGAATAAGGGTGCTTACTCAATACGGGCGCTTAATAGAACCGGGGCACTTATTTGCAAAACTGATTCGAAGGGGGCTCTCTTAGAGAGGGGGTGCTTATTGAAAGAGGGCGCTAAATCGAATCATTATGGTACCTTACATTCCAATTAGGGAGAAGTACACCAACATTTCCCGGCTTTCTTTCTCCTTCAGGCCACAAATGCGTGGCAAGAATTTCTCTCATGCCAAAACCTGAGAGTGAAGATCAAAGTCACGCAGTTATCAGCTGTCTGGCGCGTCACGTCGTTCAAGGAGTCATATCGTCTTCCTTCTAAGGGCTTGTTTGCGTGAAGGTGGGGTACTCCAGGTAGGCCTAGCCGTGCTCGAAAAATAGCTTGCGTTTACAAACAATTTTTACAACCCCAGGATACCGGGGTGAGATTGTTGGCGCACTTGTAAATGTAACATGAACGCGACCCTGGCGGCACATTGTGACCCTGACTGATTGGGTTACCCTACCCGACAGACCGAGCCACCAGCCAGGACAGGCTACCACACCTATCATGTAAACGTTATCAATTATTATGTACCACCCCCCTCCCCCCCCCTCCAGATATTTGAGCAGAAGAAAATAGTGTGATATCAGGGACAGAGGCAAACCTATTGAGGGAGGCTAGCAATTCTTATCCTCAGTTTCTAGCATCTCCGCCAGGAACGCCTGGGACCATGGTGCAGATTTGGCGACCAAAAGAGAGAAAAGACGGCTTGAATTTTTTAACTCGAGCGTTCCTGTAGAGCTCGATTAAAAAAGTGAGCATTTTCAAGTTATCTTTTTTCTTAAGTTAAGGTAAAGTAATGCGATGTTTTGGTGCTGTTGAAAGTTTTGCTCTAATTGTCCCATACACACCCACCCACACACGCACGCACGCACACACACACACACACACACACACACACACACACACACACACACACACACACACACACACACACACACACACACACACCACACACACACACGCATATGTACCAAGTTGGTAAGAGGAAGTATTTTCTAGCAGCAGTGATGGAAAGTTAATGCGCCAACTCAGCTTTATCTTTGGTTCATGATTCAGTGATTTCATCTTGTTATTAGTAAGAAACAAACTAGCAATTAAAGCATTAATTTTTCTATAGTCCTGTATCTTCAATTTGCAACAACACTGTTTACATGCTGATCTTTTCAACCACCTATTACTTCAATTTTATCTCTTTTGCCCTTGTTAAGTTAACCTAATCGCCCCTTTCCCCCCCGAGAAAAACAATGTTGTATCATGATTCCATGGACTTTTGGCCAACATTGAAGGGGGGTTAATGAAAGGTCTTGTTAATGATTGTGGTAGAATCGTGAGTGTTATTCTACACATAACCAGCATTTTTCAAACGTGTGTAATTTGTAATGCAGAGTGTAAATTGGTCTAAAATTATTCGCGTGATCTCAGAGCAAGAGATGGAGTGATTGGGAAATCAAAATGTCGAAACATTACATGATAGACCCAAGGGAAGCAAGGACTTGACAGTTGTAGTTCCATTGTCTGGTTATTTTGTCCTTAGCCAAAAAACAATAGCCGACAGGAACCTAAAACTTAGTTGATAATGTCTTTCGTTGGCAGTTTTAAGTTTACGATTTAAAGATTTATCTTTCAATCATTCGCACATTATTTGACAATAGAATCCACGAACATTTGCCTTAAACTGCCCTTTAAAAGTTTCTCCTAAACTTTGCTCAAGTCTTATGCTTACCTTCTACCTTAGCGAACAGAGTCTCTCAAGACAACTCAAGAATACTAGGAAGTGCGTTGTTGTTCAAGATCCAAGTTGAATTTCTGTTTTGTCAACCGTATCGAAACCGTAACTCACGGAAGCTCTGCCAGAGGCTTCTGGAAAGAAATAGAAGCAAACGCTGTCAAAATTCAACCGCTTCCGCTGCTGGTAACTCTCTTCTAGGATTATTTCAAATGTCCATGGGTATTTAAAAAGCCTGTAGAAAACAAAGGATCCTCCAGCAGATCCTTCCCTCCTGGGAAGTTGCATTTCTTAATAGCATCCAGACTTCCTCGGGGCAAACTAAGGGCACTCGCTAAGAGGCTGATTTTACAACGAAGAAAAGTTAGCAAATGTGGGGGAGCACATATTGAAAGAAGACAAATAACATTTTTACAATTCCACTAAAATCACATAAACAAGAGTTGTTTTGGTAACCGTTTTAACATGTCTTCGAGCACCTCAATTTGGATGGCAAGATGTTGCAACGAAGCGACACTTGCGGCACATGCCAAAAGTATAACTTCTTACTGTTTGCTTTTGGTCCCTTGCTTGTAATGAGGAAATATTTTAATCAGTTGTGAGCAAGAGAGTTTTTCGCCATTTTTCTCCACGCGTTATCGAGTAACTGGAAAAAAAATTGAGCACAATGAGATGGCATATTTGCTGTTTGTAACTGTCTGAAACACCATAATTTACCTTAATTATATTTCCGCTGTGGGGGCATGAAAATCTTTTCTTCTTTCATTTATACAGCTTACCCCACCCCGAAGAAGTTTCCAAACATGTATGTAACAGTTTCGTAAAACTGAAAAATTTTATGAAATTTACTGACGTTTGAGTTCACCGTCTAATTTGCGAACGAACAATTCGCTCTACTGAATAATCAGAAGCGATTCATGACCAGTGATTGCTTTTTGTGCCATCTGTATCAGATAGAATTTGGCAAATTATATCTTAGTCATTCTGGAAAGAGAAAGGAGATATGGATTTGAAATAATGGGTGTATCAGATCAGAGCACTCCGGTGGTTTGTAATCTGATTCAGTAAACGCAAGAAAGTGAATTGGACGTTTCTAGGATTGAGTAGCAATACGTAGATGCTTCTTTAGGAAAATTGACCAAATTCTGAACACGCCGAGTCTGAAACTATACAAAAGAATGCCATGATATTTAATAATAATAATAATATTTAATAATATTTAATACTTATATTGCGCTTTTTCTATAAAAATACTCAAAAGCGCATTACAATATTATTAAAAACTAAATTAAAACCAGTAAAATTACTCGGTAAAATTACAATATTACAATATTAACATTACAATATTAAAAAAATAAAAATAATAAAAATAAAAAAAAAAAAATAAATAAATAATCTAACTAAAAGCCTTTTTAAATAAATACTAAATAATAAATTTTTAATAAGTTAAATTGACCACGCAGCTAGTTCAAGGAATCCCTTGGGGACGAACGTGAGTAAAATGTAACTAATGGGGGACTAGATTTTAAATAGCACTGACAACAGTCTGAAAGACATAGAAACATATGTTATGATTGTAGAAGACGTTACTCTCATTATGTCTTATGTTTAATTTCTACCAAAACATTTGTTTTATCACAGGTCATAAACAGCCGGTTGTGGAAGGAAACAAAAGTACTACAAATGGAAATTGGACATTATTGCCTAACAGTTCTGGTATAAACTTCGATCTCTGTCTTACCTATCACCGCTACGGTCTACATTCACGTACCAAAGGTAATCAAACTCAAATTCTTCTGATCCGTTTGCTTAGTTTTCACAAGCCTGTGCTATAGTTCAAAGGAATTTGAATTGGTACTTACGTCGGATAGAAATGAGTCGTAATCTCTGGAGATATTTTGCATTGCACACAAGAATCTACATGAAGGCCATATCATCGATTTCAAGATTAGTTAATGACTCAGAGATGACCGTTTTTTTTTCTCTTTCCCAAGAAAACACGACAAAAAATTTTAGGGGAGACTGATTACCTCATCGTGTGGCTGATGCAAATCGCTTACAATACTGTGCTCCTTTCGTCCCTTTATGTCAATTCGGTAATTATTCACATAAGAACAGACACCTCCATGAAAACTGCATCCAACTATTTAATTTTGAATCAAGCATGCGCTGACCTGCTGGTTGGAAATTCCTTGTTATTGCTAATTTCCCACAGTTTTGAATTAGGAAACCTATGGTTTGGGCGAGGGTTGGGTCAGGCCACTTGCAGCTTGCTTTTGTGAGCATAAGTAAGCCACCCTTCTTTTCAGTTTGCTTTTATCATAATAGCTATTAATCGCTTTTATGCTGCAAGTCGGCCATTAGAAATATCTCCGATATCTATAGATAAAATAAAATATGCGGCTTCTTCAACACATGTAATTGTAAACAAATTAGTTACTCAAGTCGAGGGATGCTATAATTGCAATTTCTTAGACACATGGATAACGTTTTAGCACGTCATGGCCACAATAAGCTTTGCCTTACCTTTGGTGATAGTATTGTTGCTTTACACTATTGTATGCCGCAAACTTTGGTCACGTGAGGTACCAGAGGAAGGAGCCAATCATAATCAAGCACAAGCACAAGTTCTTCAAACATCACGAAAAGTTACCCGTATGATGATTGTGGCTGTTGTTTTATTCCTACTGTGTTGGCGGCTTCCGTATGTTTTTAGATTAGCCTTGCATGCATGTTTGGGGTTATGTCAAAACGAGTTCTAACCAATGTTTATTTCTGGCTTTGCAGACGATTCTTTACAGTGGCAGTATGCTAATATCTATTTCGCTTTTAACCAACAGTTACGGCATGAATTTAAAAATGTCTTAAGCAAATGCACAAAGAAAATGGAAAATTGCAATTTTCTTCACCTTCGTTCACAAAGATTCGAATTTGAGCAAATATTAAAGACAAGTGTGATCGTTCATGTAGTGTTGCTGTGAGAAGCTCAGTGTGAAAAGCATAATACGAGCAAAAGTCTTTCGCCGAACAAAGGACGGTTTCGTTACTCTTAAATATTTTATGATCACATGTTTTAAGATGTCAAGTCAAAGTGAACAACGTCACACTGCCTCAAGAGTGATGGCAACCACTGAATTCGAAGGGAACCATCTGATTGGTCAAAAACAAATGAAACATGGGAAATGCACGCCATCGTTCAGACGTTAACGATTCACATCATTAAGAATTACGTTAAAAATTATTATCAACAAGTAAAAATGTCAGTCTTCCTTTTTGTCAAATATTTTCCTACATTTTATGTGTTGCTCTAAACTACATACGGAAGGCACAGTTAGAAAATGAGATTACATTTCAAAATTATTCGTATTTCTTGCCTCTAAAAACAATTTTAACCGATCGCAAACCAACTGATCGCCTATAGGAAAAATTCCTGTATTTTCAGAAATTGCTAAAATGCTGTGCGACATGTATCGTGGACTGTATATTGAAAGTAAGGTTACGTTTAAAAATTAAGATGAGAGAAAATGTGTATCCTCAATGAAATCTGAATACTGGCTTGGTATTTTTTTTCTGAAACTTATTAGGTTTTGGGCTGACTGTGATATCATAGTAAAAAAAAAAAAATATTGAATATCGAAATATTATGCAGTGAATACACGTAACTTTGACTCACAACTCTCTATATTTCATTTAAATTAATAAACCAAAGAAACCTTTGTGAAAACTAGCTTTGTTGTTACTATTTTCCTCTACTATTTCCGGTCGGACAGTATGTACGCATTCTCTATAAATCCTTACAAGACATGAGACCCACTTAGTGAGGGTGGGCCTCGAAGGGTGGGGGATAGAGTTTTACTATTCCATCTTGATATTCCACTTTTCCATTATCAGAATATCTCACAGCCTTTTATGTGTATTTCCCTTATCCCCATAATGATGATACTGATGCGGAATAGCATACGGAATCGTATGCTATCAAAGAAGTTAGCATTAAATTTGGCGTCTTTTGGTTGATCTTGTTTTAATTATTATTTGTACCATGGGAGGTGCCTCGCATGGGTCCTCGCGTCCCGTTCGCACCTTCCCTTTTGACCTTATCACTTTAAATCACTTTGCACATATATTTCACTTTTTTTCTTGGCTGTTTAATTTGCTGTATGTAACATGTGTAATGGTCAATAAAGCTGTTAAAAAAAAAAAAAAAAAAAGTTCATGGTGAAGACAAGGTCGATCCTAGAAGGCAAAAGAAGTTTATGGAAATGACTGCAAAAAGTAAAACCAGCAGCATACCACTGCATTCTTATTAGTTTTATTTTTTCATCAATTAAAACGTTGAGAAATATTTTTATCAAAAGCCAAACTGAAAGCAACCGTATAGCAAATAGGAGCAGAAAATAAAAGAGGTCACGCTAAGCATATCCCGTATATTAATTACTTTAACCGGGAAAAGAGTTGGGATTTTCTAGGTGATATAATTGGTCCCTTTTGAGATAAGTTTTTACCCGAAAAAAATCCCCAATGAAAAAAGTAGTAATTGCTATATGAATAAATATTTATCATTACATTACATTACATTACATCTACAGAAATCAATAGCTGAAGATTTTCCAATACAATTTAGAATTTTTCCTTCACGAAAATAATAATATCACATATTGTGTTGTTACCTAGTAAAGAAATATGGTCATGAAGTGGCATTTTTTTTCCATAAAAAAAAAACATATGAATGATCTTAGTACTCACAGCTGCATACATTCAAAGGCGTTCATTTCATTTCTGCGAGGCAATTGATAAAACCAATTTCATTTTAATTACTTTTTGGTTTTATATTTCATGGTAAATTATTCATGGTTGACATTAATACTTTTATTTACTCTAGTAGGAGACTTAATTGAATTTATGATGACAAGGAAGAGTTGTAATAAACCCTTTTTATGTAATTTCCAGTTTTCAATTAAATTTTCCATTTACCCTTAATGTGTACAATACCACTCTTTTATTGATGTTAACAACAACAACAAAACAGAACAGACAAAACAATAATCTATTAAAAGGAAAACACTTCTGGGGATTGAGAAAAATCGTCGAAAAAGCGAACAACAGAAATATTTCGAAGTTTTGGAATCAATTTTTCTCTGGCACCAAATTGTTTTTCGCAGGGAAAGATACTCTGATGACAAGTATTTCACCACATTTCCACCAAACAGCAGAGTCCTCGAAAGCTGAAATTTGTTGAACACAAGTAATTGGCTTCGTTCTAGAGGTAATAAGACTTGCTCGTAGGAACCTGCTTTAAAGAGTCACTTTGTGACCTTATATAGGTTATATACTACCTTTGACATACACAGCTTACATCTGTAGTGTTTGATACGATGGAACGGAATTTTCTTAATTACATGGAAAAAGCTGTTAGCGTTTGAAGGGGGATCGCAAATTGTTGGACCAGTATGACATTGTGTGCTTCGATAATTGAAGACTATTTATTGCTAAGAATGTCTATAGTTAATATTCACCGAACATCCACAAGCTTGTACAATGCAACCACATTTACCTTTTTTTGGAAAAAATAAAATTCAATTCTTCTGTCATAGGAAATATGACAAGCCTCGATGAAGATGACGGTAGTGTGGAGGACAAGTTGTTTCTCAAAGTCCTGATTGCTCTCGTTGTTCTCTGTTCCTTTTTTGGCAATTCTGTTCTCATCCACCTCATTCGAACAGAGAACCTTCTGAAGACAACCACCAATCATCTTGTTTTATGCCAGGCAGTGGCTGACATTTTAATTACAGTAATAAGATTACTGCATTTGGCACTACGTAAAGAATTTGTCATGGGGTATTATTGGTTTGGAGGAATACTTGGTCTCATAACTTGCAAGTCCTATTTTCTGCTCCAATTTGCTACACCGGTGTTTTCAATATGGCTTTTGACACTGATTGCAGTGGAACGTTTATTTGCAGTAACTCGTCCTTTGCAATGTTCTCCTCTGTCTCATCATTTGAAAAAAACGATATCTGTGATTGGAATTTGGTCTTTAGCTTCTTTTACAGACATCATTGTGCATGGAAAAGTGACAAATTATGAGGAACGTTATTATTGCGGTGTTACATTTTCGGGGACAACACTTGTTTTTTGTGCAACAAACATTTTTTTTTCTCATATTATCATATCAGCTTTTTACGCGATTGTGTGTTATAAACTTTGCTCACGGAAGGTTCCAGGAGAAGGGAACAGTCAAAATCAAAGACAAGCCGAAGCAAGAAAGACAGCCAGAAAAGTTACCTTGATGATGATTGTGATTGTAGTATTATTCATGATCTCATGGGGTCCCTCAGAAATCGTACTTGTTTTGCAGATCTTGAAAATCTCTTCCATATCTACTATTTCGGTAGACATTGGTAACTTGACTCTTCTTTTCAGCAGTTTAAATCCTTACATTTATTTCACATTTAATCAGAGCTTTCGAAAGGCTTTTAGGGCTCTGTTTGTTCGATGTTCTCGAAAAATTGAAATTCATCGTGTTATTCCCTTTCGATCTCGAAGCACTGAGTTGCAGCAAATATGAAAAGGCTAAAGAATTTTATGAAGTGACTGTTATTGCTGACCCTAGAGTTAAAATTTGAATAGACAGCTTTAATTCGAAGTAATTCCAGCATTATAAATTGGTTTGTTGGCATTGCAGTTGTATGAAATATTTTTCATACACAGTAAACACTCTTTGCCATTTGGTTTTAAGCAATCAAATAGGGACGCGCCCACGGGCCGATGGAAATCACTTTAAGAGATGTGGTACACAAAGGAAGCATCAAGTAATTTTATTTCGTGAACGAAGTAAAAGCTTTGAAACGGTTCTCAAATCTTCCCCCCTGAACAGGAGCAAAAATTAAAAACACAAAGTTCGTTCTAATCAGAAATGAAAAAAAAGTTTACAAAATATGTATTGTTTTATGTGACAATGAAAGTTCAGTTGCTTTTCAAGTAAAAGAGAGCATGAAGAGCAGTCAAAATTTTATGATTACAAAGTTATGTTTATTTTGAAGAGTGCCACACACTACGGAAATAAAAACTGCAATTTTTAATTTATATTTGTACGATGGGAGTTTCAAATTAGAAATCCCCTATATGAATTTTAATCCCAAATAAATTATTGATAAAATGAAGAAATAAACTCAAATATATGTCATTATAAAAAAAAACATGTAAATAATTAAATGATATACACGAAAGGAATTTTTCGTCTTTGCTTTACTACTATATTATAATCGCTGTAATCTCCTAAGAGGTTTCGCTGTAGAGAATATTTGAGGTAAATATCTGGGCATACGCTTGAAAGCTTTACGTCAGTTTAATGAGATTGTAATCACAGTAGAGGGAGAAATGTTTAAGATGAAATTCTTGCAGTCACTTTATGCATTATGAATCAAATTTGCGGTAATCAAATTCAATATAAACCGTAGTGTTTGACTTCTATATATAAATAAACTAACTTTCCCATCAACCTTCACTTTAAACCACTCAACTATAATCAATTGTTATGAGGTTATACCGGAAAAAGGAAGTCCTTTTAATCACAGATCGTTCTGTAAGGAAAGCACTTCGTGAAAAAACCGACCCAGGTATTGCCTCAAGAAACTCACTGAGTAAAAAATATTTTTTAAGGCCGATACGATCTTTGATGTTTGATAGTCTACATAGCGTGAAGACAGACCCGCGAAATGAACTCTATCCTTCGTTACACAGGTACTGATAAGATCTGTTACCACAAAATCTTTTTTCATAGTATTTAACTCTGATTCAATTCTTTTCCTATTCTCAAAAATATCATTCTTCAAAACTCCTAGATTTTGGGTTTTATTATGTCTTGTTGATTACGCATGGTGTGTGCGGCTAAAAGGGAAGTCATACTTTCAGAACCATCTTCATTCTTTTAAACCATTCAAGAAATACGCCTTACTCGATGGTTTGAACATAAAAAACGCGCGGATATTTTGCGAGTTACGTAGCATTCACGGGGTCTGTTTTCAGAGCCCCGTGGGCGAGGAAAAATACGAGCAATGACCAGGATGTCCGCTCCGCTCGTATTATTTATGTTAAACCATCGATAGGTGATTTATTACTATGCTATTGCTTAGTTTTCTAGGTTTCTGGCCTCTAGTTTTTAAATTTTTATTCGGTCTCATCTAAGCGTAGTGCCGATTGCAAAAGGCGTGCGTGAAAGAAGAAAACAACACAAAGAAACCATTCAAGTGTGCTTGACGACCAAAAGAGATTCTTGTGGGCTTCGTAGTTCGTTGCTAAAAAAACATGATGTCATAAAAAAAGGAATAGAAGGCAAAGATCGTGCAGATCGTTTCTGTCCGTATTTTGCCCTATTTCACAATGTAACACCTTGGTATATTTGTTACGTTCCACACACGCATCCATTAAAATGATGCGCAAGCAGAAAAAATAAATCATATTATTTCCATATTTCTCTCATAGAGAATGCAACAAGCGTCATTGAGGTACCAAATATTGACTTCATGATTCCGTTTACTCTTCCTTTTCTTGGTTCAATATTCGGCAATTCCGTCCTCATCCACATCATACGAACAGATAACTCTCTGAAGACCACTATGAACTGCCTGATTCTATACCAAGCAGTGGCCGACCTTTTGATATCAGTAGCAAGGCTGATAGATATTTCACTTCCTATTAGTTATACACTTGGATATCTCTGGTTTGGCGGCCTCGCGGGTACCATTACTTGCAAGTTTTATCATTTTTTGCTGCTTCTTCCACCGGTGTTTTCAGTTTGGCTCTTAGTCATGATTGCTGTTGAGCGCTTCTATGCAGTAACTCGCCCCCTGCAATTATCACCTCTGTCACGTCATTTGAAAAAATTCATTATTGGAATATGGATTTGGTGTTCAGCTTCTTTGTTAGACATCATTGTACATGGATTTTCGACAAAAAATGGAGAACGTTATTATTGCAATTTGAAATTTTGGTGGATATCGATGGCTTTCTGTCTGTTTAATACTGTTATTTGTCTTTTTCTGATTGCTGTCCTGTACGCAATCGTGAGTTACGAACTGTGGCTACGTAAGGTTCCAGGAGAAGGAAACAGTCGTAACCAAAGACAAGCCGAAGCCAGGAGGACAGCAAAAAGAATCACGCTGATGATGATTGGTATTGTCCTTTTGTATTTTATCTGCTGGGTTTCTACAGAAATGGTGATCATAGTGCATTTCTGGAGCGCGCAGTTGCCAGAAAGCGTTTTTCGACTAGGTAGCAATTTAATTGTTCTTTTCAGCTGCTTAAATCCTTTTATCTATTTTACTTTTATTCAAAACTTTCGGCGTGCTTTTAAGGGTCTGCTTGAAAATTGCTTTAAAAGGGCTAAAATTCATCGTGTTCTATCCTTTCGATCCCAAAGCGTAGACCTACAGCAAATATGAAAAAATAATCTGCGGAATTGTGGAACTTTCAGCGACTGCCTATTCGTAGGTATAGCTATTTCGAACTAGGTAATTACATCCTGAAAAGAAGTTTATAACCTGTTTCTGTTCGGAATAATATGTGAGATAGGATGAATATTTTCTCTGCCTGTTGGCTACAAAATTGTAGAGCAGGTAAATTTTTACAAACGAAAGTCCAGTGTCTTTTACACCTAAAATCTGTTAATCTGTTTCTGTTCGGAATAGTATGTGAGATAGGATGGACATATTCTCTGCCGGTTGGCTACAAAATTGTAGAGCAGGTAAATTTTCAACATCTGAATACGCACAAACGAAAGTCCAGTATCTTTCACACCTAAAACTACCTGCGCCAAAATATTATCGAAGAATGTTCTTAGAGTTCCGTGGAGTTTTTGAATCAATGTTATTGTCCATGGAGTCCATGGAAAGCTTAAAGGATGTCCCCAGAGTTCTGCGATGATCCTTTATCCGCATAAAATGTATTTGCAGAATTGTTTCTAATCAGATTGGTTGAAGGGAGGGGTAAGGGGGGCAGACCCAAGAACACCAGGTGTCGCACAGTAGAAGGAGAGGTGAAAGCCTGAAACAACAGTTAAGGCACTATCACCAAGCCAGGAGTGGAGGACCTCGGTCGCTGTCCTATATTCTTGCTGGCTTAATGAGAAGTAACCATAATAATCTCAAATCTTTTTCATCACAACTGCTGTCAGTGGCTACTCATGACTATGAGATCAGGTTGTTCAGTCTTTTCATTGAGAGTCCTCCAATTCTTATGCAAAGTAGTAGGAAGTGTCTAAATTGCGATAAATCTACCACAACAGCCTGAAAAAAATACTGTTCTAAAAATGTGTAAAATATTTCATTCTATTTCCTGAGCTTTGATCAGTTATACTTGACATGAAAACGTTGGCAGATGTCTCAGGCGCCAGATCAAATGTGCCTATATACATATATAAAGTATACCTCCTTTATCCTCTGAACGAAAAATTAAACATAGGAGAGGAGTAAGTTTAGTTGAGAGAGTCATTTTCTTAAGAACACAAAGGAATTGGCCAGAAATCAATTATTTATAAAATTTCTGCCCCCATAAAACCCTGTTGAGTAACATACTGTAAATGTACTCCCATCGGAGAGTGAAGCGACGCTAGTAAAGGAGATTAAGAAAAGGCAAAGCTTACTTTGCGACATAATGAAAAGGGCTGGTCATTTGTAATTAGGCATGAGCCCTCTTCCTGATGTTATCTTGTGTAAACGAGTATTACATCTAAAGATTGGAAAATATTGTTAGCTTCTTGCAAGACAAAAAAGCTTATTTGTAGCATATGCTAAATACGACGAAAAACAATGAAAAATTAATGATTGTCATCTTTTATTCGTGACATATTTATCTTTTCATTACAGTAGAGAAAATATATAACAATAAGCTATGTGTTAAGGTTTTTATTGGCTATATCCTCCTAGATTCCAAGGCTCTAGCTCGTCAAAAAAAAGCTATCTGTGCTCGAACGACGACTTCTCTCCAAGGCTTAAACTCAGTTCTGGCATTTGAAAGCTATGCGTGTGTCAATGAAAACACCCTTTGATAAGATAAACAGTATTCGGTTATTTGCTTGTTTCTAATTAAAAAATAACACAAGTTATAACATAGCTAGTAAATTTGTCTAATCAAATTCAATTGCGCGAGCGTGCTTCATATTCCTATTGTGCACGCTCATGACGTCAGCAAACAAATCCCTCGCGAAAAAAAATTTTCCATCGGGTTGAAAATGTTTTAAAACAGTTGGTTCATACATCAGCGTGCGTTCATCGAGATATGAAGCACGCGGGAAGTTTGGAGAGCACGAAAGAGGCGTAAGAGTTGCTCGAGGCGTAGCCGAGAGCAACTCTCGCTTCTTGAGCTGACGTATGAACCAATTGTTAATTTTCGCAGTGTTGAGTTCTTAAGGTTCTTAGGGTTCAATTCTTAAGGTTTGCAAGGTTTAGTTCTGAGATTCGTGTTCCGTTTCTTCACACTATGCACTCAAAGATTTGTAATTTTAATTTTTTTACTACACATTAACCTTTTAAAAATAAAGTCAATCTTGAGAACTGTGTTTGACTTCATATGCACATATATCAACCCTACCGTTTGTCCGCTACCATTTATGTCATGAAAAATCTACGGAAAAAAAACGGTCTGTTGCATTGTAGGTCATTGTGAAATCACTAACATACCAAGCAACCATTGGAAGGCAAATAGTCTACCTAGAACAAAGGAAACGCTTGCGAAATTAATTTCACCGAATTTTTGATGATGAGCCTTCGCTATAAAGGTATATTGATAGAATCTGTTTGCCAAAACATTCTTTCCTCGAGGAAGACTCCAAAGGTATTTTTCTGCACATCTTGGTTAAAACATAGCGAATGCCATTTTTCTTCAAGCAAAGAATTTCACTTATCCTAAATGATAACAAATCGCCATTGCTGCTAAAGGATAATGAATTCGAAATAAATGCAGTGCTAAATAGCGCATACACACGCTGAACACTGACAAAACCGTGCATCCATGTTCATTTTTATTCAAAATTTCATTTTTCTCCCTCAGAGAATGCAATGCAACAAGCGTCATTGGAGTAGCTAATAGTGGGTTCATGCTGCCGTATACTCTTGTGTTTCTTTGTTCAGTTTTCGGTAATTCGCTGACCTTTTGATATCAGTATTAAGGCTGATAGAAATTTCACGGCCTACAAACTATTTCCTTGGATATCTTGGTTTAGCAACCTTGTTGGAACCGTTACTTACAAGTTATACCTCTCGTTGTTACTAATTCCACCGAATTTTCATGTTGGCTCTTGGTAATGATTGCTGTGGAACGCTTTTATGCAGTAACTTGCCCTTTGCAAATTTCTCCTCTGTCTTGCAATTTCAAAAAACATTCATTTTTGGGATATGCATTTGGTGTTCAGCTTCTTCCATGGACATCATTGTACAGAGATTCATGGAGAACATTGAGAACATCACTATTTCAGTGTACGAAGTTGGATGTAATCGGTAACATTAGATTTGCTGAACTCTGTACTGCCTGTCTTCAAATATCATTGTGCCTATGTACGAAATCGTGTGCTATAAACCGTGGTTTCGTAAGGCTCCAGGAGAAGGTGTCAGAGTCAAAGCCAATCTGAGGCCATGAATACAGCAAAAAGAATCACGGTTATGATAATTTGCATCGTGCTGTTATATGTAATCTGTTGGATTATTCCAGTTAAAATACTAATATTCGATTACTAGACCACACCGTTACATGATAGCGTTTATCGACTACTTGTTAATACAACTGTCCTTTTCAGCTTCTTTAATCCTTTTTTTTTATTTCACTTTTATTCAGAACTTTCGAACTGCTTCTAAAGGTCTGTTTGGAAACTGTTTACGAGGGTTAAAATTAATCGATTCCTTCCCATACGATCCCAAAGTATATAACTGCAGCAAATCTAGTTAAGGTCGTAGAATTGTTAAACTCACTGCGGTTGCCTATCCTTAAGCTCGCTCAAGACATACTGAAGAGAAGTCTATGGTCTCCAGCCTTGCAAATTTTCTGGTTCAGAATGATTGTTTTCAGGTAGGCTGGAAATAATCTTCGCCAATTTGCTAATTCCATTCCTACTTTGCACCGACGTATGCCCTGTTTCTACTTGATTTCGAAGATACCTACGCCAGAAACAACATCACGCACCATTTCTCTTCAAACATGTTTTCATGATATCAATATTTCAGAACTCAAATCTTTGTCATAATATATACGCTATTTACAAATCATAATAATTGGCAAAAATTATGCGTGATCTTTCCTCATTACCCACCCTCTTCCCTGACGCGAATCAGAACTGGAAACGTCTCTATTCGGATTACCAGATTCATAATCAAAATAAAATTGGTCAAAAGTCTAGTAATAAATTTCGAATCCGCACTTTTCCAATCAGTGAATTAACACTACTTTTTATTATTGAGGTCTCGTATTCACTTTGCCTTTAACAGCCTTGTGAAGCTAACAACGACAGAGCATATAATTAAAGATATGCAAATAACCCTGTATTTTATGTAATGAAGGAAGTCGTTTATTTGTGGTCGGATAGAATGGGACTTTTGACATATTCTTGTGTTAAGGTAGGTTCAAACTAAAAGCCTGGGAAACATTGCCAGCTTTCTCAGAGAAAAGAAAAATACTAATTCATGGTACATAATAAACAAAGGATGCGTGCATGCTTATATGTCAGACAGGAGAAATGTACCAAATGGATATGAATAATTTTATATATTTACCAAAACAATTGTGATTTCAACATGCATATTTTCATCACAGTAAGAAAACACTGATGATAAACCGATTGCTTTGTTATGTAAAACTCCAAGGTAAATTTCGCTTGCTTAATACGATAGCATAAAATTATTACTCTAGCAAAAAGATAAAAGAGAAAGAAAAGAAAAAATTACATTTATGAAAAGTTAAGTTGATTAAAACTGTTCCATAAATGAAGCCGAACAATCAATCTCGAATCCTCGTAGTTTCACATTTAGATTGTGGCCTAAGGATTACGTAACACGCAATAAAAAAAATAGCCCAAAGCAATAAATCTAAAGTTTGATTAGTAATGTTAATAAAACAAAATATAATAAAAATAAAACAATAAAACAAAACATACGCCAAAGAGTTAAAAAGACATCGCCATTTCAGTGCCAATACAGACCTGTGCACATAAATATTATGCAACCCGGATACAAAAGTTTATGCACATCGAGGGCAACAACTACTAAGATCACGAGACCGTGAGAAAATAAGTTAGGCAAACAAATTTAATTTCCTATTTTGTGAACCCCCTTGGCTTTTTCATTTGGTCCACGCGGGATGCTTTTCATTCAGCTGACAAAGAACGGGAAATAATATATTTCACATTAAAATAACAAACATTACTTTCTATTGACAACTCCTAATGATAATTAGTTAAAAGCACAAGTGGTATTATTGACTCTCTGAAACTAGACCGATCTATTGGCTGCACGAGAATATATCCATGAAAATTTAATGCTGAAGTAATCATCCAAAATGGATAAATTGCGAACAGTGTAGCGTGCTTTTGGAGAGGGTGTTGAATCTTCGAGAAAAGAGGTAGACATTACTTCTTACGAGTAATTTCTGTAGTGTATTGGTAATAGGCTTGTTTTCACGTTTTTTGGTATTTCCCTGCCTCGTATGGCCAAGGTAAAGTAATGTTCCTTTTAATGTCACTATATGCAGCTCGGAATCATTTTTCTGACCTCATTGATGTAAATGAAGGAAATTTTTATAGAAAACGTTGTGCTAAAAGCTTTGAAAAACCTTGAATTTTTACACAGCTCTCAAAATCGATCAGTCACATCGAATGAAATTACTTGAATTCGTTTGAATACCAACAACATAATATGCTCAAGGTTAAGTGCAAAAATTTAATTACGTAATACAAGTGTGAATATACATACATTTTTTTCATACAGTGTGAGATTAATTTACAGGAAAACAGTGACGGTCTGGAAATTGTGGATATCAATGGCGTCTCGTGAAGAAAACGAAACAAAATGTAAGAAGTTTGACAGTTTCTTGTTATTTTAAATTTTGATTGTAAAGCTGCCGTAAAGAACTGAGTAGGTGGATTAGGTCACGTGTTTGATGTTACGTAAGAGCTGAGTTACGTGATGGAAATATTATGTAACCGAGATCGTGCAGCCTTAGTAATGTAACCGAGCTTTGAGGAGTGTAATCTTACCAACGAGCATTGCTTTGGTTAACATCAGGGTTTTTATTTTTCTTTACCAAGGATGAACGTTTAAGGGTTGAAATTGAATATACTTATAAATTTGAAGAAGTTCAAAGTATGATAATGAAAAAGCAAACAATCAAAACGTTTGGAGGCTTGTGTTGTACCGATTCCCCAGCTATAAAGGACTTGTTTACCTGGAGGTGGGGGAACCCAAGTAGTGAGGTAACCCGCCTAGCTGTGGCAGCTTTTATTTTCAATCTTATAACCCCGGGATCTCGAGTTGAGGTTTCTAGAGTTTCTTGACGCGCTTTAAAAATACGACACGAACGCAAGCCCGTTGTAAAAAAGGATTAATTTACGAAAAAGAGGTTAGAGTCCAAACTCTGGGGGAAATACTTATTAAACTTGTCAAATAAACCACAACATTTAGCTAAAATAAAAACTCCGACACTTCTCAAAATTCCAAACAAAGGGGTAACAAATTTGCGCGAATAAAAGCTAAAAGACAACTAACCTAACTCCGTTAAAACAAAACAAGAAAAGTAGGCGAAAAATGTCCAGGTCAGTTTTCCAATGTCCAGGTTAGGGTTCCTCGACGTGATTGGCTAATTTGTGAAATCACGCGCGCCGTGCGTGAATACAAAAAAAAATACAAAGGGGGGGAGGAAGGGACAATGATTGTAGTTTGAAATTTAAAAAAAGAAAGAGATTTTCTACATCCGGCTAGGCGGTGAACCCCTCTTTAAAACGTTTACATAACAAACTACGACCCCAGTCAGACAGGGTTTCTATACCCGGTAGACCGGGCAACCTCCCTAGGCGGGTTACCCCACCTATCACGCAAACGAGATCAAGATAGAACAAAAGATTATAAGAAAAGGCGGATTACTTCAGCTCAGCAGGTTACTTCACCTACCTGGGGTCCTCCACTTCCATGTTAACAGGATTTGAGTCTCTTAAGTCTGGTAGTAAAACATCAGAGCAAGTAATCCGAAGGTTTGAGATTCGATTGTTTATTGGATGGCGACAAGACGATAATAAATCTTTTGATATCATACGTCTTGATTTTTTTCTCTTCTTTGTTTTTGTTTAACTTCACGTAGGGAATGTGACAAACATTGATGGAGAGCGTATCCAGCTTGCCTGGCTGATGTATTCAGCGTACATCATCGTATTTCTGGTGTCAATATTCGGCAACTCAGTTCTAATATTAATCATCAGAAGAAGCAAATCTATGAAGAGCACCACTAACTTCTTGATTTTGAATCAATCATGCTCGGATTTACTGGCAACGTTTTCAAGGGTAATCTATATAGCGGTGATACAAGATATTTCCTTACGCAAATTATGGTTTGGGGGAATTTCAGGCCAAGTCACGTGCAAGTTATTTCTCACGTGCCTTTTTGTTCCACGCAATTTTTCAGTTTTGATTCTTGTGGCGATAGCTATAGATCGCTTTTTTGCCGTCACCCAGCCGTTCAGGCGGTCGCCTCTATCTCAACACCTCAAGAAAACCATAGTGTTGCTGTGGCTATGGTGCATTGTTGCTTCGTCTTATATGCTTGTTAAGGGAACCGTGAAAAACATCCAAGATTCATTTTACTGCGACTACAACGAAAACCCTGATAATATATTCAACGAGTGGAAAGAATTCAACGCTTCTGCTATTATTATTTTATGTATTCTGCCTGTGTTCATAGTGGCAGTTTTATATACCATTGTATGTTACAAATTGTGGTCACGTGAGGTCCCAGGCGAGCAAACCAATCACAGTCAAGCATCAGCGGAGGCCTTAAAGACCGCAAAGAAAGTCACCAAGATGATGGTAGTTGTTGCGGCGTTATTTGTTTTGTGTTGGTTTCCATACTATTTGACTTTAGTGGTGCAGTTTACTGGTCATGGAAAAAGATATTATAAATCAGAGTTGAGCCTCGTTTGGTTAACCGTTGCTTTCAGCGGTTTCAATCCTTACATCTATCTCACTTTTAATCAAACGTTCCGAAATGGATTTCACCACTTATTTGGAAAAAGCTCCAGGCAAATCAAGATTCAAAATGTTTTGTCTTTTCGATCGCAAAGTGTAGAATTAGAGCAAATGCACAATGTAGTGGAACATCCATCCCTCGTATGACAATTACAGAAACCTAAGATTGGAGAGTTTTTCCCACTGAGTTACTACCAAACTTTGTTTTCCCTATAAGGCAGTGTCCTCGGAATTTCGCAAATGTGGTTCGACGAAACTATGGTCATCGATCGAACCAAATTAACAAACGTCTATAGTTGGATTCGGTTTCAAATAACGAGCCGTTATATTCGGTATATATTATATATATCTTATTGAGACTACACATTCTGTCATCTGATGCATTACAAATGTATATAAACCTCTAGCTTATGAAGAGTGGAGTCTAACCATAACCAATTAACATTGAATTAACATAAGATAGGTTTAAAATATCCTAATAAAAATTTCATGGAAGATGACCAATATTTAAAGAATTTTTGTTATTAAAATGTTCGCGGAACATTAGAATTTTATCAATAAAGTTTACATATTGTATGCGTAACATCTGACAATAATTAATCGCCGTCAAACGCGTCCAAGCCTCTTTGCACCTATTCTCATTTGTCTGTGTTTCGGTTTGTTTGGTTTTTTTTTTTTTTTTTTTTTTTTTTTTGTTTTTCCCTCTTTCCTTTCTCCTTGTTTCTTTCATCCTCTCGTTCTTTTAATGGTCCCATAGCATATTACTCAATTAAAAATACGCTTACAATCTAACAGGAAACGACTATTCAACATCCAATTTGTTATGCTTGCCTACAGCATTGAACGTCCGAAGAAGCTGGAAGTTTACTTCCATACGTTTATGACGCAGGTGAAATTACTATTTGCGAAGGTAGTTAACGCTACGCAGAATACTAGGAAACACTTTGCCTGTAGAAGCGTCATATGCCTAATTTTCACGACCTTAAGGTGGTATTACCATGAAGTCTCGTCTACTTTAATCGAAAATTTGTTAGCTTAATTGACTACAATGCCGAGGTTTCGTGAAATGGCTTTTTCATTTGACAGGTTTTCCATCGAGAATAACAAGGTTTCTCCATCCTTAATCCCCTGTCAAAAATTGACATAGCACTTTTCAGTTAAACGAGAAGATTTATTATGGAAAATTAATTCACAGACTTAGATTATTCTAGAAGATTTTTGTCGCCTCTCTTTCTTAGTCCTCTTAAGTCAACCGCGTTACGCCAAGTTTTGGAAACGTGAAGATTTATGGTTTTACAGAATTGCATGCAATATAGTTTTTGTCAAAACTCTTTTTCGGTTTCAGACGCATTTTCATCCGTTCACTACAATTTATATGCTACAATAAGACTGAACCCATTTAGCCTAAAGCTACTTTATAAATACCACGTGCGTGAAATTGTGCATGAGTGAATTGAATTGTGAAGTTCTGACATCAGTGGCACCTCAAAGGTTATCAAATGAGCGGAAATGACTGATGTTTGTCGTAATGAATTGTTTGTACGTGCTTCTTTGACGAACGGAACTGAGAGCGGCTGTTCATACAAGTTAAAGGTATTGAAAAAAGAGGATTTTACCGTGCGGGTGAAAGACATCTCAAAGTTTGAAATTTCGATCACAGTAAGTTTAGTGTGGATTGACTGGATTGGGAAACAGAGTATTTTCTCTTACTAAGAGGTAAGAGGTTGAGAGACCTTGATTTGACGAGACAGCAAAAACTGGATAGCTAGATTGAGAGAACCTTTTTTAGCAAGAGTTCTTCTAGATACTTTCTCAGTGTTAAGCAAAGGATTCGAGCCTCAAACCCACAGTTATGGCAGAATGCGACAGAAATATTAGCGCGTTTCTCGGTCACTGATAGACAGAACATTTTCCTTCCAATAATTTGGTTCAGTGGAAAACACGGAAATGCGGAGTGTCGAAAACGCGGAGTGTGGAGAGTTCAGAGTGTAGAAATATATAAAAGAAAAAGATATAAAATTATATACATGTATAAAGATTGTATTAAAGAATAATATTTAAAGGTATGCAAGTATAAGAAAATGAGGATTGTGGATTTTATTATTATTATATTTATTATGGATTATATCTTTTTCTTTTATATTTTAATTCTTCTATATTTTATTTCTTTTATATTTTTACACTCCGCGTTTTCTACACTCCGCATTTCCCACACTCCGCATTTCTACACTCCATGTTTTCCACACTCCTCATTTTCCACACTCTCCGCATTTTCCACACACACCGCGCTCCGCATTTTCCACCGAACCCAAAAATTTGAGTAATGATAAACACTAGTGTTATCAAAATTGGAACACCTTTGTTCGAGTAGGGCTAGAACAAAAATAAATTTTGTTGAACTTCTCTGTAAGAGTTTTCTGCCATGATGCAGGTTGGACTTAAGCTCGTCTGAAATTTATATCCTAGAGTATGCGACTGGTGTACACGGAATATTTTCTGTGAACCTTCAACGATAAACTGATTTGCTTCCAGCTCATAAAGTGCCAGTGTTTCTGGGAACTCTTGGACCTTCGATACTTTCAAGTTATTTCCGAATTTATATTCGACATTCATTTATGTGTTTGCTTTCTCTTTTAGGTTACAAGGATTCATATAAGATTTAAGAAATATGGAACTACCGACTAACATAACCTTCACTTTGAAAAAACAAGGTAACTCCTAAACGACGTAAGGTCAGAAGTAATCATATTATATCCAAATGATTAGAACTGATTACACATTTGGACAGCTTAAATGTCGCGGGTAAGAAAGTTTGCACACAGGAAATAAACATGAACATAAAACCCTCTTTTAGAAAACTCAGTCTCAACAACATTTTAAGAAATGCATCACTCCATCTTTCGGGGTAACAATTTAGGCCTTTTTAGATATAAAGTCAATCTCTCTGCTAGGACTCTACCAACAGAAATTGTTTGCTGTGGAATTATTTCCCAATAATTATGAGGAAAATATTTCCTTTGACAGCGATAACTTTTGTGACTTCGCGTATGTAATGAGATAAGTGTCAAATTCACGAGCTTTTAACGAGAGGAAGTAAATACACAACTGAAGTAAAATTCTTTTCAAGAACTTCATGCTTCAATCTGATTCAATAGCCAATAGAAATAAAGCAAACGCAGTTTAACCCGTTACCCAACAATAGTGTACCTTTGTCTATTGTGACTTGACTAAAACATCAAATGTGGATCAATGTAAGTGTCTGATCGCACCCACCCCTCCCTTAACCCAACAACAGTCAACTGATGACAAGTTAGAGTTAATGTTTGGTTACGGGAGGGTTAGGTGCGTAGTTACACAGATATTGACATTGATCCACAGATGTGATGAGCGAAATGAAATAAGTAACCGTGGAGAGCATATACACGCGTGTGAGAACATGTACACGCGTGTGAGAACTTGTACACTGCGTGTGTCATTTTAAAGATACTCTTTGTTTTCTTTTCTTATCTGTATGCTAAATTTTCTCGGCAAATTTCATGAAGAAAAGGTACAAATGATTCGATTGTGTGAACCAATTTTTTTTTTATTATCTCATCACAATTAGGTAACAGCTCTTCCTCTCACCTGATAGATATATTATAATAATAATAATAATAATAATATTTAATACTTATATTGCGCTTTTTCTATAAAAATACTCAAAAGCGCATTACAATATTATTAAAAACTAAATTAAAACCAGTAAAATTACTCGGTAAAATTACAATACTACAATATTAACATTACAATATTAAAAAAAATAAAAAAAATAAAAATAAAAAATAAATAAATAAATAAATAATCTAACTAAAAGCCTTTTTAAATAAATATGTTTTAACAGAGCGTTTAAAAGAGTCGATTGATGTTTCCTGTCTAATTGGCAGAGGAAGACTGTTCCATGAAAAGGGGGCAGCCATCGATAACGCGCGATCTCCCAAGGTCTTCTTCGTTCTTAGCTGAGGTCTTTCTAACAATATACCATTATTGTTACGGCGCAGTTGGTAACGTGAGACCGGTAAGACAGAGACAAGATCCTTAAGATAGCTAGGCGCAACACCATATTCCGGTGGACCGAGCAATTCGGCTTTTTGTATATTGCGTACATCCTTCTTATAATGACGTCACTCTTTGGTAACTGTGCTTTAATTCACATCATTCGCACAAGACCCTTAATGAAAACAGCCACGAATCGTCTCATACTCAATCAAGCTTGCGCAGACTTGTTTACGACGCTGTTTGTCATGACCGCCATGGTCAGAGATACCCTGTTCCTGAAACAGTGGTTTGGTGGTACCGGAAGTCTGACAGCATGCAGGTTCACAGTGCGGGTTACCTATATTCCACCGTTTTGCTCCGTGTGGACCTTAACCGCTATCGCCGTTGACAGATACTTCGGGGTCACTTACCCTTTGCAGGCCTCCCCGATATCAAAACATTTCAGACTTTTAATTGCAGCCTTGTGGATCTGGGCAGTGGGCTCAGCTGCTGGAATGCAAACTATGGTGAACCTTGAGTTCATCGGCAACAAAGTTTATTGTGCGACTGATTACTTGCACATCAAATTCACGGCGGGGAATGTAACAGCGCTGTGTCTGCTCCTGTCAAACTTCATTGTGCCTCTTGTGGTCATGACAGTGTTCTATGGCATTGTGTGTTTACGCCTGTGGTCACGTGATCCACCCGGTGAGGAAGCCAATCAGGATGAGAGACACAAAGAGGCTATCAAGACAGCCAAGAAAGTAACCCAGATGATGATTATTGTTGTAGTTCTGTTTGTGTTGTGTTGGTTTCCTTTTCAGTTTTTTGTTGGTTTGGACACTTTGCATAGGATCACTTTGCCATATCCTGCACTGAAGTTTGTAGTGTGGCTGTCAAACGCTTACAGTGGAATTAACCCTTTTGTTTATTTCTGTTTCAACACGAATTTCAGAAAGGAGTTGAGGGTTTTAGTTGGAAAATGCTTTAGCAGGCCAAAGTGCTGCACCAATGTCTAATATTCTTAGCTTTTTTTGGGCAAAGTGTTTTTGACCTAATTACTTTCTAGCAACGAAATCTGGTAATATCATGTAATGCCTCCATACTGAATTGAGTTTTGAAATTTTCATTGAACTGGCCATACATGATGTCAGTTCTTAAGAATATTGCGTGATTTGGTGACGTTAGTAACTAGGGACACCTTGTGATGCCGAGAATAAAGAACGTGCATCTTACCAAAATTCAATCCCAGGTGTATGTGCTCGCCATGAGAGTGTTGTGCAAGCCTAAGTTATACGTACGGCTGGTTTAGCTTACTTTCTAAGGACAAGTCATTTGATAGTAATGTTTTGAATAGACGGAGGGACACACTAGAGCAACCGGTATGAAGAGAGCGGTCCTCTAGATGTTATTTTTGGACCATCGCTAGAGATCAAGAGAACTACAACAAAAATATACTGCAATATGAGTAAGAGCTATTCTTTCCGTCTTTTTTTTTTTTTTTGTTGCTGCTAGCTTTACCTAGCGGGCCTTTCATTTTTAAATCGGCCCCACGCTGATCCATTCCATTTTTCATAATCGCTATATTATCACAAAAACTATTTGAAAATCTCGCACGAAATAACAGATAAGGGCACTTTGAAAATAATATTTGAAATCTATAAATACAATTCAAGAATTAAAGTAGGGGTTGAATATAAGAACGACCTATTTAGAAAGAAATTAAGTGATGGTTCAGTACAGCTGACCTCTCCAAAGAAGTTGAGACCCAATTTCGTTTTAAAAAACCTCCGATTTGCCCTGCCTGAAAATGCAAGCAAAGCATTCGACTACATTTGTGAATCTAACAAGCTCTGCATGCTTCGAATTCTAGAGTGAAACTGATGTATCGATCAATTCTTAAAACTGCATCTAACATTTGAAGAGAAAGTCTACAATTGTTATCATTAAGCTATTGGGCATTCAAGAGACCTCCTGGAAATCTGGCTTTTCCCATGCACTAAACTTTTTGAGTGACATATTTCGCAGTAAAATGCAACGTAACAGATAGCAAGTTTCTAAACAAACCCATAAGCTCTTGCTCAAGAAAGTTTCACCTAAATCGAAGTCCCCAAATATCATTTTCCATTTGTTTAAATTCTCCAGCCTAGACACTCTTAAAGCTTACACATTACCACGGCTGAATCCTAGCCGTCAGATCTCACAAAAGTTCCTCAAGAGCTCTCCCATTCGTCAGAAGGCTGGTGAAAAACCTCACTCTTAAGTAACTTTGGTAAGCTTTTCCATACACGGTTTGGAAATCTAAAACATTAATACAGTCGAATCATAGCCGTCGGATCTCGTGAAAGTTTCTTGAGTTGTCTCTGGTTCGTCTGTTGGCTCGTTCGCGAGAAGACCGTTTAGAATGTCGTCGAAATCGTTGATTGTATCCTCAGCTTCTCTAGCATCTTCCATATTTTTAAGCTCCTTCACCTCCATAACCACGGCCTCTTCCTCGGATTTGTCCTCGACCCCATAAGGTTCATTGGGATAAGAAGATCGGGAAATGGTTGGAGCAGCGGCGAGACCGCCCGATTCTTCTTCGGGATTAAATCCAAACGACGGGGGCTTAGCGGGGATAAAATCCGGCGGTGGTGTAATGCCAGCGTCGATCTCCTCCAAGTTGTTATAAGGTTCGTCGTAGGAACTGTCCTGAGAACCTAACGAGATCTTTCTGCTGCGAAGTGTATACGGAGAGGGAGGGGCAGAGCCTGAATCTTGGATGGACAGCCCCTCAGTAGCGTTTGCCGGAGGTGGAAGTTCAAGACTAAGGTTGATCAGATCGTCATTCTTAACGGGTTCGGCCACTTCGCTACTATTTAGGTCGGAGACAATTGTTGCGCTCGAGACATTGCTCTCAGCAACACTTTTTGCATCATTTCTGTCCACTGAAGGATTAGATTCCTTTGATGCATCATCACCATAACTGAAAGAGGCAAAAAATACAAGAAAAGATATACGACAGCTACGTCATGCCTAACCCCCAACCCCACCCCTTCGAAAAAAGGAACATAGTAAAAATACATTTTATCTTAAAGTTTGATTACTGTGATTGTTTGGAGACATTGTAAGATGAAGATCAACGATTTAACTCAAAAGGCGGTTGTACGAGATGATTTGGAAGAGTTACCTGATTACACCATATCCTATTGACGAGGTTGAAAAGAAACGAGAAACTTCGAAAGGAGTTTTTGGCTTCGGAAACTATATAAAAAATTTCGCTTACAGCTGAAAATTCCTGCTTAATTTGTAACAGCGCTTCGAATATATCTTGCTAGAGCTTCGAAAGCTATATATGAGAGATACCTCAAATAAAGTTACAAGTGTCGTTTCTGTTCGATGAACACTTCCGCTTACAACAACGGTCTCATTTTAGAGCATGTTCGGCAAATTTGAGCGGCCACAAATTCTAGCATAGAATGGCTTTGTTCTGTACTCATTCGAAATATGTATCTCTTAACAAGGCATGATCTCATTATTAATATTCTAGTTTTCTAGTTTAATAAGTACCGTTATATTGAAGTCATTAAGCGGAAGTCCTGAATGGCTTTCAGACACACACAAAAAAAAAACACAGTCAAAAGACATCAAAGCCAGCCATACATCGGTATGAACTTTCCATCAAACTATTACGACGAAAAAAAGCCTTGACTACAGATTTCTTTAACCCTAATCTGAGTTTTGAAGGTGTAACTATAGAAACATCATGAGTAGCTGATCAGAGCTGCAAATAGTAATCCGTTTATAATATATTTAAAATAAAGCTTATAAAACAGTTGACCCGACCAATGCTCTCGAGAAAATTGTCTCTATTTTAAGCTTAAGAATAGCTATGCAAAACAATTGAATTACAAAACGAAAAATACACAAAGTGGTTAATGAACTTAGAAGCACTTAGCAACGGAAGTCTGATACAGCATTCCGTGAACTATTCGATAATTGCACAGATTTGAAAAAGTAAATTAAACTTAAGCTAAGGATCGAATTTACACAACCTTTGGCAATTAAAGCTGCTATTTGGCCCATCCACAGGTTTTAATGTTTTATTTCAAGTGACCAGATGTGTGTAACCATGCGATACGGCCTACAGCTGTCTTGTAAATGTGACATTGGAAATGATAAATTAGCTAGTTTAATTTGTTTACTGGATAAGGAAACTTCGTTATTCAATAGTAAGGGGACAAGGTCCCATTCTCTACTCCAGCGAGTCGGCCGACCAATCACTGGTCAAAACCTTGGAAGACTGAGATGAGTTAACTAAGATCTAGTGAACGAAGTATCACGTCCGAATATTTTGTGATAGCACAAAGACAACATGAATTAGTTCAGGCATTAGCGGTGGTTACAACTCAGCACTTTTATGTTTATATTTTTGTTTGTGGGCATTTAATGATTATTAGTTAGCTCTCATTGTTGTTCATCAGCGCAAACAATTAACGTCACTGCACGCACAAATTACAACTAAAATAAAAACCGTGAGTGGAGAGTGAATTTAAGTGGGCTGAGTCGATTTGTGGCCAAGTGACGAACTCTTCAACAAGAGAACGAGAGTGGGAATGTGAAATGCACTCTAGTCTGTGAGCAGCGAGAACGTCCGTTTTAATTGTAAAACACATTTTCAGGGATTCAGCACTTTACAAATAAATGATCACACAAAGCAAAAAAAGATGATTGAATAAAATGTGTCTGAATTGGCCAAGCCGCGCATCCACACTGATAACAAACATATTGATCACCGAGGTAGTGTCTCTAACAAGCCTGGTGGTTTCTTGGAGGACTCCTCGCCCTTCTATACTCTTAAATTTGTACAAATAGTAATTCTGATGATGCAAATTGTTTCTTGTTCCTCAAGATCTCTTTCTCTCCTTTTCTTCATTTCAACGGATTTTCAGGCAAGTTCCACAGTTCTAGATCAATTTTGACTTCATGGGAAGAAAACATGTTGACAAACAAAGTATGACAACACAAACAAATGCGTACAAAGGCGAAAAAACCAAACATGACAACTACACACAATCACGAGGTGGATAATAAAGAACACCAGCCTTCAGCCACACTCGTTTATTCATTTTAAAGTTTCGTTCCTGCAAAATTAATATACTTCTGTATAAGATAAATTTAGAATCGTCTGTCTTGCACAGTAACTGAATTTCAGCATATTTATTTACATCTGTGCTTAAAAATTCAATATTAAGAATTATATTTGTTTTTCATTAACTGGGCAGAGGTGTTCTACCTTTCACTCGAAAAAGTCTGTGAGTAAAGTGGACTAAAAAAATATCCAATTTCTAGCTCATCCAATTAATAAAATCAATCTTTGATGAAGTTTAGCTTTACTAACAAAACTAAGAAGGAGAATTTGACAAAAATTTGTCAACAAAAACTGGCATCCAGATTGCACTAAGTCTCAATAATGTCACGCTTTGAAAAAGTACCAAGAATATCTTACTAAAAATGACTTATTCATAAAACCATGAGTTTATTTATTATCATTATTATTATTTTTTTTTTTTTTGGGGGGGGGGTGTCGTTTTACTAAACAACTGTTAGAAAAGCTATAAACTTTTGCAATTGAGACAGACCACAAAATGCATGCATTTAAGTATAAATCGCAAGAAAAGTTATACGAATTCTTTTTTTTTTTCATGTCTGTTTAGTTACTTATTCTTAGTGAAATCTTGTTTAACTCTAATGTCCAGGAAGTTTGGAACAAACTTGTTGTTTCCGTTAAATCTGTAGTTCACAACACAATTCGTATCGATGAATTACGCTTCATTTAGCCTTTTTTGCCAGCTAAGAAATGGCTGACGAGTTGAGGAAAAAGGCGATACCACATACTGAATATTTCACAAGATGTCCCGGGAGACGGCCCAAAAACACATGGTTTTCGGTTGACCTTGAATTTGAAGGACTCTTAAGCAAATTTTTGCGCTTTGGATGGCGAGATAACCCAAATTGATACCTTTTCAACCACCCTTAAAAAGGTAAGCTAAGGATCTCCATGATGAATCTAAGTGGCAAAAGATACCCTCGGGACGGAAATAGAATATGAAGCTTGGCCTCAACAATGAACATTAACTGTACGAACACGCATTTCCGCGTTCGTCGTCCTTTCCTATCTTAACTAAATGACCACTTATTTCAACTTATTTCAACTTACAAATTAGTTCTTTCATCGTACACCACCACAGGATCATGAGTTGGCTCATCGTCCTGCCTGCCTGATTGGTTTTCCTGTGGAGAGCTGCCCACTTTACGAAACGTCTTCTTGACTTTCCCAGGCTTCGTAAACGAATCCGTCAATCTACTAGAAGCCTGTACGGTAGACTGGCTGCTCTCAGAATCACTACGTGACGGTGCTCTTTTATTACGGTTTTTCTTTTTCTTGGTTAAGTCAGGTTTGGCGTATAACTCGTCAGGATTGAGAGGGGCCTTGTCCAAAGTCGATTTCTCGCCGCTGGCGGAAGCAAGACCAAGACTCCTGTCAAGCTCCTCGTCTGAATCGTAACCCCTGTTCTCCATCCCTGAAATATCCCTGATGGGGAAACTGTTCCGACTTCCTTCTCCGAGATCCAATCCTTCTCGCTCAGACGCTGGGTTGTAACCCTCATTTGTAAATGACTTGCGACTTCCAGGAGAGTCAGAACCTCGCTCGTTAAATGAAGGTGAGCGAAAAGGTAGTGGGGGAGGGGGGCCAAAGCTGGAAACTCCACCTCCAAGAGCCTCAACGGTTGAATAACCGTCTTGGCTAATCATGGAGTCCTTGTGTGGTCGTGCACCTACCAGCTGCGCGCGATCTGATTTACGCGATGAGGAACGTTGCAGAGAGGAAAGATCTGGTTCTGCGTAGTCCGGATTCGGTGGTGGTGAAGGCAACGCGATGCTGCTGCTAACCCAATCGGAATCAAAGGAATCGCTTGAGCCATCGGCGTCTGCTCCACTCGGCTCTTCAGTCACATCAAGAACGGCGTTACCGTGGAAACCATGCCTAATGAGGGATGAAGGCAAATTAAGTTGAGTTGAGAGCTTCAGCATCATTGAGTCCAAATGAAGTGAACGAAGTTAGAGCGAAGTTATATCTAACAGAATAGAAAAAAATTGAATTGAACCCAACATTCACACTTAGTTTGAGGCTGCATTTACTTTGTTTTTCCTATTCATAAGATTTTACAGTCAATTTTAGCTATAAAGTATTATTTGGCACTTGTTATCAAGGCCCACTGTTAAAAGTTCTTTAATTGCTTTATTTCGTTGGCTACTCCCCTTGAAATACTACAACACGATATCACTAAGAAGAAAGTCTCGATTGTTTGATCATTTCTTTCAACAATTCCTTAATCGCTTTTGAGAGGAAATAAGATCACACGTGTTCAAGACCGTTATTCCAAAGTAGATAATTTAACTTTAACCCAAGGAGTTTATAAAACAACTATGATGTAACGGATTTATTTTTGAAGAGATCATTGAATTTCATATGTAATTTAATCAATTTTTAGTACGTTAAAATACCACTGGCAGCATCAGTAGATCACAGAATGAGTCATCGATGCAATAAAGATTAATTTAATTTTACGATAATGGATTAACAAAACTAATAGCACTGCAACTAACGTGTAAAAAGAAAACTCAATCGATTATTCAATAACTAAAAACATCGTTCGTCATATGATGTTAGACTCCTCCAGTTTTTCTATCAATGCAGAGGACTAAAATATTGTATCATTAATAACTTCATCGGGCCTTGTTCTTCATTTCTATCGGCGTAGTTTATCGATTAAGTTACATTTACCGTTTACGTTGATCGAGGAACACAAAAGGATCCCACCATCCTGTAGTGACCTGTGCCATCTAAAGCACTTCACAATCAACGGAAAAAACTGTCAGCTCAGGTTAAGTTATGAATAGGGTTTAAATAGGGAAACTGCAGTATGCAGAGAATAACTATTTAGGATTTATGAAATAAAAATTTAGACTTTTCTCTGAATCAATCGCTAATCAATCACATTGGTAAAAATTAAAAGCATACCGAGTTTTTCAAGTTTTATCTTTCTTTAAGACTTAACATGTTACTGTGGAAGGAGACTGGAGTTTTTATAAATTTTGATGTAAACGGGGTATGTTGTTCTTTTTTTTACTGATAGGCAGCCCATTACATCTTTCAACAACAGAACAACTCACATGTTTATAACATAACAGGGGACAAACAGTGATTGACTGTCAACCAATCCCCTTCCATGTTTTGTCCCAAGCTTGTGGCAAAATGAAATTCGACTTTCTTTTATCCTTCAAAACAAGCTTCCAGCTTCAAGCGTCAGATGAGCAAAGGAAAGCGCTAGCCTGGTTCGAGGGAAATGACCATAATGACCATATCCCGCAATGCACTATTGTTTTTCAGTACTCTCATTACATTCCTGAGTAGCGGTGTATTGAAATGTGCGGAGATCATATCTATTGATCATTCCTGAGAGTATAGTCATGTAAGGTGACAGGTTATGAAAGAGATGACCTCTCTTCAAAGGATTGAATAGGCAGGTCACGTGATGGCGCTTGGATTGGTTGATTTCGACCGTTGCAGTTTGTTAGATTTTATTTCTTAACCCTTAAACTCCCATGAGTGACCAAAGCAGAATTTATCCTCACAATATCAGCAAAAATCGAGGAGAAAAGTGATTGGAATAGAGAAAAATATCAAATAGGGATGTGTTAGTAGCTTTAATTCCAAATTCTCAAAACTAACATCAGAAAAAGTTGTATGGCAGACAGTGCGGAGGATCACGAGTAAAAGGGTTTAGATGTCCGTTTGATTTAGTTTCGTTGCAACAGCAATTGTTATGAATGATTCGAATCACATGTATTGAAGAGTTTGCGTATTGTTGAAAGAGTGCAAGCGATTGACTGCATATCTCATTTCAGTTCTTAGGAACTTGCCCAGATGAGCTGTCATGTGTGAGATTACAAATCCTCACCTGTTCATTTCGTAATCACCATTGAAACCATGTAATTTTCTTGATCTTTTGTATCCACCACCATCTGGAGAAAGAGCAGAGAATCGAAGTGTAATCAATGCAGTCTAATAATACAGTCTAACCAGTCCGCAGTCAAGTATGGACGACACAAAATATACAGTGCATCTCTTACACGAGAAATAAAATGAGAACTTAACGCAGAATAACAAGCACCAAGTGCCGGAAGGGAATCCATTTCACCGACTATCAAAAATAATTCTGGATAACAATGGTTTTGCTTTCATGCACTCGGCGATTCTGCAAATTCACGGCGTGGAAAAAGTACCAATTTCACGCGAAGTGAGCGGCTGCTAAGATCTTCTCGTGTATCTTGTTGCCGCAACTTGTCGCCGAGCATGTTTCGACCTTAAACAAAGGCGATGTGACCACCGTGGTGAAATTTTAAGTTTAGAGCTTCATTTTCTCGCCTCACCTCTGTTTTCTCTCCATCGCCGGAAAACCAGAAAGTAAACGGCTGCTATTATAAGAAATGCAACTATTAGCGACACACAAACGATTATGACGATCATCTGCTCCTGGTATAGTTCGCCGGTTCTCCTCTCTGTCACAGGAGGGGCCACCACCGTTGTCTCTGTTCCCTTAGTAGGAGTAACCTGTGGTTCTGTGGGAAGGAGAGTCACTGGAGGAGGAACACCTGCAATATTAAGTTCAATCCATCAGGATTTATTGTACTGGTTTCGACGGTGAAAAGACAAGCAATTATTGTAAATGATACCCATCTCCGTCTGCCAAAAGCATTCATTCTGTAAGCAGTGTTAAACAAAACTTAACATAGGAAATAATAAAGATCGATGGGTCTTGTCTCGCGCCAAATTTCCAACTCTAGACTGAAGAACAGAGCGAGAATCGATAACAAAATAAAGTTTTGAGAGATTTAAAACTGTGTCTAGTCCTAATTAGTATCTGTCTGTTAGGAGGCGCACCAGTTTTCCAAAGAAAGTTCTAAAGAGCTATCACCAGTTCCTAAGAGAGCCAGTCGAAAGATTTCAGTAAAACTGCGTCAGCTGAGGAACAGAGGTCATTCCTATTTAATCCTATGGTTCCATGAGTTACCTGTTGTGACATGAACAATCATTCCTTGTTCGCCAGTCCCTTGGCCCGCTCTTGCCGTTACGTAAATGTAATAGGTCGTGTTCGCTGACAAGTTCTTGATATCAGCTGTAGTCAAACTTCCATCTGTTGTCAGGATGCGTGTCGCGTTATTGTCAAGAGATCTGTAGGTGATCCTGTACTCTATAATTTCGCCATTGGGCCTTACAGGGGGATGCCAAGTTATTGTTATAGTGTTGTGACTCACAGATACCACGGTCACGTTACCGACTGCGCCTGGAACTTAAAAGCAAAACAATATTACAATAAAATAACATTACAAACCGATAACCAAAAACAACAAAAACGATAAAAAAGGTAGCATACAGCACACTGGCAAAACATTTATACATATTTTGATAGAGCAAATAGGGTGAAGAACACTCAAATTGTTAAGTCACAATTGACGCAGTTAAAAAGGTCAAGAAGTACAAACTGGTCAAGAGTCTTACCTCCTTCTTGTGTGACTACTGTTTTCACTTCGCTTGTGGTGCCCAGTCCTGCGCTGGTGAAAGCTGCTGCTTGAATAGAATACTCTGTAAACACTGAAAGGTTGGTCAATGTTACAGGGGATGAGGTTGTATTTACAGACAGATAATCAGCCTCCGTTAGGCTGGCCAGCCTGTACAACACAGTGTAACCACGGATGACGCCATTTCGTGCTGGAGGAAGAGGCTGAGCTATGTACACCATGATGCTGTGCTGGCTGACGGTATCCAAAGTCACATTCGATGGCGGACCAGGTGCTGAAAACAAACAAACAAGCGAAGAAGCAAATCGATATAATATCAATTTACACATTATAAATTGTTCATCTATGGAAAATTAAACAAATACTTTAGAAAATCAACGAACTTCGCATACACCGAGATAAACTTACCCGAAAAAATAGATTAACAAATTAATTATAACCGTGTATTCCACGCTGCTAAAAACATAGTTACGATTCAATAGAGTGTACATGTAAGTTAATAAAGATCTCAACCGATGGTAGAAAGACCAGTTTCGCGTTGGGACTACCGAGAAATAATTCCAGTTGTTAAAGAGGGGGGGGGGAGTGAGAAAGGAATTTATGTGTGGGTTTCCAGATTTCAAACAGACATGCCAACTTCACAAAAACGTTAGGCCTGTGACTAATGGCCTTTAACTCAGAACGTTAAGATCTGTCAATGTTTAACTTGATGGCCTATTCCAGGTATTCAGTGAGTAAAACAAAGCGGGAGAGTAGGGGCAGAGTGAAAAATGAGGGAGATCGACAGCCAATGTCAAGTCTCGGTGAAACACATATTTTCCTCTAAATGCCAAGAGTTCCCTTAAAACTAAACGAACCTCACGTCTGAAAGGTCTCGCGTTAAAAATAATTGATACTAAATCTCGCACACATTTAAAGCTATAAAACTCACCAGCTTCTAAAGTCCGAACTTGTTTAACAGGGCTCTTTGGTCCGGAGTCAACCGTGTAGGCCTGGACAGTGACGTTATAAAATGTCCATGGGTGAAGTCCTTGAATTGTAAAATTCAGTGATGAATTTGTGGAGTATTTCAATCCATCATTATGAAAATTGTAAGGACCCGCTGCCTTTGCAATCACGATGTGTTCTCTGATGATGCCGTTGGATAGTTCGGAAGGAATACTCTGCAATGAAGAAAAGGGTGAAAAGATGTATATCTTGTTAGACCTTAACGTGTATGATATTTTCCCCCGCACGTCTTCATCTTGCTACCAAATCTCATCCTTTTAACAATTCTTTGAGCGCTCCATACAAGAGTAAACCTCCTGCGAGTTTCATTTGAGAGAACGAAACGCTTCTCTTACTTGACAGACAACAGAACGATGTTTACAACGGCATGGTCCATTGGCGTTCTAATCGCTGAGACAATCATCTGAATAGGGGCCCCATAAGGAAGTAAAACGCTCTGCTCATGCTACGCACAATGATCCTCACCCAGAGCCCAACTCAATAACAAGAAGGCCAACCAATGTTTTGAATTTGCAGTTGCCTTGGGGTTCTTGGATAATATAATTAACTTTAAAGAAATGACAGAAAAAAAAAACAATAAGCCAATCAATTCACCTTCCACGTAACGAGAATGGCCTCAGCAGACAAAGCTGTTAGTTGAATGTCTTGAGGAGATGCAGCTGGAGCTAAAACAAAAACAGAAAATTCAGCCTGATCAAAATAACACCTTCCAAAAACTCTCTTGACTTTGATCGGACTTTTGAAGAAACACAGAATCATGGAAACCCTATGAATGATGGGGGTTGATTGGTTGAACTCATAGCACGCTTAACCCTTTAACTCCCAGATCAAATTTGTAATTCTCCTTACTGTCAACCATACAATTCTTATAATGTTGGTTCAGAGAATTTAGTATTGGATCAACTAATTATCCCCAAATTGATATTTTTCTTTATTCTCATCACTTATCTGGTTGATGTTGTATTGCTATTGTAAGGAGAAATTCTGTCTTAGTCACTCATGAGAGTAAAAGGGTTAAATAAACCAAACTTTAGCCTGTACCAAACTCAACTCAGCAACGACCAGAAATTGAAAGTTAAAGGAAAAAAATTCCAAAATTTATTCGAGCTCATTTTTCAATGTGGAGACTCGTCGGAAAACGAAGTAACTACAACAGACTTCAAATAAGACTGGTTTCGATAAGAGTCACCACACTGAAAAATTCACTCCGATAAGTTCCCATAGCTATGTGCAACCTATTACCTTTGGTCACTGGCACCTACAGACTCCTCCCTCAGTTATGATGTTAAGATCTTGGTGCGAAGAATCTATCTATTTATAGATATATTTATTCATTATTTGCGACACCTAGACAGGCCGGCCCAGTTCAGCTTAAGGAGGACATTTTAAACAAATATTAGGCCACACCACAACGCGGGGGCTAGGTTCCCTTAACTTCGCAAGAAATACGTGGGTTCTTAGACGTACCCTGCTAGTCAGTAGAGAGAAGATGCAGGAGACAGAGCCTACGTTTTATCGTCGTTATCCGAGAATACTAGAACGTCTAACTACTTGCGGTCAAGTGTTAGTATAAACTAACCTGCTTCATCCGTAGTCGCTTTAGTAATCGCTGAAAAGTTTCCCCACATAACATTCCTTTCCTCAGTGGCGGCACGAACTTTAAACTGGTAACGAGTAAATGGTTTCAAACCGACAATCATGGCCTGAAGCACCGGCAGCTGATTGGCGAGTAGCATTATGCTGGTGAGGTTACTCTTTTCAACAACATTGTAATGAATTTCATAGCGTGTGATCTGACCGTTAGGTGTGGTTGGTAGGTCCCAGGTGATGGTCATAGTTGTCGCATTTAAGGCTACCGCAGAAACGTTGGTAGGTGGCGAAGGAGCTGAAATGTCAAAAGTAATTACTCTGTTGTTTAATTCTCTCTCGAAAAAAAAAAAAAAAAAAAAAAAGAATAGAAAGTACTCTTACAATTGGGGTAAAGAAGCCTGAAACGTTATTTCTGCATGAGATTATGTTGCTTTATAAAGACAAGATCTCGACTATGACCTAGAACTTGCTGACTTAATACAACTGGCCAAGGCCCATATGAACTGAGAGGCAGTGAAGCATAGAAAATATCGAGTCTTTTTTTGCATATGGCATAATTATTGTCAAGCAGAATTCTGCAGCACGCCGAGCTATCCACAAACGCTTCACTCCTGAAGGCAGGCGCAAATAAAGCGGTTAACTTTCCAACTTACCATCTTGTAAGGTTTTGTTCGTAATATTGGCCCCGTTACCCAAACCAGCGGCATTACGAGCAGAAATCCTAAAGGTGTACAAGGTGAATGGACGAAGATTCCTCACAGTATATGACATGGCAGAGATGACCTCTTGTATGACGACGTAGCTTTCAGACTCTCTCCTCATTTCCAGCTTATAACTGGTAATTGGACTGTGTCCATCAAAAACGGGTTGCCATGACAACTGAATGGCAGAGGAGGATACCGGGATAGCAGAGATTGGAAATGGAGGACTGGGAGCCACTATTTATAGAAAAAAAGTTGACAATAAACATTTAGGAGAAGAATTGACCTTAAAAGGTTACTGAAGGATAGAGTCTTAGGTAATTTGAAGATGGTGTGCAACGTAAAAGAGAGAGAACTCGAAAATTTATTTTAAAATGACCAAGGATGAATGTTATTTCATTATTTACAGTATATATAACTGTTCTTGTGGGTGTCTGTTCCATAACCTGAGCAGAGGATATTATCAGGGACAAGAGCAAGGGGAATATGGTTCGTGAAAGTTTCAATCGGCCAGTGAAGTGAACGTCATTTTGAACGATACTATTGTTCTGTTCACCTTTTGAACCCTGGCATCAGTTTGCATATTCACCATACTGTTCTCCGTGCATTTGATAAGGTGCTGAAAAGGATACTTTTTTAATAATAAAGAGTTTCTTGCGTTGAAGAAGAATTAGATACTAGTCACTCTTAGGGATTAAAGTGTTAATACATAAAGTAAAAAATGTAGTAGGTACCGAGCAGTGGTTGTTCACATCTGTTTGAATATGTTCAGAGAGCACCAACTCGGAGCAATCTGAATATCACATAGAACTTAAATATCTTGAAATGATCTTTGCTCTGAGCCGTAACCGTCAACTAACCTTGCACAGTTAGATTTCCATGCTTTGATACCCTTCCCGCTGCGTTAGATGCGGTGCAAGTATATACTCCAATGTCAGCTTCACGAATGCTTCCAATCACAAACAAGCTGCTAGACGAGGACAATAACTCGCCGTTCTTGTACCACGTGATACTTGGTTTAGGCGTACCTCTCACGGAACAGTTTAGTACAGCGCTCGCACCGAGTTTTACCAGTCGAGGTACGTAAAATAATGTTATATTTGGTGGGACTGTAAAGAAAAAACAGATACTTTACATCAGAGACTTAATTGGGTGAGCTGCTCCTGCATCGAGTCACGACGGCAGTCCTTGTGGACAGCTCCCCACCAAATCTAGACGAGTACTTGTAAAATGTCCGAGACACCTGACCTAAACCTAAGTAGTATTTTATCGCTATTTCCTGGAAGAGTAGCAATACTTCTGTCGCTTCATACCACACACACTGGGGTTAGCTCTAGCCTCCACACTAGTCAGTCTCTCAAGCAGAAATTACCCGGCGAGATATGAAAGTAGGAAAACTGCCCCGTCTGCGAGGCAGCGCAGCCGCAAGCAAAGAATCTTGTATATGAGTGAGAAAATTTTGGTGTTATGGATTGTGCGCATCATCCATTACAAGGAAAAATAGTGTTACAAATTCATTGGTCTACGGAGACAAAGATTTAAAATAAAAATCGTCTTGTAAGACTTTCGGCTTCTCATCAAATCAACAGATTTTCAAAATAGGTGCTTTTATACCTTCACTCCCAAAGAGGAATTTGTTCTTACAACATTAATACAATTCCACGCAGAGAGGTGACGAGAAAAAAAGGAAATATCCACCTATAATATTGTTCGATTTAACGGCATACTCTTTGAACTTAATTAACAAGATGTGTTAGCTAGACAGTGTAGAGAATTTGGTCTAGATCTTAGGAGTGAAAGTGTTAAGGTTTTTACGCAAGAACACGATAATTATAAGTAACGATCTTTTACCCAAGGCTCAGCTTCTTCAATTGCCTGTTGATGAACACGGAAAAAATTATTTAAAGTACTCAATAAACTAATTTAAATCGACATCAACCCACCTTGAACGAGCAAATGGGTCGTTCCCACATGTGAATTCAATCCATTGCTAACGTTACAGCTGTACTGCCCAGAATCACCGGCGACCGTACTCACAATCGTTAAACTGTCTTCACCAATCGCAATCCTTGCTCCTGGGGTCAACTGGGTTCCACCTTTAAACCACGTAACTACTGGTTTGGGATCACCAGATGCATTACACCGGAATGAGGCTGGGGAGGACTCATTCACGGTTATATTCATTGGGTTCATATCGAGTCTAGCGGGAACTGAATGAAAACAAAAGAAATGTCTTCAAAATTGGCTAAAGCGCGGGAAAACATGTCTTGTAGAGAGCAAGCCGCGGTTCACTTGTAGAATTGCAAATGATTGGTTGAGAGGGTGGCTGAAGTTTTGTGGACCAATCAAAGAACGGCATAGAGCAAAGCTAAATGAGTCCTATAGAGGGCAAGTTATTATACAAAACTGTGGTGCTGTGCCGGTGGCTGTTACTAGAAAATTTGGTTTAAATAACTCAAGCGATAATATAAATTGGTCTCCAAGAGTACTTCGTTAGAGCTCTGACGAAGGGCCAACGCTCGAAACGTCAGCTTTAGAGACTCTCTACAGTGGCCAATTTGCATTATTAAGTCAGTCCCAGATTACTTTCAACACCATCATATTGAAGAGTGCTGTGATTTCTTAATATTTTCGAGGTTAACACGCTAGGTACCTCTCACTGTTAAATAGGCCGATGCTTCCAAACTTCCAGCAACGTTTTCAGCTCGACAAATGTATCTTCCTTCGTCTTTCTTCGTTATCTGCTTGATTTCAAGGGATCGGGTCAAAATATCGTAATGATCTGTTTGATTGATTTGAACCATAGACCCTTCAGATTTGTAGAACCACTGAATGCTCGGGTTTGGAATTCCACTGAACGCGCACGTAAACTTCACGATATCTCCTACCGTCTTTGTAGCGTTTTCTGGCGGCGAGACCAGTGAAGGCGGAACTAAGAGAAAAGAGATTAAAACTAAATAAAGGCTTGTCCACTTGCCAAAAATAATTGTGGTTACTACCAATTCGTTTGAACCTTCTTCATCTTAGAAGTAGAAATATACTGTACCAAGTGGGTAATTTTAACATCTCCTGTTAAAAAGTGTACATGAAATTATTGCACGGATTGCGTCTTGAGTTACCAGTTGAAAGTATTTTGTGGTTTTGTTTCTTTAGCATTATCTGACATGGTAACTTAATACTGTCATGTAATGCTGAAGCATTCAAAAAGCTTGACTCACTCATCAGACAAGTACAAGTACATGCATGTGTTTTAGTTGAGAGAGAGGCTTTCTCTCTGCCTCTCAACTGGACCAGTAAGTAAGACCTTGGAGATAAATTGTCCCCTGGCTCAAATTTAAGGGGGGAGGAAATGCTTCTGTATCCATTGTCTTTTCAAAACCAGAAGCAATTAATTCTATCCTTAACCTTTAACTTTGTTTCTCATTTTAAATGTGACTCAGACTGTCTTAGCTTTGCCTAATTAAAATAATATCATTTTCTCACCATAAATGGCGACAACAGCAGTAACACTGACAGAACCTGCGACATTGTTTGCGATACATCTAAATGTCCCAGCATCCTGCTTAACAGCACTAGAAATGAACAAGCTGCCATTGGACAGAAGCGTCACATGATTATTCTGCACAGCCTGACCATCTTTCTGCCAGGTTAAACTTGGCATTGGATCGCCTTTGGCCTGGCAGTGTAACATAAGTGGAGAACCTTGTGTGACGTTGGTATTACTGGGCCGAACTTGAAAAGATGGTGGTACTGAAATAAATTGAGATAGATCTGGGTAAGTTTAAAAGTCACGAGTCCTATTTTAGTAGAAGAAAGACATAAAATGTTTGTGTGCTAAAGACAAGTTGCCCAGAGGTACTGTGGTATGTAGCCTGACTACAACCAACAAGCACAGGTGGCAATCCTATGTGGAAATTTTAAGACAGCCCCATCTTGCCACTTCAATATAGACCTCTTTTATAAATGGTGGCCCCAAATTTTCATTTCACAATCTATGAATGCAAATCAGCCCTCCAAATGTCCAAACACAGCACAACTTTCATTCAAAAGCAAAGCAAAAATAGGCAGCAGGACAGGCATAATTCTTTCTGTTTTTCAAGTGAACAAAGATAAGTGTTAAGCAAATGCAAGTCACATGCAAGAGTTTTTTTTGGTGCTTCTCCCACAGCGTGAGACTCACACTTGCCTCCATTTGCCTGAAAAGTACCAAAAAGAATTTCACCTGTTCTGCATGCTAAGTAAAGAATGTTTATTGGCAATCGTTCACTAAAAGGATAATGATCATACCTGCCATTGATGTCAATCATTGCATAAAGAAAGTAAGACTGACCCTTTCAACACATTTCTTAAGTTACTCACCATACACAGCAACAAAGGCCACAGAGGATGTTCTTGTGGCACGAAGGACAGAATTTGTTGCATCACAGAAATAACTCCCTTCATCAGAATTTGCTATGGAAGTAAAAGTTATTGTGCCTGAATTGTCAATAGTAATTCTGCCGCCAGGTGTAATCAGCTGATAGTTGTGAAACCAATTAATTGTGACCTGAACAGGAAAACTGAAAGGAGGAACACAGGACATGCTGACCGCATCACCAACAACAGCTGTCTGATTGGTTGGATTCTCACGAAAATTGAATTCAAAGTCTGAAAATGAAGAAAATAAATATTCATTGTCTTTTCTTTTGCAATACTTAAATGCTTAAGATTTAATTTCTAAGAACGCTATCATATATCATTTTTGTACTTAAGTAAGCACAAGGTGATGATTTAATTGCCAGTTTCATTCTCTGGTTTACTCATTTGTGTTTAAAAGTTTTATTAACCACTAACAAACTGATAAAACCTTAAATAGATATGGTTAGTATTCAGTCAACTTACATGCCACTCTGAAAAACACAGGAAAACTTGAGACTGATCCAGCTGTATTTGTCCCATTACACACATACTGCCCAGCATAAGAGTTTTTCACTGGAGGAGCAAAGTAAAGTGAGCCATTACCAAGCATGTACCGGTCAGACACATTGTTCACAGGCTGACCATTCATTGTCCATGATATCACAGGTGGGGGAACACCAAGAATTTGACACTGAAGAATGGATGGAAGGTGCTCAGGTACAATCATATTTGTTGGACGAATACCAAAGTGAGGCTTGTCTTGAGCAGCTGCAAAAAGCCAAACACAGACTGGTTTAACAGTAACACAAAATAATATTTAAATAATGCATTTTCATCAAACCTTAGCCACTGACAGTAATTCTGTGCACACTGGGTCAGTTAAAATCACCAAGTCACTGTGTTGAATGCACACCAATGTGTTTAATTAAGGCATAATTTCATATTAAAACCAAAAGGTAATAATTTGTGATGTGTGTGTGTATGAGGCTGCATAAGAGACAAAAGCACAAAACTTCACCAGTTTCCTGAAGGGTTCTGTTCTAACTTGTGAAGCTCAAAATTAAATGTATCAAGTAGATATTAGTCCTGTCTCTTCCTTTAGCTTGTCTATTACACATGTCTTGAAGCTCAATTGCTGCACAAGATTGGAATATTAATTCTAAGATAAGTTCACATGCCTTAATGATTAAATAAGAGAACTTAACCTCTATTTGACAGCAAAACAACAAACAGCTGTACTTGTGAAAATGATGTCAATTTAAAGCCATCAACTCAAGCTGTAGCTGAGAAAAAGATCTGTAAGATTGACCATAAAGCCTGACAACCAACACTGTCTACTATTATAGCTAAATGTAAATTCATCCACATCAAACTTGAAAATCCTGCCTTTAAGTATTCATCCACCACCAAAAATAAATGTACTTACGAAGTACAGTTAAATAAGCCTTCTTGCTGTACTGTGGCAGACTGGGTAACAAAGGATTTACAGCCACACAGCCATACCATCCTGCACTTGAGAATGTTACATTCCTCACTGACAGGGCTGATGATGTGGCCTTTATGCTAGGAATTTGAAATGGACCTGTTACTTCACCACCAGTAAAGGTCTTTCCATCTTTCTGCCAGTGAATGGTTGAATAGGGTAGACTTTCTGCAATAACACAGTCAAATGTTGCATCCTCTCCCAATCTTTTTCTTAGATTATGTGGATTTGTGAGGTACTGTGGTTTGATGTCTGTAAATTGAAAAGTCATATTAACACATATGAAGCTGTAATTAAGTACCGTTACCATTAATAAATGGCATGGAAAAACGAAAAGAGAAGGAGATAAGGAAAAGAAAATTCTGCACACAACAAATTAAAAACATACATGCTGCTTGAACAGTTGCTTTTCTACTGTAATTGACTATGGATGTGCCTTGAACTGAAGCTCCACAGACAAAAGTGCCAGTACTATTAGCAGGAAAGCTGCTATAGTACAAAGACTGATTTGCTAACTGGGTCCAGGGTGCATTCTTGGGATCCAACAGCCATTGGTTATTATTTTTCCAAGATATCGCAACATTTCCAGATCTACTGTATTTGGCCTGGCAGTTGAGGAGAAGGGGCTGTCCTACAGCTACAACATGGTCTGATGGCTCTATTGTGAAAACTGGGAAAAAAAAAAAGGATTTTAGTGCTTCTTCCTTAAGGATTATGTTATCAGCATAAGCACCCCTCTCTCTTTAATAGATCAAAATGTTTTTCAAAAAGCATTAAATTCATAATAACTCTAGGTTAATTGTAGACCAACAATAAACATTCAGATAAAAAGAAAAACTTCCAACTTGATTATCCTTCCAAAAGTAATCATAAAAATGTGCTCCTCAGTAAACTAACAGAGCTTAGCAATGCATATCAAGTTTTGTTTGCAACATATCTAAAAATATAGAACAATTATTAAACAGCAACTACATGTGAGTTTTGCAATTTTTCCATTTAAATAATCTGCTTTTTTAAGGAAAAAATTTGTCCAGCTACATAACTGACAATGTGGAGAAAAAATTCAAATTAAAAGATTACTCAAATGAACATCACTATGCAGATTATCAGAAAATAATATACATGTACTTGTCCCATGGATAACTCATGTTGAAGATTAACTTGTCCAAGATAAATCATGCTTGTTCTGCACAATCCTAAGATTGGTTTGGTTCACCCTGTCAAATGTTTACTGCCATGGGGAATAAATTTGAATTCTTTGTGACTGTGCTGAGCAACTTAGCTCTGGTGACCAATGGTGAGAGAATACAGTACAAATGGAATTCTTGGAATCATAGAAATTGTAATCATAAAGCACTCTCTTTTTGGTGCTGTTCATAAACATACCTGCCCAGGTGGAAATCTTATTAAGATCTTACTAAGATTCTTGTAAGTTTCTTACTAAGATTCTTATTAAGATTCTTAATTAAGAATCTTGTAAGACCTTACAAGATCTTGTAAGATCTTGTCACAAGATTCTTACAAGAATCTTGTAAGATCTTACAAGATCTTGTAAGAATCTTGTAAGATCTTACAAGATCTTGTAAGGATCTTGTGGCAAGATCTTGCCAGATCTTGCAAGATTCTTGTAAGAATCTTGTGACAAGATCTTACCTGATCTTGTAAGATCTTACAAGATTCTTGTAAGAATCTTGTGACAAGATCTTACCTGATCTTGTAAGATCTTACAAGATTCCTGTAAGAATCTTGTGACAAGATCTTACCAGATCCTATAAGATTCTTAACTAAGAATCTTGATAAGTATCTTAGTAAGAAACTTTCAAGAATCTTACAAGATCTGGTAGGATTCCTGTGACAAGAATCTTAATTAATTGTCTTAATGATCTCTAAAAGAACTTACAAGAACTTGTGAGATTTTCAAACAACTTACAAGAATTTTTGCAGAATCTGTAAAAATTCTTAAATATCACATTTTTTTCAGACCATAGTAGGTAACTGATGGTTTATGCAATATGCAGTAACTGGATGATCGAGGAATGGAGATCACAACTAAGAAATAATTTTTTCATCCAACATTTAAGCAAAATTTATTGCAAATTCTCAACACTGTGAAATTAATTACTAAAAAAGATCTTGATAAGAAACGTTAACTGGTAAACATGCACAATTTAAATGACAATTGTACAAGAAGAGTTCTTGTTCTTCCCTTCGGTGTGTTTTAAAAATCTAAAAAAACAATTGTTTTAATTGTTGGAGTCATTTGACAGTTTGATTTGAACTACCATAGTTATCCTTTCACAAAAAAGCCATAATAACTAAAGGCATGTCCCAGTTTTAAATTGTTCTTCATTTGATTCAAACTGAAATAGTTTTTCTTTTTTTAGAGTAATTTAAGCATGAAAAAAAACAACAACAACAACAAAATTTTGTATTGCAGCAAACGTGTTCAAAGAATTAAAGCTCACTATCACTCATCTTAGTTGGCATTTTAGTCAATTTGACAGCTACTTGACAAGTAAATTTGCATATATTTCAATTTTGTACAAATATCAACCAAGCCTTAGTTCATTCAGTCTACGGACTTATCAACATTGCCCTCTACATTTTGAACTTTTCTCTTGGAATCCAAGCAATTTTTTTATTCAAGTAGAGCCTTATTTGAGACCACCTCTTATTCATTTGGGCATCACCAAATTTCTGTTTTATGGCTCCTGTGGGAAGAAAAAAAGAAAATAGTAAATTTGTATACAGGTACAAAATATACTAAAACCTTGAGAGCGTATTTTTTAAAATCCCTGCCAGAGAGGAGTAATAGGAGTTTGGTTTTATTGTACATCTAAAATGAAATATAACATGTTAGGAGACAAGAATCAAGGTTGGAAAAAAAACCCTCAGTGTTTAAATAATTAAGTATCATAATCTATTGTCTGCAGTAGAATTGTTGCTCTGACTTCAATTCCAGCTTTCAGTAGCCTGACTTGTGAGGAGTACTTACTAAGGTAGAGGGGAGGAGCTTCTCAATGGTTCTCCTTGATTACCATCATGCCTCATCTGTACGCAAAGAAAAGGAGGTAGTGACTATCTTTAACAAGAATTTATCATCTTTAAGAGCAAAATTTTTATGTACAGGTTCCCAGTTATGAATCTTGGCAATTTGCACTGCCCAACTCCAATCCAACAAACTTTGTTTATGCTTTGCACTGCTGAAACAGCTATTCCCAATTCCCACAAAAAGTTGATAAATGAAAAATTACCTTTTTACAATCAGAGTTGCAAGAGAGTTGCCACCCTTCTATCCCATTCTGTGCTTGTAGCATTAAGATGGGACTCAAAGTCTACTTTATTCAGGATACAATCATTTTTACAGGTGATCCTATCTCTCCAGTTCTCCTGTGAATATGAATTGAAAAAATGTTTACATTTGTTGAGCAATCCCTCCACTGAATTAAGTTTCATTAATCTTTAGAACAAAGAAAATTGTGAGAAAGGGAAGCAAGGAATCATAACTCAGCATTAAATGAAAACCAGAAAAAAAATACACACACATTCACAAAACAAAACATATAAAAACTAAACAGAACCAAACAAAATACAAAAAATGTTGCATGGAATTAATACAGGTATCGAATGTATTAGAGTAAAATTAACAGGATAACAGTGCCAAAATTCTAAGTCAATGAAGTCTTGAAGGAGGGGGGAGGGGGAAGGGGGAAATGAACTATCATGCACCAACATTGAATATTTAGAGTTCTTACATCATCAGAAGAACTTCCCATTTTTTGGTAATTTTTGTTTGCTTTGGGGAGATTCCCACCACTGTGGACACGGCCGTGATAATCAAACCCAGTTTGGCTTTCATCATCATCCTCATCAGTGGAAACTTTTAAGTAGAACGTGGCAATTTATAATTCATTATTTGGGAATAAAGGAATTCCATAATCAATTTCGCGTTGTTATTGCACCCTTCTAGTTTAACTTCTAGTGGTTATTAGTAAAGCCGAAGACAAATTAATTGTTTAATGTGAACCATTTCCATGCGAGACGACTGGAAGCTACGATGATTCTGCCTACAACACTTAAATCCAGAACAATCTGGATTAAAACTGACTTGAGAGAATTGCTACAAGTGCAGTAAGGTTAGCAGCCGCCGTTACGTGGTTTTGAAGATGATAGCGTTACATCTCGTGTCAGTTTCCACTCAATTCTAAACAAAAACGCTTCCTGACGAAATCGAACCCTAACGAGATTTTATGATTTGCCTTATATAAAAATACCGTGGCCTTGCAATTACATAAACTTATCGTCACTTTTTTCGTCCATGCTGAAAGAATCTAAAAAGTGCGAGAAATAAGTCTGTCGCATCACCTTCCAGATGTGTAATGTTGATAACGTGAACTTAATGAATAAAAGTCAGTAGCACTTACCTTCGGGATGATTTGCTTCAGTTGCAGTCGTGCACTAGTTGTTTTTTTAGAAATCTTCTCAAGATACTTAAACTACCAAGACCAATGTGTTCCTTGAGTTATAAAGCGAGTGTCGTGCACAATCATACGTGTGCTTTCTATGTGCTTAGATGTGTAAACTATTCACCTGAGGCCCCTTCACGTGACAGAATAAAACAAGGATATCGCAACCTTGAATGTGTAATCGTAGTGTTCTTTCAGAAGAAAAGCAAACGCGATTTATCTCCTCTGGTGTGCTGTAAACTCATGTTACTTACCGACTGCGTCATTTTCCGTATTTTGAGCGACAGTAACATTAGTTATTTTGTAAAGAACTTGGCTTGTAAAATCCAAATTCTCGAGATCATTATTCTTCTTCAGGGCTTTAGACACAATTAAATTTCGCAACGAGGTAGATAACACTCAACCAAAGTAAAATTTCTGTAGAACTTTGCCGAAACGAAATGGCGCGAGAACGGTTGACAACAACGGTCGAGTGAACAATTTGTAATTTTGCGCCGGCCGTAGCGGGAGACTGGGGAAAACCTTAGTGAAAGTACAAAATGTCACGCAACTCTCGCAAGTATTTTGTAAGTAACTACCTATAAACTTTTTTAAAATACTTTTAATTTCTGCCATCTGACCGGTCTGCAAATTTCCGATGTTTATTTGTTATTATTTTGTAAAGAATTTGGTCGGTAAAATCCTAATTCTCAAAATCATTCTTCTTCTTTAGGGCTGTAAGGCACAGTTAAATTTCGCAACCAGGCAGATAACACTCGACCAAAGTAGAATTTCTGTCAAACTTTGTCCGAAACGATATGATGCAAAAACAGTTAACAACAACGATCAAGTGTACAATTTGCAATTCTGTGTATGCGCAGTGGCGTGGAATGCCTTGGTGAAAGTACAAATTTCATGCAACTTTCTTGAAAAATATTTTTACAAGTAGCTAGCTATGAATTTTTTTTTTAAATACATCTTTTTACTCTGCCATCTGGCTGGTTTGCATACTGCCATATTTTTTTTTCTGAACCATATCAGCGAAAGCCTCTTGCTTGTGGAATGTGGTGACATTATCTATGGGTGTCTTTATGTTCAAGGCAAAGATGGAAAGGTTTAATCCCTTTCTAGACACTCCCTATGAACATGATTAGTGATTATTTAAACTAGCTGTTCAGTATATTTCATAATCAATCATCAAATGTAATCTGAAAAGTCTGTCCAAATTTAATCTGTTGATACCATAATTCCAGTGGAACAATTACCTCTTTAGAAAGCAGCTGCATGTATGTTGTGTTCTCAGGTCTGAAATTTGCACACCATACCATAGAAGCTTACTTGACATTATGTGATCCCCTTTTGGACATGGGATTTTTCACATCATGTGTGAGAGGTTTTAAGCCTTATGCATCCCCATGCTCTCTTATGAACAGAACAGGATAAGCATTTCAAGTTACTCAAGAATGTACCGGAATAAACTTGATAAAATCTTGTCAAGACATTTAAATTCCTACTGATCTTAAAATTTTGATTCTTACAAAACTCTTAGATGAACTTTAGATGAAATCCTGTCTAGAATCTTTATGATATTACATTTACAGATCTTACTTAATTATTAAGATTCTTAAACAAACTTACCAAGATCTTGTCAAGAAGCTTGTAAGATCTTCCTTTTCTTAAAGATTAGGATTCTTACAACTGAGATTCTTAAGTGAACTTTATATGATGTTGTTAAGAACTTTCAAGATCTTAATGCCCATGTGTTGTAAAAATTTTTTTAGGATTCTTAAAAGATTCTTAAATAAACTTAATAAGATCTTGTTGAGAACCTTTCAAGATCTTAATCCCCATTTCTTGTAAAATTTTGTGAGGATTCTTACAAGATTCTTAAATAAACTTAATAAGATCTTGTTAAGAACCTTCCAAGATCTTAATCCCCATGTGTTGTAAAATTTTGTCAAGATTCTTACAAGATTCTTGTATAAACTTAATAAGATCTTTTAAGATCTTACAATGCTCAAACCTGGTTAAGATTTGTTCAAGAATTTGGCAAGATCTTATTAAGATTATTAATTCTTAATAAGATCTTAGTAAGATCTTCATCTTAATTGCCATCTTATAAGATTCTTACAAGATCTTCCAAGATCTTACAAGATCTTCCAAGATCTTAATAAGATTTCCACCTGGGTGGTCATACATTCAATAATTGTCTTTTGAAATCACTAGAAAATCACACTTCAGATCAACTATATACTTTTCCAGTATTTATTATCCAACTGCACGAAGTAGAGTGCAAGTAATGCATGAATAGAATACAAATATCATGTAATATTGTGCAGTTGGTTAGTTTGTACTGTAAAAGAACCTGTCTATCAGGTTGGCTGCTTAAGTCACACTTAAATATACACTTAAACTGATAAATAATTAGGAACACTTTCAAGAAAAATAGAAGTTGGATAATAAATAACTTATTAGCTGTTTGGGTGGGTAGTATTGCTTAGTATTTTCACTTGTTTTTTGTATTTTGACAGCATACGGGCTTGTCAAATATGGCACAACTCATAAAAATACTAAGCAATACTACAAACCAAAATGTTTAACAAGACATATATATATATATATATATATATATATATATATATATATATATATATATATATATTTTTTAAGCTGCTGTAATCAATATGCCTCAAATATTATCATCATCAAAAGGACTCTCTACTTTCACCATATAGTGAAATCATTGATTCATTTTTCCCCTCTAATTATCAACATACAACAACAGAGAGATCTGAGAAGTCATTGACAGCATCACTTTCTCCACCATAACAGTTTGTTTCTATTTTTTGTATCTATCCCTTGTGCAATTCAGTAGGATAAAAACAATAAGGTGAGAGTGCTTCTCATTTAAAAAGATCAACTTAGATCAACATGTGAAAGTTGAATAAATTGTCATTTGGCCATTAAGTTTGTTTCCATAGCATTTTCAGATCCAACCACTAAGGAAGATACAATTTTCTGTTACTCAGGTCAGGGGTAGTTTTACAAAACCCTACTTTTTGGAGAAAGAATGTAAATAATGTTTTAAATTTATTATTTCTTTCGGAGAAAATATCTACTTTCCTTCTCCCCAACAATATTGCAACCGTCACTAAGGAAGTGTCCCAGTATACTTTGTTGAAAAAACTACAGTCAGAAACAGCTTTTCTAATCAAAGATATTGATCTCTCAGGGACATTTGCTGAGGACTTAATTTCAAAATACACAACTCACTGTAATCAATAGTACCACTTCTAGAGAAAACTCGTAGTGAAGTTTGGTAAATAAACTCAGTTTTGTGAACTTTGTGATACAAAAAAAAACCAAAAAAAAACCTTTTTTTCCCTCAAATGTATATGAAGTAAGCGAAACTCATATAATCTCCCTTGATATCAAGACATTAAACTATGCGACGGTCGAAAACGGAATATATGACGAAACAAGTCATAAACAATCTCAAGTATCACTGACTTCTTCATCGCAATAATCATTAAAACTATCATGACGTAAAACTGAGTTGTAAACTTTTACTCACTCAAACTTGCATATGCTGGAAGTATAGCATTGAAAATCGTTGCGATCACCACAGCGCTAATGAAGGAATTATAACCCATTTCAAAGAGACATGCACAGCGAGGGAGAATAATTATAAATCGTTGATCCTTGGATACATCATGTTTGGAATTTGCTGATCCTTAGGACTTGTGCAGCATGATTTTTTACTTCCTCGCAGGTTAAGAGATTCCACTAAAGCATCATTAGGGCTAAATTAGAGAAAGGTTTCTCTAGGTTGCCTTGGAGAAGAAAGAATTTTCTGCAGCATGAATTTCAATGTTTATAGGTTCCTCGGGGTAGGACGCCAGAGGTGATTAGCAACGAAACGCCTGCGATATTGAGTACAGTGGTTTTATTATGAGAACTTCCCGTTTGATCTTCACTGATGAAGTACGGAAACTGTGTCGGTACGGGTTCGGTGTTCGGCTTTATTTCGGTTTTGATTCGGTTTCTTATGAAAGCGGAAGGGTATAAAATATGACAATTCGCAATTTTCAAAAGCAAGAGCGGGTTAGCCAAAATAAGAGGATAATTTTTTACTCATATGGGTAGCGCCTTAAAAAAGAAAAACTGTTTCAGTTTACGTTGTTCCTGTTCATCGATTTCTGGAAGCTAGTCATCATAAGTATTTTTCTCTTTAAAGAAAAATTAAAATTTAAAATTAATTTTTTTTCAGAATTCGGGCATCGACGGATGTAAAAGTAACTTCATGGCGGTAACCTGGGGGCAATGAGGTGATAAGTGGAAAAATGCTAATCTTTATCGGTAGAAAATTGTCAGTGGGCGAAGACCGTGAAGATTATCCAAGCTCCAAGACCATAAAATGCATATACAGCTTGAAAATTGGACTATCTATTTTTCCAAAACTCTTAAATCATTCAGTTGAAGATGTATAGTAATTTTATGGAGCACTTGGCTAAATTACGCATAGGAAGGGGGAAGGAAAGCTATCTATGCGTTAAATCTAAAATGCGAGTTAATTTAAGTCAGTTAATGCACAAGTAGAATTACATTAACATAAGTCCTAAAGATTACTGTTACCTTTGGTAGATAACCCGTGGGACCTAATGATATCGGAATAGAATGGAAAGCCGGAATATATGTTTACACGCTCCACAAAGTACGCAATCAATGTACGATATTATGACGCCCGACGGCTCATAGGTACACACGACATTAAAAGGGATATCCCTGACGTATAACTCATTATAAACACTAAGAGTTCAAGTTTCTTAAAACACTTCTAATATACTGATTGGCTGGTATTGGGCGTCGGTAATTTTCATACAAGAGAAAAACCGTCGAGAACCGTCTCTCTGTTTCGTCAAAGGAATGCCGCGGATAGTTTGATTAGAATCAGCCAAACTCCAACAGTTCTCTCATTCGTTAAAGTTATGTCTAGCTCTTGTCATTTGTTTATTTTCATGTTTTGCCGATTAATTAAAACTTAAGTTTTAATTTTTTAGGTCTCGTGATCTTCTCCCGTTGACGAACGGCAATTAGGAGTAAATAGATAACCCCAAAAAGTTTATGTTACGTTATTTACATACCTTTTCTAATACTCCGGCTATGGGCATTTTAATTAGGTTTTCAAAAATAGTTCTAAACGGGCTAGTCTGGAATTTATGAAAGACCTTAATCCAGCCTTATGTGAAATTATCATAAATTGATGTCAGAGACGTGACAGAAGTGGTGTTCTAGTTTGTTCAACGATTAGTCAGGGATGATGCTTTACTGAAAAGTATCGGATAAAGAAGAAAAGTACATTGCCTCCGAAATACTGCAGATGTCATGGACAAAGATGCAGATCATATGAACAAAAAATGCTATTTTTTCTGAAGCCGTGACCAAAAACAAACTGATTTAAACGTCAAGGCTTAGTTTGACTTTGGAGAATTTAGAGACCGTTTAAGCTTCGTTTCACAAATCAAATAAAAAGTCCATTTATGTCAGTGGGAGATCACAAAGGGAATAACAAGAAGGAAAATATTTCTTGCAACAACCATTATTTGAAGTTAATAAGAATAACAGGACGGCGATGTACTTAGTAATCGATGTATGGTTCTCTCTATGGGTTAATAAGGGCATTGTGTACTTATTTTGATCTTTGACAAGGGATGTGGCGCCAAAGCTCGTGGACGCGATCTGTGATTGGTTAAATACACAAAGCTGTTAATCCGGCCAATGGTTGGCTGAATTGCATTGTTCTCAAACAGCTGCTTCACAAAGACCAATATATTCAGCAGTGATGTTTAGTCTCGAAAGTGACACAGTTGGTCAAACGTCTGTGGAAAAAACAAAATTCAATTCTTTCCCTACTCTCGCGCAAATGATGTATGTGTGCATCGGGAAGGGCGGGTGCCGAACGAACCGCCGTCGCTCGCCCCAGTACGGAGACATGGTGCCTGTCTCACCATCTAAAATCAAACAGAAAAAAGGAAAAAAGACAGAAATATACAGTGCAATGAACGGAAACTATCAACCGCCAGATTATTCGCGAACAGACTGCAACTTTCAAGACGATTTCGCCCCAAATGTGAGTGCACTTTCGCTGGATGTGAACGATAATCAGAAAGCTCAAATGCTGCCGTCTCCAACAAAAGCTACAACTTTTCCTCGAAGGAGTCATGCTAAAACACCACCACAAAAACCTCCACGGGGATTGCCACCGAAGCCCCCTCGCTTGATGGAAAGAAAAATTTTTACTTGCGAAAATCCGTCGTGCCAAAAACAAGAGGAACTGCTGGGAATCGTCGCGTTGGATTTTAAGTCTTGTCCATCATGTTTCACACACTATTGCTGCATGGAATGTCGAAAGACACATTGGAGCGAACATCGCGTCGTGTGTCACTACGGACAAGTCGATAGTCACACGAAGTCGATAATAAACATGAGTAACGAAAACCGTGAGTTGCTTTATCATTTGACTGAAATTGCACGAGATGGATTCATTACTAAAGGACGAGGAGCTGTCATGCTTGTTTTTCTCTCACCGAAAGCTGCGGAACTCTTCGTGAAAACTGGCGTTGATTATTTTCGTAATCCTCGAAACTCGCCAACTTTTTCGTCGGCACAAGAACTTAAAGACGCCGGAGTTTATTCAAAACATCAAAAACAGCTTTTAAATCTGGTGAACGATTATCACCCAGCTCAAGAAATGGTTCTCAATATTGCGATCGTTGTAGGGAAAAACCTCCCGAAGACACCGATACCTCGAAATAAAGAACCCGCAGTTATAACCCAGGTTAAAATTCCTTTCACAGGAAGAAAAACTTCTAAGACTTTCAGTCCTCAAAATAGCCAAGAGTTTGACATTTGCACATACAACGTCAGAAACAGCCCAAGAAGGAAGTCTCTTTGAAAATCGTAAACAAGATTTCGTGTTCGTTGTAGTATTTTTTTTTTAGTCCTCATGTAGTGTGCCATTTATCTTTGTCAATGATGAATAAATCATATATTTATACCGTTTACAAGTTAACTTCTCGAAATCAAGTCAGAGTACAATATTTCCCGCTGCGAAAGCGTTCAAATCGAGTGTTCCAATGCGCACTGAACGCTGTCGAAATTTCATTTGTTTTCAAATTTTTTCCAAATTAGTCACTGTGAAATAATTTCAAAAAAATTCGGAAGTCGTCGGCGTACTTTAACGCCATATATGTTCCCTTGATCATTTTTTTCTTCGACTTTCAGATCGTTTTATGTGCAGAAGAAAAAATCTGTACGGTGTTGTTCATAAAAGAAAAAGTAAATGTCGTGAGTCGCCAGCTCAGTCGAATTGTGGTCAACGACACTACTAGCACTCGACTACTCTATTAAATAATTAAAAAGGGGAAATTTGCATACTTATTCAACATGAAAATTGTTTTAGTTTTGTGCCAAGCGCGCTAATGTGGGTCGTGACGCAAGTTTTACCGAAGAGCGGAAATGAGGCAAGTGAAGCGAAAGTTTGCTTCGGGAAAAAATGAATGTATGAATAAATATTGCTTCACTCGCGGGGTAAATTTTCGCTTTTTGGCCCAATCTTTTCACACCTCGATGGATTGATTCTTGTTTCAGCAATTTATGTTTTTATCTATGAATTTAGATTAAATAGGGCCGTTTTGCCGGTACTGACCAAGACTTACGCGTGATGGTCCAATGCACATATATTCTCGTTAACAGAAAACTGACCTTTAAATTAAAAGCTAATACGTTAACATGCAGTTTATATTTGACATGAATCAACAAAGCTTTGGCCTTTATTGGAAATATTTTTAAACAAATAGACCCGAAAATTTCAATACTCACTCATTGATGATGACTTTAGATTTAATTTAGAACAAGATTACTGAGCCAGCGACATAAAGACCTGTGGGCGTATGCATAATGAGTTTCGTGCAACGATACGAACACAGGCAGAATGCAGAGACAGACGCAAAGATCTTCAAGTGCCAACTTCCTCTCACTTGTTTTGATTTACGAAAAATTTACGTAGATTACGACAAAGAAGAAAGACAAAACTTGTCAATGAATAGACCGGTGCTGGCTGACTCCAACGAAACTGCAAACTTGCGCATATCTTCAACTGAAATCTCGACATTTTTATTGTATATTTTTTTTTAGAACTACTACGTCTAAACTAGTTCAAGTGGAATTGAGGCTTGAGGTCCATACATATTGACTCAGGTGACTGCATGTCAGTTGCATGTAAATCATAAGTATCAAAAACATAATAAAAAAATAACAATTACTAAAGTTAGTCTTGTGTTTACATGCGAGGAGATAACGTTTGTCTGAACATCGCGCTATTTTGTTTTTTTGAACATTTGCTTGATGTTGCGTGCAGTTCGTTTTCCCATGATCTTTGAAGCACTCAAATACAAGCAAATTACAGGTCAATTAAGTAAAAAGAAATTTAAAAAAAAAAAATTCCTTTGCCTCCGGCTAACTAAGGAACATCAGCAAAACACGCAACTGAAAAGGAAAGTAAACTCTGCAGCATTGAAATAGAGATTTTCTTTCGATTTTGTTCTTTGAAATTCAGATGGAAGATGCTTGCAGTCAGTGGAACGTTTTCTATTCTGTGAAAAGACATTTTGCTCCTGAAAAATGAGAGGAACATCAAAAGACGACAATAACTTTATGGGTAAACAAGACTTTTGGTTATATAAAGGAAAGTCGCAAAGTACGAGCGACAATAATTCTCCAAAATGTCTTCACGGTTCCATCCCACCCCCTTGAGGGATAAAATTTCTTCACTGGATACACAGTTGCTTACCGTTGGGAAGCAAAATAAAGAGGTAAACTTGAAAACATTTATTTATGATAGCGTGAGGTTCACTAATTACTCATCAGACTGATCTTAAAATATATATAAAGAAGTAGGTATTTATCGTAGTTCGATTTCCGGGTGGAACTAAAAGAAATAATTCCGTAGTTTTAATATAAACATTTTCTCGAATTATCTATTGACTGATAATCCTAGTCAGTATCAGTACGTACTTGAGGTGACATTGTTAAAGTCACCAGATATCTACGGCAAAATAATAAATAATACTCTACATATAAATTATATTTGATAAGTCTGATTAACTTACGGTATCGAATGATGTAACTACTTATTGCCTGACCAGGAGGTCTGTTAGGAAGTATTTTAAGACCTACTATCAGACCACCTGGTCGGTCAATTAAAACTGGCTCGTGGTCATGACGCAATGACCGCGGGGAAGTAATAAGACTCCACACAACAAGAGTTTCATTATCTTATCCTTCCTAAGGTTGATTAAGAAGGCAGTCAATCCTTGCCGCGCTGTCAAAAAAAATTTTGAATTAGTCAAACGTTAAATTGATATGCATTTTTCATAAATGGGCCTGAACATAAGTAAAAGGATTTTAAAGTTTGGCCTTCTTTCAACGCCCGCTGTTTAGCAATTCAGATAAAACACAAAATTGCAAAATAACTAAAGAAAGTAGTTTATCAATTAAGTGAGTTTAAACAAGTAGAAACTAGTTTTAAACAAGTTAAAAATAGGCAAAACTGAAAAAAACTATCGTAAGTCACGCTCTTCACCCGCCCATTTCTCTCCCCCTACCCCCTTGGGCTGTAACAATGAATTAGAAACTAGAGCTAAACAGACGAGGAATCTTTCAGTCGCAAACGATACGTCATCATAATGAAAAGCAGCAAGACCCTAGTCATTCAATTTTGAATTTCAAACACAAAAAGTCTGTCAACTTGACAACCGCTTAAAAGTATTGAACTTGAGTTTGCTGAATCTAAATCAAGGCAGCAAAGTCGTTGGCTATAAGAGTTTAGAAACCGCGTTTGTTAGAGTTTCATCTGGCGCTGTGGACGGAAGACTTTCCAGCCTCTACACCACCCATTTCTTCTACCAAGATGAAAAGGCGCTGTTTTGAAAGTTTCCTCACAGTGTTAGGGCTGCCGGGATTGTAGACACTTAAAAGGTGGTCCTATTGATCTTTTGGGCGGGTTATATTAGAAGTGTTGAAAATGGGGAAAGGTCGGTTGACAGCACTTATTTTAATGCTTCAATCCCCGAGAGTTTCTCGCAACTGATTTCTCCTTACAGAGTCACTACTGAATCACATTTTTAAGTCATGGGAATGAAGGAGATGATCACCAACCTATGAAGCTCTTGATTGTTAAATAAATTCTCTTTTCCAGCACATTAGTAAATGTAAGGGGAACAGAGTGGAGAATATGCATTCTGATGTTATGGTGTTAAGAGTTAAGGAGACTCTACATTGTCAATCTCCATCACCAAACAAAAACTACACTATAATAATACAATTCATTTACAGTTTATTTTATTTTAATTTTTTTTGCATCAACTAATAAATTTCAGTTACCATGGAAGACTACACAGCAATCGGCTTTATGTACTAATTTATGTTCTATGCAGTGAGAGGGCGCAATGGAAGAATGACAAATGCGGTTGCTAACTACTGCTATAATCCTATAAATAAGACAACTCTTTCTCTGGGCCTAATCCCTAGCGGGGATTGTTTTGGTAGCGACCCACTCGACTTTACCGGATCGCGGGCGCATGGAAACTCTCAGGGCAGGGTACTGAGCCTGGCCTTTTTACCTAACCATTTAACAAAGTTAGCATTGTTCGGTAAAGTAACAAGCTACTCAAGCGATCGAGTTTGCTTACTTTCGTTCAAATCTCCTGAGTAATATTATAATCTTCGCACTTACCATTTAGTTCCTCATGGTCATTGAAGAGAGATCAACTTTTGACTTGTGTAAAAGAGAGGAAAGGCGAATCTTCACGACAGGAAAGCTCTCACATTTCGCACAAATATTTCCGCATCAAAGAAAATGCCCACATCGCAGATTTTTTAAGGTCCTTAGGTAAAAAATACGTCAATCTTCCGGCTTCAAAACTGAAATTCTAAATCTTAATGCCCTTTAACTGCCTACCCTTGAATTTTCGTTAATTAAGGTTCATGGTTGTAATCTACTTAAACATCTCTGTGAACAAATTGTAGTAATAAGTTTAATCACTGAGATGTTTGAGGCCCCCTGACTTTGCCTGACCTTTCCTGTCTAGCTGAGACGGATTACGAACTCATTAACTTAAAAAAACGCAACTTAAACAAATGGACGCTGAAGTTACTTTAAGCACATCTCAGACAGGTTCTCTCCAAGAAGATTACATTGCAATTCTTGATAAGGATTTGCCGTCATTCTATCAGGAAAATAGTCGTGAAGATGAGTATTTCAAAAAAGAAAAATCGTAGTTTGGCGCTAACTTAAAACACAATAAACACTACGCGCGTCATCAAACAAAGCTTAATTAAAAGTAGATCAAACAAATTGCAGGGTGTTTCAGGTTAAACTCCATTAACAAGATTAACTCAGAATTTACCTCCCTGTGTGGTAGCCTTGGTCACTTCCGCCGGAAGTCATAAAGAAGGATCTCTTTCCAATTATCAAATAGCCAAATTCTACATATCACAATGAACAAATTTAGAGATATTGGTATGCGTCTCTTTTGCGTGCATGCGAAATTCAAGTAACTGAAATCATTTCATTTGCGCTGTTGATTTAAATGTTGTTTCGATACCAGTAACACAGTACATATAACTCTGACTGTCAAGATACATATCTACCAAATTCTATTTAATTCACCAAGCAAAACACAAGGATATCGTACAATAATATCTGCCTGTCCTGCAGGACCTCAGACCCTATAAAGGAAATTTTCTAAAGTTCTCTCTTATTTAACAGAAATATAATATTTAAGCTTAACTATATGCGTATATTATACTACAACAGTGTTGGCTTCCTTTCATGCACTGTGTACAATTTGACGGGCGGAAAAATGGTGGCACAATTTACAATTGTACTCTGATAAGATGTAAGTTTCTAGTTTGACATATTGAGTAACTATTCAGATTATCTTAAAGTCGAACTATAAAAGCTCTGGAAGATAGTCTATTTCTGAACCCTCTACCACACAACACTCGTTGGAGAGAGAGATCTCCTTCAAGAGTTGCGTGACAGAAACAAAAAAACAACAAAAGCGCTGAGATTCTTCCTTAAGTTAACGTGAGGTTTTCATGAACTTAACTCACTCAGTTACACACGTAAATAACCATACGATATATTGATTCATTAAAAATTTTCATATCTGCCCAGCCAAATTGTACACCATCAGTTACGAATGATAGAATTATTTAGAGATACGTTAGTATTCTGCTCCTCCAGCAAGATACCCTAGTCAACATGAGAAACATTAAGTAGAACGTTCGATTGATATGACGTTAAATCTGATGATCTGATTTATTACAATGCTGAAATTAAAAAAAAGTCTTATTTTCTCTGTAAGATTTATACAAGTAAGTTATAATTTAATTTCTAAGTTTATTTTGTACTTAAATTGGTCATGCTGAAATCCCCTGGAGGTCTGAACAAGGTAATAAAGAAATAAAAATTACAAAAATGTACCAGACACAATCAAACGAAATCTTTCAAAATGCTCAGCCACCCTAATTAACTTAATAACTATAGTAAAATTTAGACTGCGACCGTCATAGCTACATAAAACAATCACAAAAACCCGAACGATAATTGCAATAACACACTGCTCCAAATATCATAAAAATGCCAATAAGCGACATATAATCACACGAAAAGTTTCATGAAAATACATTATTTAAAACTAGTTGAAAAGTTTGTCTTAATGGGAGAAAAATTTACTACCGTAAAATACTAAGAAAGTGATACACTCCAAATATTTCTCTTCTCAAACGTTTGGGGGAAAATAGCTAGTGAAAAAATTTAGTTATTAAAACTGATACAATGAAGTATGTAATTAAAAAAAAAATTAAAATAATTGAATATACTGTGTACACTGATCAATCCTGCAGCGGATGTTAAGACAATTTAAATGTTGACTTAGTTTAGGACGTACTGTTGCGGACACTATTCCCAGCGGTGTTGTAATGTTCACATATTGGCTTTAGTAAGCTATGTCATCTGTATCATTGAATACTAGCCGTACTTCAGATACAATCGTTAGAACCAGCTATGTGGATTTCAGTGTGCTTCAATCTGAAGAGGGAAGCTTCTTCAAGGATTCTTTATCCAATTCCTTACAAGGAATTTACCTTTAATGACAACAAAACGAAGTTAAAAACAGCAAATCAGAGTACACTAATCAGGACTGTCGAACAGTTTGCATATACCACAAACAATGTAAGATGGTAACAATTTCATTAGACATTTTATCTGAAGAAAAAGGTTAAATTCCATTAAATTTGAAGGTTATCTCTGCTCCTCTCGGAACAGTTCTAAATTGATTTTGGACATTAATCATGGACTGTATTGACTTTTTTTATAAAGTTATTGGTGTAAAAAACATACGACCATTCTATAAACCTGCACCGTACAAAACCAAACCAATCAGGACTTGGTCACTGGCATTTTCGTGCAGTTTTCGATTGAGTGTCGTTAAAACAAAAACCAAAGCAATCACAACAACTAATCATAACAAGGACAATATCACCAAGAGAACTCAAAGCAAAACAAGCAAACTGCCTGAAGCGCGGGAAAACGCGGATGACCAAGTCATGATCGGTTTTAGTTTTGCATCTGATTGGTTGAGAGGTTGACGCGAGTTTTCTGGACCAATCACAGAGCGAAGTGAAGCAAAACCAAAGCAATTCAGGATTACTTTCGAAATTCAATTAAAAATTGTCTTGCGCAGTTCAGGTTGCTGGTTTTTGTTTCCTTCAGCTCTCACTGGCTCTTGCAATATGTTTTCGTGGTTCTGATTTGCTGTTGTGATTATTCAGGTTATGATTTACGATACTCAATCATGCTCCGCTCTAATTGCAGAGATAATAAGCTAAAATCTACCTTAAAATCACACAGAGCATACACAACATGTCATTACCTTCGAATCTTTGTGTTTCAAGAGATAACCTTTTTCAGTCCTTCACCACATCATCTCCAGCTTCAGGCATGATCTTGCACATAACAATCTTTTTTCCTTGATTTCCGTACACAGTAAGGGGTTCAGTAAAGCGAATGTTCTGATCCACGTAGAGGCAAAGTTTATTATATATATCAGGATAATCATTTTTCAACCTGATTCCGTACTGTTTCAAGTTCTTCGAAATGTTCCTGCAATAGTGCCGGCGAGCTTCATTCTCGTTTACAAATTCATGCCGCGAGCACTTCGGGAGATAGAAGAACTTCGTTTCAGTCTTTGGTTCGCTCGGAGGAGAGGGTGCAGTTTCCTCTTTGAGCTTATTGCTCAAGGGAACCTTGACAACTTGAAGAACTGTATTTACTTTTCTTCGTGGGACGGGACTTTCTGGAAGGTTGTCCATCTTGCCTGCAATTATGGCGAGATTGAGGACAAATTCTTCCTCAGGATCGTAGTCTTTGATGTGTTGGGTTAAAGCGACTCGGTGCTTGCTAACAACACCTTCGGCTTGAAGGTCCGTTAATGATGAATACGTCGGAGGACTTGGGAAGAACGTGCAACCAGTCGTCATAAATTTTCGCGCAGACTGCGCAGATGCAAAAGTCACCAGGACGCAGCCACGCCCTTTCCTCTTGAACCCTTCTCTAGCCGCTTTAGAGAGCTGGAATTTCAAAGCTTCTTTCTTGTGACATATGTAAATGAAGGAGCGAATGTAGCTGTTGATTCGACCGAAGAAACAAACTTTCTTGTGCTCGGACCAGTGAATGCGCCTGCACATTCTATTGCAATAGTAAGTAAAGCAAGCTGGACATGAAGTGTAAGTGGTTTTCTCGCCAGAAAATAAAGCCTCCTCTCGCCCACATCGAGGATTAGAACACTTGATGACAGTCATTGAGCCCCTACGTAACCCCATGTGGGGCGTATCCCCAGCGAATGAGAACTCTGACATTGGGCTCCCAGGGCGCGTCGATAAAGTTGATGAATTCACTGATATGTCATCAGGAAAGTCTCTTTCTCTATCATCAGCTAATGACAAGAAACTGGCGTCAATGTTAGCTCCGGGCTGAAAGCGATTTGAAGGGTATAGGAACAAATCTGAGGTCATCATATCTTCTTCATCTTGGTGTCCGCTGTCGTCCATCCACACGTTTTGACTGAGCCACTTCCGTGTGTGGGCGCTCAATCCACGCAAAAAAGGCGACTCGTTGATCTTGTTTCCTTTCCTTGACAAATCAGGCATCGATTTCCGGCTATCAGCGGCTTCTTTAAACCTCTCTTTGTCTATATCGAGGCCTGGTAACTGCACGTCTTGGAAACTTGCTCCCAGGCCTTTTCTTTGCAAGCCAAGCCCCTGTTGTTTACTTTCCGGGCCAGGCTCTTCGTCGGACTTGTGACGAGAATGTTCCGACCTTGCACGAGGACGACGAATCTCCGTCGTTCGTGAAATCTTAACAAAAGCGGACGTAAACTCGCTCGGTTCGTCGATAACTGCAGGACGAGAGTGTTCGGGTGTTCTGTACGAGAATGATTCATTCTGCGAAATGTCATTCGTTTTCAGTTCGGGTGTGGTCGAACCTGAGGAAGTTGGTCTCTTGTCATTCTCCAGCTCGGCAACTGGCGTTGCTGTTTTGGATGAGCCACTTGAATCAGAGCGATTTCGAACTCCGATGTTTCCGGCTTCGAGCGACGATCTTGTGTGTCGATGTCGTTGTTTCAGCGGTAAGCTACTCACAGATGATGTTTCAGAGTCTGCATCGCTGCTATAGGAATGAGATGAATTAGCGACGCTTTTAACGTCAATTCCTGGGGGGTACTCCTCTAGAAACACCTCATCCAACTCATCGTCTCCATAACCATCATTCACCGGGAAAGCCGTTATCACAGCGGATTCTTCCTTATCAGCTACCTCCGCGAGAATAACAGGTTCCAAGACAACCGGGTCGTCGGCAATGACCTGGCGTATCACGACACCATCTTCTTCTTCATAGCTGTTGATGCGAATGACCTTCTTTGGAACCGGACCCATGTGCGCTCTCACTTGAACCCTCTCGGCGACCTCCTGTTTGTCTGGACTTCGCGGCGGAGATGTTCCCTCTGTCTGTAGAACAGCCTTCTGAGCCAACAAAGCGTCTAGATCCGTGACCATGATGCGACTTTCCCCCAGAGGTTCTCCATAAAATTCATCTTCCAAGCTACTAAGACTGCTCAAGCTGCGTTCCTTGGGTTCTTCCTGAGCAGGAATAGCCTTAGTCCGATCACTGCCAAGAACACTGGACAGAATCATCCCTCCAGTATCATTATCTCTTATTTCTAAGCTTCCATATCCAGACTCGCGACCCTGACGGCGAGTGACTTCTGCAATAGGCCCTGCTTCTGTTGTCGTTGATAAATGCGGCCGAACAATCGTGTCATCATACTCTGGTCGGGAATCTTCTACAGGGGTTACTCGCGCCACGTGAACTTTAATCCTATTCCCCTTGGTTGCTGGCTCTGAAATTTCTGTAACTGTTTCGCGCTCTAGTCGCGGAATAGCTTCAACCACTGGTGATACTCTTGAAACGCGAAGTATTTTCCCTTGCATTTTATCCTCTTTATCACCTCCCTCCGTTTTAAACGCATTTCCAAGACTAGTTTCAGGATCGCTTGGTGATATCTTGGTCATGCGCGTTTTAACATCCTGCTTTACGGGTTCCTTTTCTATAACTTCTGCAGTGGTCTCTCCACTCTCTGCATCAGCCTCGCACAATACTGGCATAACTCTAGCTTTAATCTTGGTCGGCGTGTCATTTTCTGGGACGGATTCGTTGTCTTGCACAGCTGTCACTTTAAGAATGGGTGATCTGCGAGGTGAAATCACTTTTTGCTCAGATCTCCTTTCGCCCACTTCTGGAAGTGAAAGTCGACCGTGGCGACTTTTGACTTTCACGACAGGTACTACTTTCGGACCATCCTCCTCCTCAACCTTTTCCTCTTCCTCTTGAAGGCTTGTCATTGAATTCCGTAAGTCGTTACTTTGCCTGAGGGGCGTCAAAGCCTTGTTGAGGGAATCTAGGTCATTAAGAGATTTCCATCTTGCTTTTCCATGCACTTTCTTCTTGACGTTTAAAATGAGAATCCTCTGTTTGTCGCCTAAGACCTCTTGCACGGTAATTTTAGCAGTGTGAACAGATGGAGACTCCATCGACTCGATTGCATCATCCTCGAAGACACTGTTTGCAGGTGAGCCTAAACTACTGGTAGGCGTCTGAGCATCAGGTACCTCTTCATTAAGGTCTTCCTCTTTGATACTATCCTTCCGTATTTCGGGTGCTTTTTCAACAAACCTAAGATCCTCATGGCTCTTACTTAGTCGTATGTTACGCGATGAGAGGTACGTCTTTTGAGACTTCTTCTCCAAAGATTTAGTAGGTGATGTCCTTGGAGACCGGACCCTTCGGCTTTCTCTCTCCGCTGTGGTGTTCTTACCTTGAACGCTTATTGTAACGACAGGTGATTCCACGGGCACTGAAGGAGTTTCTTCCTCTAAAATAGCTGGCTTTGTGTCTTTATCCGGTGAAGCGTTTTGAACTTCTTTAGTGGTCTTGCCCGATATAAACATTTTTAATCCAACATTTGCTCTGCTCGGCTTTGTTTCTAGTTCATTCTTTATATCAGTCTTAATTTCATTTGCCATGGATTCTTTTTTCTTATCGCCATTAATGGAGGTTGGTTTGTCGAAATCCTGCTTTTTATCCAAAGGAGATTCACTGTCCTTTAGTTTCTTGGGCATAATTTTCGGCTCCTTTTCGCCAGGGATTTCTTTTTGTTCGTCTTTTGAGGGCTTTCTCTCCAAAGATTGTTTGACTTCCCGTTTTGGAGCATCCACTCCGGCAGGCGCAAGGGCCGCGGTCTCCTTAACACTCTCAGGCGCCCTATCTAGTGTCGTTGAAGAGTCGATGCTTGACCCTTTACTTGGTTCACCTACTCTGGTGATGCGATAAGTCATATCACGTTTTGCAACATCGACTTTCACAGACGACGCTCTTGTTTCTAGTGACTCGGTCGTCGCTTTAGCTTCGGAGTTAACGTCGGCACTCCTTTCATCATTCGATGCGGGTAATTTAGTGGACTCTTGCGTGCCTTTACTCCTTGTAACGTCGCGTTCAATTGGTAACGCTCGTGCTTTGATACTTTTGGGATCGCTACTTGAATCGGGTTTAGGGACAGCTTTTTCTCCGTTCGTATCTGAAGAAAGTTTCGCCAAATTATCCTTGATGTCATTTTTTGGAATGTCTTGTGTCACGGATGGTGATGCATTTACTGCGTCACTCTTGGTTTCTGGTAGCCCGTTCACTTTCGCCTCATCCTTCTGTTTGGGTACTTGCGACAAGGTTTGCTCCACATCACGCTTGAAGAGGGTTTCCACTGATGAAGTACGTGACTCGATAGTCTTGGTCACGCTTCTTAGCTCGAGATGAGGCTTGATGTGCGTTTGATCTTTCTGTGTGGGTGACAGCTCTGGATATTTCTTGGTGTTACTCTTCATATCAGCAACTTTCTCAGAAGAGGCATTTTCCTTGATTAGCTCAGGCACAGTAATTACTTCGGCTTTCTTTTCATCTTTCCGTATGGGTGCCTTTACAGACTGCTCAAAAAGGGTACTTTTTCTTGTGATTTCTTCAGTCTGGGTCAAGTATTGTGTGACTTGCTCTGAGATGTCTTGGTTTGGGGGAGAGGCTTCCACGGTCGAAATACGTGCATCTATCACCGGTTCGACAGACTGGGGCTCAACCTTAGGTGCAACCTTCGTTTGTTCACTTATCGAAAGTGGACGCGTGACAAGTTGTGTGACACGTTGCCTGACGTCTTGATCTGGAGTAACGACTTCCGAGGGCAAAATTGGTTCCTCGATGACCTTTAGTTCAGGTTTAGGCGGCGTGTAAAGTTCTTTTTTAGCTGTTGTTTCCATTTTTTCAGCGTTAACTCGAGGGATGTTGTGCTGTCCTTCCACAAAGTTCAAAGGCTGCATAAAATGGCTAACTGGACCAATCTGGGTCGTTGCGGAATTGTAAACAGAGTGCTTCTCTGCTTCGCTACCCTCCAGAACTACTTCTGCCTTATTAACATCTTTCTTAAAAGTTTCATCACCTGCATCCACTTTTTCTTCCTTTTTATCCTTGCAATTCGTTAGATTATCAGGGTCTCCAATCAACTTTTTAGGGCTTGAAAGCATAGCTTTTTCATCTTTTGTGACCTTCACTTCTTTCCTGACAACTATCTTGATTTTCTTCACAATTTTCACAGATCTTGTATTATCTAACGCGACATCATTTCCATTAGTTGCAGTCACACCAGAAACAGTGACAATGTCTGGTTTTTCAAGCTTCTTTAAAGTTGCCTCCTCAACTCCGGCAGTATCCGTAAGGCTTTCTGTGGCGCGATTTTCAGTAATGTAGTCGCTTTCCATGTCACGGTTCTCTATCACGCCATCATTTGGATAAATTATTTTGTCAGAGACGGTTACAGGTCCTTTAAAGTTCATTTCTTCGCCGTTTACAAAATTCAAAACATCATCCAAATCACCATTTGCAATAACGTCTTTATTAGCGAAAACTTCGGCCAATAAATCAGGCTCTTCAAACTCTTTTTCCTCGTCACTTTTGTCTGTCACGCCATTCTCTGTCACGTCATCGTGAGTGAGAAGGTCGCCTGGTTTTGTCTCTGCATTATTTGCAACACTGACAGCGATAATTTCCTCGCTTGGTTTCTCTGTGTCTGATCCGCTGTAATCTTCCTCGAGATCGAGATCGTATTCTGAATCACTTGCATCCACCGTAGCAATGGGAGCCTTGAGTTCCATTGACGTTTCCTTGGAGGTACTCGACTCATTATCATAACTGTAATTGGTTGTTTCGGGCTGGACCCACGGATAGCTTTTTCTTCCCCGGCTTACCTCTGCCAATCCGATCTCTTCGTCTTCTGGGATCGTAAATAGGAAAGGTTTCCGTACTCGTCTGTATTCTTCCTCAAATACTGACCAATCCTCGCCAAAAGAGTCAAAATGAATGTCTTCGGGTTGATCACCATGGCTCTCGTTCAGCTTAGACAACACTAATTCACCATAAACACCATCCTTTTGAAATGAAATGTCATCCATAAGTGTTTCCACGGCGTAATTCTTATGTAGAGGATCGCTTAATTCAGCCTCTTCGAGGTCCTCGATACTTTGCTGTTTGTCTAAACAACCGCTTAGAGTTGAAGTGATGATAATTGATTTTTGAATATTCATATTTGATTCATCTTCGGAGGATGTTGTCTCAGTTGCACAATGAGAGCTATTTGTCTCTTGATCTTCTGACATGAAAGTATCAGTTGTTGAAATACCAACAACGTCCTCCGCGGAATTGTGTGTCTCTTCCTCAGAGAGATCCGTCTCTAACACAACTTCACTGGACAATTCATTTGCCTCGGTTTGTCCCTCTTCTAAGATTATCTTGTCTAGGTCTGTCACAGAAACATGTCTCTTAAAATAGATGCTAAATTCACCTTCTTCTCCGAGTTCGTCGCTATCCATCAAGTCAACATCGTCAATATCAATGTCGGTTTCAAACGTGTCGCTAACGAACGAGTCCGCATACCGCGAAGCCGTTTCATTTCCATTCATGTCGACTGATTCCTCATTAGGAATTAACTTATCACTTTGTAAACCATCGTCATAAGAGTCGATAATTATTTTGGGAACTTCGACTTCATCCGATTGTTGTTTGTGACTGGAAACTCCCTCCTCTAGCGTATTTGCTTCATCGCTGCCAGACATTGAAAAAAACGTCCACGAGTGGGTCGTGTGATTATTTGATTCCGCTATTTCGTCTACAAAACCGTTCATTTTAAATTCACCGAGATCGCTTTTGTTAATGTTCATCGTAATACTTGTTAATCCGCTGGTGTCTTCCGTAGGAGCCTTACTAAGTCTCGTGTACAGATCCTCTGCAATGTTGTCATGGGCATTAAATTCATTCTTCGAATGTTTGGAGCGGATATCACGCGTGAAATCGTCCTCGACGCCATTCTCGGTAGCACAGGAAACCCTGTGCTCACTAAGTGCGCATAATTTGGGTTCCTCGATCTCATTTGCATCTTGTTCGAGCGTTGGCGTAAGATCACAGTTAGGTATTGTAAACACTGTGGTGCTTTCGATCACCTCGCCGTTCAGGTTAGGAACATCTTCATGTTGTGTTTCTTTCTTACCTTTGCCCGAGCACGCGTCGAAATTACCGGAAGTGAAATTTGCAACTTCTTCATATTTGGATGTTTTCGAGCTTTCTTTCATGGCGCTATGAAGTGCTGGGCCAATTAAAGGGATACTTTTGCCATTTTCTGTGTCCAATACTTGAGAATCATTGTCATTTTGGCGAGATAGCAAAGACGTGCCATTTAGTTCTGTTTTAATCGGCTCGGGAACCGTGTAAACTTTAGCTGTGATGTCAACAGTTTCAGTTGAGTAAAGTGAGTTGGTCTCAGCTGGTTTTAGTGGCAGAATACCATCTTTTATCTCTGGCTTCTGTCTGTCAAAGGCTGTAGTAATTTTCGTTCCCGTCTTAGAATAATCACATTCCATGTCTGTTGATATTTCTGAGAACCCGCCATTTTTATTAACATGACCTTCAGTGTTTGCAGTTGACAAATTGAGCAAGTCTTGTTGAAAGCTGTCGAGATCAGTTTCCTGAGACTTCTCGCTACTTTCTGTATCAGTTTCCCCATCCATTTCTTCCTCTTCGACGATACTTGGTAAAAATCCGGGGAAAATAAGATCCATATTTTCCATCGAGTGCCGTCTCCCGGCTGCCAAGCCACTCGAGCTTTCAGACGACCCGTCATTGTCATCAACCCAGCCGTAGCTTGAATAGTGAATGTGAATTTCGTCGTCTACGTACTCGTAAACGCTTGAAGCTTCTTCTTTTTTTCTAGAGACAGAAGCCACAGTTTTTGTACTAGATTCTTTAGAAATATCGCTCTTAAACTGCAAATCTTCGCTCAAATGTTCTAGAATTCTCTTCGCTACCACCTCTTCTCGATCGATTTCTTCGGTGACCTGTCGACCGGCGGACTTTCGGATCGGAGCGATCTGTGTTATGTAAAACCACACGGTTACAACGAGCAGAAAGAAAAAAGCGAATGACCAAAAAACGATTGATATTTCCCCGTCTTCCACTTCCTCAGGGGTGTATTCCTCCTCGAGCGTAATAATCTCTATCATCCACATGTTGTCGGGTATCGATCGGCGGATTTTTGAAACACAATAATTTTTCCGCTTTCCACGGCGATAGCACAAAACCTTCCCAGTTGGGTAGAGAATGTAAACACTGTAGAGACCAAGCTCTTTTGAGCTACATTTGCACCAGCAACGTTGGAAATTTAATCTTCTTGATGGTCCCGTCTCACGAACAATCGCCTCTGTTCAAGGAGAGCGGACCGTGCAAAGCAACCCGTAGATTTGCATAAGAATCGATGGCACTACAGCTTATCATTGAATCGTAAAATTTGATGCATTGTCCTCAGTTTGGATAGCCACCCGTTAAACGGAAAGTTTCCAACGACCTATTGCTGCCAAGTCATGAAAAATGCATCACACCACCATCACTTCACCTCAAAATGGCGTCTCTACAGTGGATTACAGTGTATTATCGAAGCGTTTTCCGTCTTGTTTATCTTGGAGTAAAACAACCTTTTGATAGGTTCCAAACCACGTGAACGAAACAATAGTACTACTTGCGTGAGTACGTAATCAGTTCTATAAAAAAATTATTTTAAACGCTGGTGATAGCAACATTCGTAGGAGACACTACCGTTTTCGATTAAAATCGCCTAGGCGGCACAGACAGGTCCACATGAAAATAAAGAAGATCTGGCTTATAGTAATGCTGAGTCGTATCCATTTCCAACTACTGGAATTTAATTTATTAATAGTTCGATGACAAGAATGCACGCGATGGCGAGGAACGTTCCCCTTCACTGCGCATTGGAAAGTTCTTAACTAGAAAACGGCTTTGTCGAGCTCTATCATTAATTAGCCTTTCAGTAATTAGTTATTCAAGGCTGGAGCAAAGTCGAAGTGAATTTATTACTGCGTCAGACGTGTTTTAAATTGCCAAATGTTGACAAATACTCAAGAGCGATTAGGAGGTCTTGCCACATAAACCAAACCGGATACAAACACACGCAGGAGCAAACCAGCTTTGAGAAAAAATCCTATGAAGAACAATTTCAATTTCGTATGGTTGATTTGCAAAGAACTTTGCAAATTTTGGGCTAAATAATGGTTAAAAAAAATTATTATGAAAATGACGGCTATTGTCAAAGACAAAATAAATGAGACACAGCTAAATTGTCTTCCTAGGAAAAATAATGGTCGTTATTCGATTTTATTCAACCGAAGCAAAAAATATTTTCAAGCGCAATCCGCACGTAGAAGTAATACATTTGTCAGGAAAAACTGTTGTGGCGCTAGAAATTCAATATTTATCAAAGATGACTTTAGATAACGAAGAATTTTGCGTATTTTATTAGATTGTTCATTACTATATAGAAACAACGCGGGAACTCCTGTTAAAACATAATCAAAGCCAGACCCCTACCGATACAGTCATTACACATCCCATGGTGAATACAAGTTTTTTTGGAACTTGCTTACATAACTAATGATCGTAAAACAACCCTCAGAATCTATACACAATACCCTACTTTGTTCCGACAACTTTTCAAATGCAAATTAGAGAAATTTTGCCAATCGCGCGGCAGACGAAAGAAAGCAGAAGATCTGGTGGATCAGGAACCCAAAAATCCGGAGCTATCTGTCTATTTGGAATAGAGAATGGCCACAGTAACAGCAGGGATTTTTGACACGTTCAGAGCTGAGATTTGGTTTAATACAACTTGAGGAAAGATAAAAATATTAGGGGGCCGATTACAGAGTCCGAGTAGTTATGTAATCACAATCGAAACCTAGACAGTTTACAAGCCAGGACTTGTTTCGATTGTGTTTTTAATACTGCATCCCTGGTAGGGACAGAATGACTTCGATGGCCGACTGAGAAAACTCATAGAAAATGTACTGTTTCGCTTTAATATATTTCCTTTTAATAAAAGAAATGTTAGGATCTATGCAGTCGAAATTGCATTTTTTTCCCTTGAAATTGGACTTTGAACAAGTACCCAAGACACAAGTACCCAAGTCCTTACACAGAGTGATGAAGAACCTCGAGAGGGTAGGGGATACCCAGCAAAGTTTTGCACGGTTATTCACGAGGATCTTCAGAACGTCCTGCAGAGCATGACAAAAATTTTTCTTTTGAACCTCAGGCGTGAAAAGTGTTTGGCATCTGTCATGGTTTGCTACTTGTTCGTTGGACAAACTACGAGTGTGAAAAGTTTCTTTCATTGTCATAACAAGACGGTTTTCAGTTCTATCAGTTAAAGCTTAGTTTCAGACCGGATCAGTATCGGAGTATCGGTTTTGAAACAGGTGACGTGAATACAAACTCACTTTATCAGGATTTGTGAATTTAAGTGACCGGGTATTTAGCTAAACTGCTGTCTACCAAACTTCCTAGTCATTAATTCGTACACTTTGTGGCGTTATTTCTTTTCTTAATCTTATTAAAGAAGGAAAATAGAGATTAATAAATGAAGTAAGCATTTACTTTTCGAAGTTGTCTGGTTTTTTATTGACTTTCAATGGCTTTCTTTCTTTCGTTCTTTCTCTTTCGCAATAATATTCACATCAATTATTACTATAATTCCTGAGAGGAGAGCTGAAAATTATTTCACAACTCTAAAATCAACTTGGAATCTTCCCATACCATCACCCGTGACGCGAATCTCAATGCGATGAAGCCAATTTTGTGATATTAGCCCGCTGGCAAGTTCTCCTCGTAAATCAATGAAAATTTGCATTTTTGCTCTAATTTATCTGCCACTGAACACATCCGGCAGAAAAATGCCTGCCAATTTCTTGCTTATCTGACTAACAATCGCCTTCCACATTTTAGTTCTGAAGCAGTGTTAATTGAACCTACCCGCAAAGTGATAGCAGTCTTTTGTACGCCACAATCGACGTTGCGTGTTGCTGAGAATCGGACCAAAAACTCCTTGGGGCAAATAAATTCGGGTGACGAAACGAGTTTAAACCACACGGTGTGGTTTATATTGTAAGTTATTCTCTTGGTTTTTGTTCATGTGATAGATTATGAAGAATACTGCATAACTCTTCCTTTTCAAGGGAGAAAAGCATGGTGACCACTATAACAGCTTTTTATACTTTCAGGAACCATCAATCATTACTATGATTGTTCGATACTCATAATGGCTATGTCTGGTGAAGAGAAACTGAGGGGGTGGGGGAAAAACGTATAAAACTGGAATAAAGAAAGGTATGGCAAAATTCTGCCATGAGTCAATGCTTATTCTGTCGATATCTTCCTGTCCTTTTTACAAATTTCTCATTTTCATTTTCATTCGTACATAGATGAATTTGATAGACAATTGACGTTTGTAATCTGAACGGCGAGAAGCTCTCCGAACATTTGGTATAAATTATATACGGGACCCGGAGCCAGTAATGGGCTCCTGACGGAACTGAAAAAACAAAAACGAGACAAAACAGACAGGCAGTTTTTTTTTCAATTAAATAAGGCCAAATAATGAATAAATTGCTCGTTGTTCAGAAAAAATCGTGAAAATTTTTCTTTAGTACACCCATTAAGAATAAAAAATGATCATGCCAAAATAACCTATTTTCTGCAAATGGCTCAACGAGATCCTACTGAGAAAGTGCAGTGATCTGTTGTCTCCCAGTAAGAAAGATGCAAATTACTCAAAGATGTAAAGAAAAAAGCACTTACGATCCACATTTTTGTTCTTATGCCAAAAATGTTGCAATTTCATTATCAAAAAAAAAAAAGCGATGTTTACCACCCGAACTAAAATAAATAATTGTTATGTGACGTAAAGGACCGAACCTACTGAAGGACTCGTTAAAAATTCGACACGCAAATAACTGAAAGTCGTTCTTTTCTCACTCTTCTTGGTTTCGTAAGAGCTCTTGCATTAAAAAATACAAGTTATATTCTTGAAATGAACCTAAAGGATCTCCAAGCGAGTGAGAGCGGGAAGAATGTCGTGGAGAGTCGATCGAGAAATTTCTCAATGATATATTCATAGCACGTCGAGAAACCGGACATCTGCTCCCTTGCCCCTCCCCTCTCCGTCGAGATGCTTAATCCTTTTTACAAGATCACAGATTACAATATTAGCAATTGATAGGCACTTGAAAACCGAGATTGGCACCATGGAAGGATCACACGCCATACTCATGTGGTTGAAGTTCCCTCTTAAAAATGTGAAAACTTGAAAATTTTCCTATATTATCTTGGGGCCCCCTCGTAAAATATTTCTTGTTGTCCTTCTTGTTTTCTGGTCAATTTTTTCAACGTGAAATACTTTGCTCTATGTCTGCTTAAATTAACCTCCAGGCAAAGGAAGGCAAGGGAGGGAAATGTAGGATAAAATACCAACAACTGCGGCTATGCACTCAAATTATGCACTCCCCGTTTCCTCCTATTTGCACGCCAGCCACGCAGTACATTGTGTCATTTCAGTTGCGGGGAATCAGAAAACATGAGTGATGAGAAAATCGAAAATTTTGTAACTGATAAAAAAAAAAAAAAACAAAAAAAAACAATGACATAAGAACTAATAGAAAGTAAAAAATTAGAAATGTACTGCCGAACAAAAAATTTCTGAACGCCTTTGGCACTTGACGTGCCACGAAAGTCAGCACCAAAATACGATCCTCTTTTTGTAATAACTATAGAACTCTTTTCATAATAGCGATAGAAATGCCTCATGATTGTATACTTCATTCAATACAGACTAATCCGGTCTAGACAGCCTTTTAACAAGACATACAAAAAAACTTACCCAAGGGCAATATTACATTTTATTCATGTTTGCCATATTTTTAATCGGTGAAGGTGGCATGTCTGATCACGTAGAACTATATTTCCGGTTGAGAATTAGGGTTGGTTCCTCATCTACTACCACACGGAGAGGATTCTCAAGCACATAATCCAGTTGTGTACTAGTATACACCTACTAGTTGTTCAAAACTTAACAAAAAGACGGGCTCGTGCCTTGATTGAACAATGACATGAATAGGTCACGGAACTCGCTACTCCGATGTTTAAATCACTATCTATATGTATCACGAATTGGCATAATACCACTTAAGTCTATTGGATGTTCTATGACAAATGTTACATTCTGATTGGTTACGCTAATTGCTATCTACTTTGTAATACATAGCGAGGAGAGCAAGTAGCCTATTTGGGTTTGTTTGTAAACAAAATAAATGGATAAAAAAAAACATGAGTCTGTCTTGTTGTTAAGGTTTTAACAACGTCTCGAGTTATTTTCAAACAATGGGATTATCTACTATAGAAACCTATGCATGATAGTGGATTCAGTATTAGCTCTCATTAACTATCGCGTGATAAGAAATCTTGAGCTCATAGTCTCATTGTTGAATATTCGGGACTTGTTACTTTAAATTTAAGTCTTTAACTCGCAGGATCTGATAGTTAATTCTCTTCTGTAGCTGCTACACATTTCCTTGTAAATAAGTTGCAAGAATTTGGTGTTAGATCAAGATAATAACTTCTGCCTGAAACATTTGAGTACTCTTATTACCTGTTTGTTGGATAGTGGATGGATATTGTAAGGAGAAGTTGCATGTGAATCACTTCTGGAGCTCAAAGGGTTAACCACGTAAATGAGATTTGAATAACTAGGATCGACTCGCATTGTATGCTGGCTTTGGTTCCTTCTCTTTCTTCACTACTCATTTGGAGTTGGAAAGTTCTGAAAGGCTATAACCTTGTGTGGTTATGTCCCCCTAGAAACACACTCTATCTAAGACCACATTGGTTTAAATCCCATTGAAGAGAATTTTTGTTAATCTGCAGCTCCAATCGTCCAATGAAATGCTCAAGTGATCAGGGCAGCCATATTTAAACCAAACCTAAAGTTCTAGTAAATTTAGTTCGACCAACACAAAACAAAAGAGCTCTGGAGAAAGCTTTGGAAAAAATGAAAGTAAGAGATCAAAGCATCTGTTCCTGCATAACACAAATTCAGACAGGGATGGATGATCAATGACAATTTTGTTTTGGATTTTGACCATTTCAGTAGGTGGGGGGGAGGGCTAAGTACAGAGTCATTGAAGAGTATTCTTTTAAGGCTCTAAGGAAGGTAGCCACATACAATAAAGTTCATTCCCCTTCTCAGTTTGACCCTTTCTTCAAAAAAAAAAACATTTAAATGTGACATTTTTTTAAAGTCGAGATGGTCATGGGGTTTAGTTTCAATCTTGTTTCTTCAAAGTTTCTACTGATGTATTTGTCTCCATAATTCCTGTCATGTGTGTTTCTTCATATCTCAAGTAGACACCAAAACGCTGGATCTTTTAATGCCCAAACAAAGATTTCCTTTCCAATTTGCTTAGTGGTTTCTGTTTTGAAGTTGGGTTTGGTGCTACAGAAGAAAGACTGGCAATCTTTACAGTTAAAATCGCACACTTACACTTTGAACACTATTTTTATTGATAGCCACAAATAAGGTTTTAAATACAACTTGTGCAATGTAAATAAATAAATTTTCAATTTTTACAATATACCATAAGCAAAACAATCTTTGTTATCCACTTAGAGCTGTAGACATGTTCTTGCAAGACTGAGGAATACTTTTCTTTAGAGTCTTATTTCCTATCATATCAACAGACAAGAACTGAACTGAACCATGAAGTACAATACATGCATCTAATTAGTTATATTGCTAAATTCCTTCAGGATATTTCTCCTTGTGGAGGGACAACACAGTTCTTTCAATGATATCTGCTATACCGGCGAGGAATATCTTTACATGTATCTGCAGATTCCTTGTGTGCAGCTAATTTCATCTTCTGGCAGTTTGAGACTCTAACATGACAGGAGATTGACAAAAAAATTAGCCCAGAGTAAAACTAAACTTTTTCCTTTATTAAGTAAACAACATAGGCAGTACATGTACAATTTCTTTGATATTCTATCAAACTTTTCCTCAAATCAAAAAAAATCAGGAGATAAAACGGTACTATAAAAATCAATGTGAGAGGTAAGTGGCCTGAAGACTCTTCTATTTCTGTTCTGTATCTGATCATATTCAGACATATTTCTAACAACACCTGAGACTAAACCCATGTTCAGCCTAACTATTTTCCAGGACACTTCAATACTATCAGTGAAAGATGCAGAATGGTTAAAGCATACAGGACTTTGAATGAGACCACTAGTCCCCATTCAAACCCTGACAAAGCCACTGTGTTGTATTCTTGAAGAAGACACTTATCTCTCTCACTCAGAAAACAAATATTTGAGTACATTTTTTCTGCAAAATGAAGGCCACTGTCTATACTTAAGTAACACAAAAACATGGCATATTGCTGTATTCAATCTAAGAGATTTTAAGAGCCCTTCAACCTCAACCCCCTTCCCCCAATTCTTCTAACAACTGGTAAAACTTATCAAGGACAAAAGGCTTACTAAACTTCAAAACACATCACTTAATGGGATTAAATTCTCAAAGAGTAAGCTACACGTAGGTAGCAGGCTTTCTACAGACAGTACTCAGGTTGCAGATTTTGCCTCTTGTTTAACTGTAGCATCAAAGGAAATTTTAAGAATTTAAGTTGTTATGCCAAAATGAAGTTTGATACTCGGACTATAGCATTATGCCCAAAATTATGCCAGCATAATTTATCAGAGCCCAGTTTGCACATCACACCCACATCAGGCATGCCATGGAACATAAAACAGAGAAAACAAAACTTCTCTAACACATTAGAGAAGGTGAACTTTTCCCCTCTCACACTTTTGTAATCTGTATTCACTTCAACCTATTAACCCTTTCCTACACAGCTGTGCGGCAAGTGGCAACAAAAGTAAGTGAAATAGGAAATTGTGAAGACCTGAGCTTATAATTATATACGAGTTGCAATTCCTCCACAAAGAGCCATGGACGAGTTTGGAAGATTTCACAAAGATAATGATAAAATTGTCATTAACTCTTCCCTTCAAGTACCTTATCAAAAAACCAAAACCTAAATTTAAAAATTCATAACAGGTGTCAAGCAAACGGACGCTTCTTTGACAGCACGCTTACATGTACATAGAGGCTACGCATTTACCAAGAAGAAAAGAATACCAGAACACTGACCACAATATAAAAAAAACAAAAAATTGCTGGCTCAAGAAATAATAATTTCTACGCTTATGTAGATTTAAAGAAAAGGAAAATGGTCCTAATTGAAAAAATCCCACGTTGGAGCTTCCTCGCAGCTAGAATATTATTAAGTCAAGCAGTGATGGTTCGCTGTCTATTTTTTTCTATCACTATCAACTTTACCTTTTAGTTGTGATACGATGGGTTGAGAGTTATAAACCTAGAAAGGATAAAAGCAGCCACAATCGTGGCTAGTGTGAAAGTAAAAAAAGCGAAGTAAAATGTTTGCTCGTCTCCAAAGATGTCTACCATGTTGTTTTCGTTTGGTTAATTCACACAAGTTGTCTCCGTCAAAGGACTGGAAAAGAGTAGTGACGTCATATTCCTTACCCTCGATGGCTCAACAAAATGGCGACTGCCTTTAGTGGAAATACGTTTGTTTTTTGCGTATTTATTCTATTTGTTCCCTTTACTCTGGGTAGAAATCATCGAATACAACTAAAGGTATAGTCTTTTAATGAAATTAGATCATTCTGTAGTGTTTTTGTTCCCTTAATCTTTTATTTATCGCTTGTTTTTATACGTGCAATTTATAGGATGAAACTAGACAGACGATCGAGTTGAGTAAGTTCGGATTTCTTCAGAATGGAGTTCTCAAAGTGAACTTTACCAATATGCGGTTTAAGAAGAAAAATTCCGCAATCGTAAGTATATTTTGATATCGAGCAGTGAGGGCGCAAATTTCAATAACTTAGTTGAATTTAGCTTTTCGCATTAAAAAGCTCAGGCAGCGAATTTAGCTGAATACTCAAGCCAATTGTTAACTTTCGGTTGTCGATTCCCTTTCAGCTTGGTTTTTCCCTGGAAAAGACTGGAAGTGATGGTATTTCCCCTTACATGGTAAGAACAACTTAGTGTATATTTTACCGATAGGGGTTGAGCAATCAGGTGTGACACTAAAAACTAATATATGTTACAAAGGTCTGACTCGTTCAAAGGGAAGCAACGACATGAAAAACTGTTTGGCCTGTAGCATTTGCAGAAAAGGGTCTAGTCGCTGTGCCGTTATTAATTTCGGATCGACGCGTTAAGTTTGTCGCCGTGAGTACAATGAGGAAAACTTCCCAACTGCTTAAAGGCTGTAAGGAACATCTGACAACTCTGGAAGTGTGGTAGGGGTGATTCTGTGATATGGAGACCTTCCTGTTTTAAATACAGAGTTGATGTCTTAGAAATCACCACAAACTCTAAGGGCTCCAGTTTTTCCAATTGTGAATATGAGCTTCTAACATTACTTACAATGAGTATTAAACAGTAGAAATGAACTTTTGAAGTTATATTTATGTTAATTACAAGGTATATATCTTTGTGGTTTTTTATTTTTTTGAGGGCCTGTTTATGATATTACTTGAGAGATGCCATTTTATTGCAACCCATAGGCTTACTGTCCACAATAATCCAAAAAATTTTCTTTTCAAAATAGAGAAAGGTCTGATTCTTAATTCTCGCCTCTAGCTTCTACTCATTTGCCTGTAAATTAATTACAATTAGTTGGTGATAGATCAAGATAACAGCTTTTACCTGTATCAGTTTGAGTATTCTCATTACCTGTTTGCTAGATAATGTATTGATATTATAGGGAGAAGTTACATGTTTATCACAGACTTCTGGGAGTTAGAGGGTTAGCTCCTAAAATCTGACTGCAAGTTTCCCCTCTTTCTGCTACTCATTTCCTTGTAAATTTATTACAAGAATTTTGTGTTTGATCAAGAGAACAACCTCTCCCTGATAAATTTGAGTACCCTTGTCAGCTGTTTGCATGGTAATGTTTGGATTTAAGAAGGAGAAGTCACATGTTAATCACTTCAAGGAATTAAAGGGTTAAGGGGATAAATGATGAATCACCACCCAGCTTTGCATTTTAGTGTGGACAGAAACCGTTTGATTTTGGAACCTTTTTGAGAATATTGTTGCAAATGCTCTAATTATATATTTTCATTAGCCTCTATGTGGACATGTCTTTTGAGATGATTAAAGGTCTTCTGGGAGGGGGATTGTGCTAATGTGGACAAATACTTTTCCATCTGGCCCCAGTTGTTCGGAGGTCAGATAACACCATCCATTGGATGAATCTCTGTCTGGTAATTAATGCTATATGCCATCACTTATTTGCTGGATAGCGATTTATCCATTGGTTAGCATTATCTGCGATATACAACTGGGCCCTGGTTGTTTTTTGTGCACACTAGGAAAAAATTACTGCTTTGTTCTTAGAATTAATTTTATAGTGAGTAAACAGGATTAGAGGTCAAGGAAAATATCAACAGTCATACTGGAGATGAAATTTTTTACTTGGGAATGAAATTGAACTGCACCATATATAAATGCAATCATTTAAAAGTAAATAAAAAAAGGTTCTTCTCCTTACACACAAACAGATGCAAAAAAAATTTGAATGGAAAGGTCTGCCTGTCTTAATTATATAATGTATAAGAAATCCACATCGTACTTCACTCTGCTGTGTGACTTTTCAGTGATAGATCACAGATGACGTCAAAATGTAGCAAGAACCACAAAAAAGTGGTACAAGGCACAGCTGAGTACATCACTAATGTTCTTACCATATTTTGACATCTTTTGAAATCTGTTACTGAACAGACCCATGGCAATAGGGAATCTAATTGTTTTATATAAGATAGTAGCTAAATATCATTAATAGTGACATTACCTATGTGTCTGTTTTTCAATAGATCATAAGACCCAATAAAAATGCATGTGTTATTTTTCTTATTCATTTACTTTTTTATTATATAAATATATATAGTACATGTGCATAAACTTCAATTTATTTATTTATTTTTCCACAAACTTGTAGGTTTGATTTAATTTATTTCATGAACTTTTTCAGGAGCAACATTCTGATAAATGTGTTCTCAATGATCCAGAGAAGATTACTAATGTGAACCAGATATCATTGGCAATTCTCAAATTTGATCTCAGTGGACCAGAGTAAGATACATTTACATTTTGTCTAATGTTGTGTCTTTGATTGCCTCCAGTTCTAGTATTGTCATGCTTATTTGATCATTGTATGGAATATACACAAAATGAATATTATTAATGGTTAGCGTTTTGCTTATTGCTTTTTTTTGGATTTTTTCAAGAGGTCTGCCTTTTGGATCACTTAATTTTCTTTTTTTTTTTTTACTAAGACAGTTTTTCCTTTGAAGTGTCATTTGATAATGTTGATATCTTGCTACACATACATTTAGTGACTGTTGTGATTAAATCTGAAAACAGTTCTTTAGTTCAGAGGTAGATCAATATTATTTGTGGTGTACATGCATTAAATAAGTCTACATGTCTCTGCATAATTGAGCTAGTGCCTGTTGTGCTTGACAATATTAATATTTGTTTATTAAGTCTAAACTAACTCCTTTGTGGATTTGGAAAGCTTAGAGGAGGTTTGCTGGGGCATTGCCATGTGCTTCTCTTTTTTTCAATTTTCTTTTCTACATGTACTTAGCTTGTTGTTGTACAGTTACAGACACTTTTTCCTCAGTCAATTCCAATTAACTGTTTTATTCTTGCTTTTGTTGATGGTCAGGATCATTATCACAAAATTTGGACATGACTTTGAAAACCTGACTATTGATAAATATGAACCAGAACCAGAACTTATGGAAGCTAAAACTACCTTGTCTAGTAAGGAAGGAGAGAGTATTTCAAGTTCATCTCCATCCTCTGATCATACTACAACACAAGCATCAACAACTGTTGTGAAAGCAACCTCTAACACTCCTCCAAAGAACACAGCAACAACTGATACTTCAAGTACTGTACAACCTTCCTCCATTGGAAACAAGACTTCTGTGAAACAAAATAGAAGGAGAAGGGCAGCAGATAGTACAAATCCAACAACACTTACTAAAAGCAAAGAAAAAAAATGGCTTTTGACGCAAAAGAAGATCAATGAATCCATGTCTGAGAATGTGTATTCTGGAAATGTAAGTTTAATTGATTTAATCTTCTCTTTTCCTCATCTTATGCAGGTGCCACAGGGTACATGTATGTACCACTTTGATAATTTGTTACGTATCTGTTATTGCAAGTTACCTGGAATCCAGTTGTGACAATCAGTGGTTGGAAAAAGAGTTGGTTTACTCATAATATCAATCATTAGACAAAGTGTAAAACTACTAGCATTCAATTGCAATTGCTGCAATCTGCTTGGCTATGCTTCTTGCTATCTATTCCCTGATAGATAGTAAGTAGAATTAGTAGCCTAACAGCATACAGTTGTCAGTTAACAAAATAGATAAATAAATAAATAAATATGAGCTTGTTTTCTTGTTCAGTTTGGAGTGATGAGTAGATTTATTGTTAAACAATTACGCTATTTTATCTCCATTTTCTATGCATGATACTATATTTAGGCTTCACCTTCATCAGCTATCACATGATCACTTGAACTAATAATGTAACTTTTGAATAAGAAATGCATACACCTTATATAATGGTTGAACATGCGGTAAGCACAGGCATTTTTCTGGTTGGGTGGTGTTGAAATTAGTGAGCAAAATTGCTGCCTGTATTATATTTTTAAACAATCAAATATGAGATTTGTCATTCCATTAAATATTACATTTACTTCATTTACCAGAAAGTTGGCATCCAGTTTCTAAATACTCCCCACAACCTTAGCTGAGCATGATATCGATTGCACAAGAAGTGTGCAAAGACAAAAACAAAGACAAAAAACATTTAAATCTTCTTTTGACCTACCAAAAAAGATCTGGCATGCTTTCAGCATGGCAGTTTAAGGCTCTAATTTCTGTCCAGCAAAGTAGCACTTAATTTACTTTTTAATCAGCCACAAGAAGATTTACATGGATAGCATAATAGAGAGCGAAGGTATTGATGATTTTTAACTATAAGCTAATGTCCCTCTGTAATTTTTTTATAGTTCACAGTCAAGATTCAGAGGAAGGCTGAGGAGGGATTGTATAACTTGTATTTTCATATCTGTCCCATACCAGGTGTAAAAAAAAAAACAGCTACTGTGAATATTGAGGTGATGTACTTGATATTCTTATTGATGCATCCTTAGATTTAACCATTTAACCCCCAAGAGTGACTAACATCTAATTTCTCCTTACAAGTCATTCCTGAATCACACATTAAGGTCAAACGATTTAAAGAAATGATCATGAACCAAGAAAGCTCTTGATTAAACAAATTCTCCTTGTCAGCAACTATTAAAATTTATGGAGAGCAGTTTAGAAAATATGCATACTGATTGCAGAACCATGTGTGTAAAAGGTATTTTCATTCTACTTAAAATTACATCTACAAATACATACGAATACATATTAAAATTAATTTATGTAATTTTTTTTATGAATTTTGAGTTGCTTTAACACAAGCTGAAGTTGAGATTCATGTGAAGTGTAGCACCAAAATAATTTCATTCAATGAAATATAATATTCTTTTGAATATTTTCTCATTTGTTTGGGTTTAAATAAAATATATTTTTTTAATTTCAATCCATCTTACCAATAGATTGACATCAAAGAGAAAAATGGTAAAAACTTTCTGTCTGCTGGAGAGGTGAGGGCAGTGTTACACTGCATGCTGCTGTAATTTGTATGTCATAATTTGAGATCCTTTTTCCCCAAAAAAATATATTATTTTACACTTTAAACTAAAACTTGTTTATAAACTTCATGATTACTATTTTCTTTCAGTAGTACAAAGCTGTATTTTGCTCCAATTCAACAATGGGCTACCATTTAAAACATCAGCTTAAGAAACTCTTTACAGTGGCCAGTATATATTTATCAACTCAGTTCATAAAACCAAATTATCTTATAATACCTTCTACCAACAAATGACCCCAGTTTCATTGGAAACTTTCCCCTTCAATGCATTCATTGGTACTTTGTGTTAGTGTGTAAAGTTAAAATGCAGAGTACAATGTTACAACTCAGTCCTAAGTTTTCCTGTAAAATACAGTCCAACCACTTGAAAATGGCTATTCAACCCTTGTAGGTGTAGAGAAGGGGAATGCTTTCCCTCTAGTTTTTTTTTCTTTTCTGGTTTTTAATGTTTGACAGCTACACTGTATTATGTATGTTTCTTTTTTTGAGTCCATTTGCTAGACAAGTTCTAAGATCATTTACTGCACCTGTGCTAAATTTCTGTCATTAATCTAACACAGGAACCTTTACCATATATGTTTGGTATTCTATCTGTGCTCTTCTTTGGAACAGCAATTTACTGGCTTCGTGTTCTTCAGAAGAACAAGTAAGTTGAAATAACCCTTTGAGCAGCTTCTTGTATTAATTACATTCATAAATTGACTGGCTGATGGGGCATTTGTTATATGTGAAATTAAGATTTTGTCCTGTATATATTATTATTTATAAAATATTATAACAGAGATTCACAGTGAATTCAGTTCTTTCATTGACTAACTTCTATCACAAAAAATATCATTTTTAGACATGAATTATTTAGTCATAAACTGTACTGTAAAAAGCATATATTCGTTTTTCTGAGGATACCACCATGCTGAATAGAAAATTTGATCTTAATTCACACATTTATAGCTATTGTCTGTGAGTGTATGTGACCTTGTTCTGCTTCTGTAATAGGGATTTCACATACAAAGTACATTACATGATGTTCATCCTGATCCTTTTAAAATCTCTTGATCTGATGTTTCAAGCAGTAAGTATCTGGTGCTACCTGATGTCAAATTGTATCATAAATGGCCGATAGGTCACACGGTTTTGCCAATTTTAATTTCCCGTATGATTGTGGGACAATACCATTCAAAAAGTTTATGGCAAAAAAAATAATCCCTGTTGTAGCGAAGAACATGGTTCCAACAAGTACTGGACATTATTTTTATTGCAATGAAGCAAATATATCATCTTGCATAATTGATGGGTTAAAATGTTTCCTGTTTACAGATACTTTTCTTATTTGTGTTTATCATTTACTTTGATGATTTGGGTGAAATGCTACTTTTATGATTTAGATGTAACATTATCCTTAGTCATGAAAATGACAGCTATTTTTCTTAATTATATGATTTCAAGTGCAATTTAGTGTCAATAAGCACAAGTAAATTTCCCTGTGGGTTCAAGCAATTTTGTTTTCTTTTAAGTACTTATTTACTGCAAATTGCATGAGAAATTGTGTTGTTACTTGTAATTACGGTATTTACTTGTATAAGTTGAACTCGTGTATAAGTCAACCCCCATTTTTAAGTTAAAAAATCGGGTTTTTCATCATTTTTAGTCAAAAAAGTAAAATTCAGACAGATAGAAATTTCTCAAAAGTTAATCTCTTATTTCTGGGAATGTATTGAAAACACAGGGAATTAAAAAACTGCAGAGCAAAATGTAGCCAAGTGCTTTGAAGTTGATCAGCACTTGTTTATATCACCACGATTTTACATGAAAAAGCATCACAGAAAGTTAGGACCCACAAACTTTTGACAGCATGTGTATGTTATTTGTAATTTACACTTGTGTTGCATTCAAAATGCTCTCATTTCCAGCCCACGAGTGGCACTTAATTTTTTTTTCATGCATATTATTAGCATTGAAATTGCATTTTCTTGACTGAAGCAATACTAACTCAGATGAAACATTGTAATATCACCAAAAAAGGTGCATGTGTACTTGTAGCTTACTTTGGTGCTGCTTTAGACTTTCTTTGTAGTTTGATGTTAAGTGTTATCAATTTTTATGGAGTTTGTCTTTTGGTTAACATCTCAAATTAAGTTTTGTCCCATCATACATGTTGTACAAAAGAGAAACATGCAAAATATATCTTTGTACTCTGGGAATGTCTGGATGAGGGTAAACATGTACTTTTGGATAACTTTTAGTCATGAAACTTTATATTTTTTTCTCTGAACAGGTGAATTATCACTTTATTAGTAGAGATGGTAAACCAGAGGAATCTTGGGAAGTGCTCTACTACATCACACATCTGTAAGCTTTATTAGTCAGTCAGGGCTGTGCTCTAGCAGAGGCCAGGTGCCATAGGCCATTAATTTGTACCTTTGGTGACTGTACAATACTGCTCTCATCAAAGTCTTTGACCCTTCAACCCCCATGATTGACTGAGACAGAATTCATTGTCACAATACCAAGCAGACAATTCATTACAATAAATGAAAATATCAATTAGAGGATTATTGATTGATCCATTACCAAATTCTCTGAACTAAAATGAGAATTGTATGGCAGACAGTAAAGAGAATTACTAATGAGATCTTGGGAGTGAAAGGATAAAGAGCTGGGCACTTCAGATTTTGAGACCAAAGTCTTCACGCACCTGGTTAATCTTTTAAGAGCACAGCCTTGTTAGCATTGTTGATTACATTAATGACCTTTGATTATGTCAGCTGATGAAACGTGACAAAGGTATGGGCAGGGGTTACAAACAATTTTTCCAAATAACTTTGGTTATAATTTGGTGTTCATACTCTATCCTTTGACATGTAACTCCCAGAGGTGATTTACTTGCACCTGCAACTCCTCCTCACAATATTAATACATTAATTGAAGGTGACGCAAATTGACATATTTTTCAACTAGGAGCTGTAGTCTTGAAATAATATAGAATTTTCTTAGCTTATTGTTTTATATGGAAAGGTACTTAAAAATTGCATAGCAAAATTGTGTCATCTAAAACAGAGAAAAGAAAGCAAAGTTTTTGTGACATTAGTTGTGTGTAATATTTAGTTTATGGTATAAAACTGATTGTTTAGCACAGTGTAAGTCAATGCCAGAGTGAATTAATATTACATTCCAGTAAGCGAGATCTGTTCTATTTCCATTTTAGATTGAAAGGGGCATTACTGTTCACAACCATTGTCCTTATTGGTACTGGCTACTTTTTCATCAAGCATGTGCTGTCGGACAGAGACAAAAAGATATTCTTGATTGTCATACCACTGCAGGTAAGAATAATGCACAATCCTCATTACCTAGTAACATATTTTCAAGAAGTTTCTCACTGATATACACAAACTGATGGAAGCTAAAGCCCTAACATTTCTGCAGGGAAGGTGTAGGGCTCTTAACTTTTCATTTACATTAGGTCAGACCTTTAGTCTGTGTTAGTTAGTTAAGATGGTAAAAAGGGCTCTCTGAATGACTTGTTGATGTCATAGCATATCAGAAGCATACCAAATGCAGTACATGTACCACATCCATAGTTCCTAAATATGAGGTTATCATGGTTCATGTTTCTCATGGTGAGCATGAGAACAGTGTGTGATTTTTAATAATGTCTTTAATTATTGTTTCTCGAATTTATGTTTATTCTATTTCAATCTCATATCCTGGGAGATTTTGTGGCACTTTAAGTGAAGAGAGGTTTCAGTGAATGCCCAGACATATTATTACCAAGTGCTGTGGAAATCTTGTGAATCAAATCTTAACAGGAGGCATTCAGAGGTGCTTCAAGAGGCAATAGACTGCTGGTAACTGGCTTTTATTGAAATTCCTGTGGAGGAGTTGCAGTACTGTTTGTCCCTTGATGCTAAGACCCGCATGTGTCTGCTGCTGAGCATGACATCTTTTTTGTTGTTTTTTGAACAATTACCAGTATTATTTTATTATTCATACAAGTCGCAGGCATTTGGTTTCTTATTAAATATTCCCCTTTTTGTCCATTGTAGATTTTAGCCAACACAGCTCAGATTGTGATGGAGTCAACTGAGGAAGCAAACACACAGTATACAACTTGGATATCCTTTAATAACTTCCAATAATTTTGGTATCAAAAGTAAATCTTGGACTTTTGCCATCAGGCAACACAAAGAAACACCTAATTTGGTGGGGAAGGTGTTGTAATATTTGACTAAATGTGACTTAAGAAGATTTTTTCCATTAGTTCTAATCATTTCTCCTCAAAAATTTCACTGTCTTCTTTTTAAAGTTTTAGGAGTCACAGAAAATTTTCTCAAGTTTTTCATTTTCCTCCTTCCTTTCCTTCATTCTTTCCTTCCTATTTTTCTTTCCTCTTTGAGCAAATAAAAGACTGCAGACCACAAGGTCACATGAAAGGCCAAGGAAAAAAAACTCTCAGAGAGTAAATACCAACAAAAGAAAATGATACATAGCGGCAGAGATGCGAAATTGAGTTTGAGTGAGAGCTGTGTTTCAGTTAAGTTAATGCCTTGACTATTATTACAAAGAACTATTCATCTTGGTTGACTTGCTTTGCTGTGGTGCAATTCTGTTTCCTGTTGTATGGTAAGTAAGATGTAACTTTAGTGCCAAATATTGTATTTATAACGGGAGGAATTTCTTTCGTTTTGATTCGAAGAGTATCTGTGTATGTAATTTCTCAATTTGGTCGTTTTCTTAAGAAGTGTTGTAGGGAAGTGATCACTGTTCAATTTATTGATCACATGGCTTCCCATCGTGAAACAAATCACTTATTCATAAGAAAATCTTAGCTTGGCAACTTGCTATTAAGCCACACTATAGGACTACAGTTTTGTTTTAACATTCTACCCTAGAATTTTAAGAATATTGAACTGATTAGGATTAACATTGTTTGGCATTTTTCATGCTGTACATGTTGTTAATGGCTGAAAGTGTTTTGGTAAAGGATTGTAAAGTTGTCAAGAATCAAACTGATCGTGTGTTTTTTTCTGAAAGTGTAACCACGCCTCTTCTGCCTTTCAGGTCGATAAGACACTTACAGGAAGGATCTCAAACAGACGGCAAAGGTATAAGACACGTTATATGACTGATAATAAAACATTTTTTCCAGCAACATTTGCAGTAAGAAAGCTATTTTTCAAAATACCTAATTGGGGATATTTTCTCCTTTTTTTTGCAGCTGCTCTTAACCTAGCCAAGTTAAAGCTTTTTAGACATTTCTACGTGATGGTAAGGTGACCTCTCAAAGTTTAAAAGGGTTTATCAGCTGTGTAATGATATTTATTTAATATGAATTTTAGTAAAGATTTGCTTGCCTTTTTCGCTAAATGATTCTCTTAAAATAGGGGAATAGTATAGTGCCCCTTACCCCCGTTACCCATGTTCCGTATTTAGGCTACATGGTCTAAGTACAGTAATTTCTTATTGTATCAGACATCCATATTCAGAGTGTGAAGCTGGGTCAATATGTTGCCCATGAAGACCTTCGCACAGTAAGGTGCTTGGCTGTACAGGCTGGTGTGAATCCTGTTGAAATACAACCCATCACTGTTTTACGCGCTGACACTTACTTTGAACACAAACGAGACTTAGTCGACGCATCGCAGTTTAAATTAGAACTGACTACACTAAGAGACAAACAATAGTTTTGCGATAGTGTCTCGCCATAATGAACAACACGAACATTTTTAACAGCACTCCATATTTTGCATTTTCTAATTGGAAACACCTGTATTCTTTCTTTGTTTTTAGATTGTGTGCTACATCTATTTCACAAGAATAATTGTGTATTTGATAAAGGTAAGTGGGACCATCGACACCAAGAAAAGATGCAAGTTCCACCGTGGAACTTATTAATCTCCACCAGTCTTGAAGACAGAATGTTTTATTTTAGCTGTTCACGTGCAACTTTGTTCTTGATGCCACTCCCTTGGAGCCTTGGGAGAAGGGGTTGCTAAGGGCACAAACAGTGGGGAGAACACTGGTTTACTTGCACTCACCTGAATTCATTGAAGAGCTTAGTGTAGTTGAACTGTTTTTATGTTTTTGTTTCAGATAACAGTGCCATTTCAGTATATGTGGCTGGATGATGTAAGTTTTGGTACAGGTTCTTGTAGTAATCAAAGACGTTCGATCTTGATTCTTGTTGAATTTCGTGCTCATGATGAGCACGGATCCAATATTCCAATGATGCAACATCTAGAGATTAGGTATGACCAAAGTGCCTTTTTTAATCCATCTTGGGTCATTGTGCAGTGTTCTTGGAAAACACTCTTTGCATCCCCAACCCAGAAATATCAACAGATACCAGTAAAATGTCAGCAAATCTAACGAAATGTGGTTGGTGCAGCAGAAGCCAAGATTTCGTTCCCGTTTAATATCTTACCTATGCTTTTCAACTCTTGAAACTATTAAAAATACATGTTTCATTTCAGTTCTTCAACAATGCAGCATCGTTTGTCTTCTTTGTACTGACTGGGTAAGAAAACAATGTTTAAAGTTCTTTAATTGAGTTTCAAATCTAGAGTGTTGTTAGTTGATTAGAGATAAATTGTTATCGTCGTCACCAACAGTGACGGGTGATTACATGATTTATAACATCTACGGTGATCTTTATGAATGTATGTTACTAGATCTTAAAAATGACCCTTGTCTTCTGACTACCTTTTGTCTCCCTAATCCCCAATACAACTGGAGAATGCTCACCATAATTGCTGCAAATTTTCATTCTGTTGAACAAAATTTTCTAGGAAGGGCTGTTAGTGGTTTCAGAAGCGATGATGCTAATCCCCCTTCCCCTCCCTCCCCCCTGGCCTCTCACATCGGTCTCTCACATCATGTTTAGGCGATAAAATTACTGCAGTTCCATATTTCGAATGAGACTGCAAAGAAAATTGACCGCAATCTTAGGAGGTTAAATTTATTGGAAAATAATTGATGCTTTGTTATAAAGTGATAGTAGCCGTATTTTATTTCGACTATACCACGATGAATGTTTGTTCCGTTATTACGTGTAAATATAGCTTTAAGTTCCGACCTGCTCCGGACAATCCTTATCTTCATGTACCACAAGACGAAAGTGATGGCGAAGTGGAGATGGAAGAAGTGTAAGTTCTTTGTGCTGATTTTTTTCTAAGTGTGCTCGACGTTTGAAGGGCAAAGAGAATCCTGTTTGTTGCTAAATAATTTTCTGCTTGATTGTTTCAGGGTTACAAATGCAGGAATCGCCGATGGCGTGACGAGACTGCAGCCGTCGTCAAACGGCAAAAGAATATTTGAAACTGCGTAAAAATTGCGACAACCAATCACTTTCTTTGTGTGCTAAGTGGGTGGATTTTCCCACGGGCGTAGCTTAGGTGGGAGGAGATTGACTGGGAATTATTGTGTTGGTGACTTCCTTTTTAGTGACAAAGAAATATTTGCTAATTAAAAAAACACCCCAACATACTCCGAAATGTTAGGAAGGCACTTGTTTCTCTTCCTCCTTTCCCCCCCCCCGTATGGGAAAACGCATACCCCAAGGGGTGACTCTTGTATTTTAATCTTTCTAGAAGCGATTTGAATCTCCAGTAAGTTACATATGGTTAAATATGAGAGGATATATTTTGAAACATCATATCTGTGCTTGTAATCGTGTTTATGCGAGACTAATGAGTTTGTGCCCAATGACACACACACAGATATTTAACTATTCTCTCAAATATTACTTACTGTTATTTGCATCGCATGGTCGTTAGAAATAGATGATAAATTTTTGCCGCGCCTTGCCAATCACAAAGTCATATTGAGCAATAGATTACTATATTAATACTTGATTGAAGAGGAATCATGAAAGGTCTATCTGAACTTACTTATATATTTATAAGAATCTGAAGTGCTTATTAAACTTAGGCTAAGTAGCGTGCTCGCCAAATATACTTCAGAACTCATTTAAACAATGAGCATTAGGTATAGGGTGTAATTTATCATAGATTTACTTGGTTTTGACATTATGTCGTTTGTTTTTTTGTTTGTCTTTTTTTCGTGGGAAACACGGTGATCTTATGGTTAACGGGCTGTTTTCCACATTGATCTGCATTTGATTCATGACTGGGATTAATCTGACTATCTTGTATTTAGGCAAGGTATGTTAACACTCGCACGGTGGATTTTCTATCTATGGTTATAAATGGGTAATTCCAGACTTGGGTGGTTGTCGGTGCTTTCTACAGCAGTTGCACTTGCGCATTTCCCGTTTGAAATGTGTTCTGATTTTACGATAAATGTTCGCACCGTTTTCTCCTTATCTTGCGAAATGTTTATCGGTAGCTTATTGTTTATCGGTAGCTTATTGTTGTAGATATTTTTCAAGTGTAAGAGCTTTCTCCTGTTCCAACATCCGACGATGATATTTTTACTCAATCAAAGTCTATTGATACCCATCGACTATAAATTATTAGGAACCAAATCCAAGCAAATTTTTCTTTATAATCTAGTTTAGTAAAAATTATTATAACTGACATTCCTTGCTGTTTGTTTGTTTGGTTTTTTTCGTTTGGTTGTTAGCCTGTGGTTTGCTGTCAACCCTTCAAAGAGGTTCTTAACCCTTTACACCATAACATCAGCATGCATATTCTCAACACCTCATCTATACATTTCGAAAAAAATTGACAAGGAGAATTTGTGTAACAATTCAGAGCTTCTCTATTTGGTTATCATTTCCTTTATTTTCGTTTGATTCAGGGGTCCTATTGTAGGAATTAGGAATTAGATGTCACTCTTAAGGAACAAAGGGTTTAAAGATGGCTTAATATGTAGTTCTTAACAATATATTATTGAAATGACATGATGATATTTTGTATTCGTCCCATGAAGATATATGTTTATATTTGAAGAGGCTATGAATTATTCCTGGAGACAACGATAATTATTAAACTTATAGGGAAGACGCCTTTTGATGCAATGGAAAAGATAATTTGAATTAAAGTTGATCTTTGCAAGGCCTTACTTCCCATTTGACATGTTCTTTTCTTAAATTTAAAACGTAGGTTCAGGCTGTACGCGATTAACAAGTCTTGAATAAAAGAGTTTCATAAATGGAATCATTCTTTTTTCGTTGCTCAGTAAGATGAAGAAAAGAGAGGGTGAGCCTTAGTGAGTCCACAACATTTTGACCACTGTGTTGACGAATATCGTTTCGATAGGAGTACAGATCACGCTAAATTACTGTCAATTTATCAGATTTACTATAATTATACTGGTAAAAACCTTACCAAATCACGCAACGTTTTTCACCATTTCAAATTTTACTTATGGCTATGCCACGAAAATATAGGGTATTCATTCTGAGAGTGGGTTCCAGACTTACTCAGAACGACTGGTTAATGGCGTCATCAGTATCGTGTATTATTTCAAACCTGTTAAAGTTGAGCTCAAGGCTGGGCCCTTACGGCCTCAATCGTCTAAATATGGCCCCTTAAGAGAGGTGAAGGGACAAGAGCCCGCTTCACTTAAAATACGTTTACTCAGCATTCAGTTTCAAAACTCTTTAATACGCAAGTGAAGAAGTAAATTCCTAAGGAACAGAAGGAGTCTTACAAAAACGTACTATTATATAAGAAGGACAAAATATATAACACCACGAGACCATTGTGGGGAGAAAGAAGGTGCTAGTCCGTCAAAGAAATCAAAGGGTTAAGGAGAAGTTTAGCAACGTTTTCCAGGGTTTAGACTTATATGCCAAGTGCACCGTAATTGTATTAAGGAACTTGCTGTAGCTCAGGAGAGGGTTGCGCGAAGAAGGAAAAGCACACAGGGAAACAAAGTGATATTTCATTCTCTCATTTATTTATCTACATAGCAGTGACAGTGATGATAAGTGATTCATATGAAAACAAAGCTTTGGTATAGGTCCTAATTCGCTGTGTGAAGCTGTACTTTCAATGTAAACGGTGCCTGTTAGGATTGATCATGAATTATTTTTTTTTTAAACGGCGTGTTTTGGATGAAGATCGTACTGTGTTTCCTGGATGAAGATCATTTTTTTAGCATGTACGTCTCATCATCATCACCTTTCTTACCACTATTACGTCTTCTTCTCCAAAATAAGTGCTACCGAATCCTCGTTCAGAATTTTTAAACAAAGGCATCGAGGCAATTGGGACACCAGGCGCGAAATCAATCACTCAGCAAAGGAAAGCAAAACAGTTTCTCAGTTCGTTATAGATTCTCGGCTTCAGATCTTGGAACCGATCAAACTAGGTTTTCTCAGTTTGGATGGATCAGTTTGTCAAGGACGGTAAATCCTGAATACCATCAATTAAATAGACCGCTTGAACAGCAATGAAACGTGACGAGAATCACAACTCAAAAACTTTTTACCTTCTGCGATCTTCTCAATGTGCTCAGAGCACGAGACTTGTTTAAGTTTTAGTTTTCTAAGCTTTAGTATATCTTTCGACGAAATCTTCATTCTGCCACACATACCTATTATCAATGAGAAGAGCTGCAATAGACACCATCACAAGAACTGTAATCCAAAACTTGTTCATCTTGATTTTCTTTGAGTGTTCAAATTCATCTCGCTGATTCAAATTCTGAGACATCTGATGGTTCGGACGAGGTATTTATATCATTAACGTCAGTTTTAATGTTCAAACTGTTACTGATTGGGTGGCATCTATTCTGTATACTTACTGATTACTACTTGTTTCTCAGTCGCCCTTTTGCCAATGTCATTGTACAATAACATTGTGCTGAACTTGTGAAATTTTTTGCAGATGGCCAGTGATCTCTTAAAAAAACGTAAGAACAATATTTCTTGTAACAAGGTACTTACCTATAAAAAGCATGGGAGATTAAATATATATATATATATAGGAAGTCTGTGTTTCAATTTTTCCATAGTACAATGTTCGATACGTAGAAGTAGAGCGCGATATAGAGACTCTACTTTCATCCCTTCAAGACTGTTTCGTGATTACTCACTCATTTCATTTTGCAATAAACTCCCGAATGAGTGACTAATCACGAAACAGTCTTGTAGGGATGAAATTAAATCGTTTTATCGTTCTTTTAGGCAGAACTTGTTGAATTTCCACAGGTGTTCAAGCGTCACAATATCATTTTAATTATGAACATTTATAACTGTTTTCATGTTTGGTGAACAGCTGAACATGTTTCATTCACAAAATACGTGAGATGTTGAACACAGCCAACTGTAAGTGTGGACTTCTTTCCGAACGTTCCTCTTTATAAAAATGATATCTCTTGGTGAAGATGCCGATCTATTGACAAAGTTTTCTCTAAGTATCGTCATCAATCACACAGCAAAGCAGAACCAAAGCATTCACGCATCACTTTCTACTCTATTGAAAATGATTGGAAAGTTTAAAAAGAGATCTCGGGATGGTACCTGCGTATAAAATCGCACTCAAAGAAGCATCTCGTTAAATCTGTTTTTGTCGAAGAGATCATTGTCTTAATTCAAAGAGTTATAACCTGCTAAATAAACTATCTATCGTGTGGTTTTTAGCAGTTAAATTGAAACCTAGTAAACTAAAATTAATTTTCCAGGTCCAGTTAATGTTCAAATTACAAATTATTTGGCGGCATCCATTCTGTATACCCCCTGATTACTATTTGTTTTCGAGTTGCCCTTTCGCTGTTGTTTCAAACAGCGAACATTGTGATAAACTTGTCAAATTTATAACAGATGCCCCGTGGGTGATATTACCGTCACTATCTCAAGCGTTCTGAACTGACAACCACTGATCTCTTAGATCATTTTATCGTTCTTTTAGCCAGAACTTGTTGAATTCCAAAAGGTGTTCAAACGTCACAATATCATCTTAACTGTGAATATGTTTTCACTGTTTATGTGTTTTGTGAACAGCTGCACATGATTCATTCACGAAATATGCTGAACACAAATAATGCTAAGTGTCGACTTTTTTCCGAACGTTCCTTCCTGTAATTTACGTATCTCCTTGTGAAAATGCCGATCAATCCAAGTATCGCCATCAATCACACAGCGAAGGAAAGCAATACCAAAGCATTTTCGCATTACTTTCCATTCTATTGAAAATGATTGGAAAGTTCAGTGAGAGATCTCAGGATGGTACTGGCGTAGTAAAATCGCAATCAAAGACGTATCTCGTAAAAACTGTTTTCTGTCGAAGTGATCGCTGTCTTAATTTAAGGAGTTGTAGCCTTAACCCGCGGGTGATATTAACATCACTCGCGCGTTTAACGCTCGAGGGAGTGATGTTAGCCAGTGATCTCTTTTGAACACCTGACCTGATTCTTTCAGTTACAGTCAGTTTAACATACTTCATTCACGAAATACGTTGAATTCTAAACACAACCAATTCAAGACTTCTTTCCAAACTTTCTTTTCCGCTCTAATTTACATCTCTCGTTATTAAAACGCCGATTTATTAACAAAATTCAAAGTGAAAGAGAGATGATCAATAAAAAAGTAGTGAGAAAAAAAAAACAGAGTACTTTAAAGAAAAATGAAAACAACGGCACAAAATTAAACAATTTGTATGTAAATTCTGTTTTGCTGTCCTGGTCAAGCACAAGGCTATATAATGATAACTGGAGTTGGTATATGGTATATGCTCCCTGTGGGCTCGTATTAAATCATAGCCGCTAAAGTGAAATTGATTTAACGCTTAACAAGAAAATAGAGATCTTCACAGGAATTTGTGGGATCACGTATTTGATACTTTTTAATTACCCTACACCCATTCAGGTTGTCTCAGTGGCAAAATGTGTAGCTTAAGCCTTTGCACCCTAATATTGGTCTGCTCAATCTTTATACCGTTATCTGTGCATTTCATAAGGTGCAGACAAGGACAATTTGTTTAACAATCAAGATCTTCTGAAGATGGAGATCATTTCCTTTATTATCGTGACCTTAAAGTGCAATTTAGGGATGATACTGTAAGAACAAATGAAATGCTAGTCACTCTTAGGGGTCAAAGAGTCAAGAGGATAAAGAGAAAGGAAAGAAGAATTAGGCAAAGTTTAAGTCTGATGTTATAGTTGTATTTATATCAGTGAAACTACTGTAACTTAGGATGAGATGAAAAGCACAAGAGTGTACAAACCGATATTTCATTTTCTTATTTATTAATATACAACAGTGACAGTGACAAATAGTAATTCAGGCAAAAATCAAGGCTTTGTTACAGATCCTAGTTCTTTGCCGTGTGAAGCTGTACTTTCAACTTTTTCGGTGCTTGTTGTTCTTTTTCATGATTTATTTTAAACGGCGTGTTTTGGATGAAGATCGTACTCATCTTCCAAGTCTTGGAGAGCTTCAATAACTTCTTTAGCGTGTATGGGAATTTCTTTTCCTTCGTCCGCTGAATCTTGTAACTGGCTTGTTACATCAGCACCTTCGTCCATCTTACCGCTACGGCGACGACGGCGGCGACGTCTCCAGGCATCGCTATAAGAATGAAAAAAAAATTAATCTCTACAACACTTATGAGGCAATAAGAGCGCAAAGTGTTAAAAAAAAAAATGCAAACTGTTTGAAGCTCGGGAAAACGCGAGTGGACAATTTTTAGTTTTGATTCTGTTTGCTGAGAGGATTGCCAGAGTTTTCTCGATGACTCGCACAGCAAAAGAAAAAAGGCCAATGCATTTCCACTTTACTTTCGACTCTCAGGATGGTACAGACGTAAAATGATTGCGAGCAGTCAGCTTCTCATCAAAACGCTTATTTGTTGAATCCCAAACGAGTTGCAGCTTACACATTATCTTGTGGTTTTAATGTAACATTGGAACCGAGAAAATTGGATGAAAATTGTCTCAATTCTGATAACTATAGTGGCCTTTTCCTGTCCTTAAAATTGTCAC